TACTTTTAAAGGGCTGTCATACAGGTTCACCAGTCATGTTTCTAAGCCTGTTAGGAATTACTAAGATGGCGTATTACTACTGGTGGACTGTACCCTGCCCATCACAGTGAACCATCTGAATCTGCAGGCATCCAGGCATCTCCCCATTACGGGGTAAGCATTGTTTGCATTGCAGTGTGTTTGGTGCCCACCTTCCTTCTTGCAAAGGCTGGCAAGTTGGGGAGGATAATGCTGGAGAGAGCCAGGAATGTGGCTTTGTGGAGCGGAACTCCTTTATGGGGCAGCTGACTAAGCAGAAAGGATAAACTGCATGAGCGGGCGGGCACAAAGGCACAGCATGCTGACTCAGAAATGAACCTTCAGAAGGGAAGGTGGAAACAGTAGATGCTGAGAGCTCCTGTGGGCTAAGGATGCTGAAATGACTGAGTCCAACCCTCAGGCAGCAACCTCCTTCTCCTTCTACAACTGGGAACTGGGTAACCAGAGGGGTAGACAAGGGAAAGGCTGTTGACGTAGTCTATCTAGACTTCAACAAAGCCTTTGACACGGTCTCTCACAGTATTCTCCTGGGGAAACTGGATGCCTGTGGCCTGGACAGGTATACGACATCCTTATAACAAAGCTGAGGAAGTGTGGGATAGATGAGTGGACAGTGAGGTGGGTTGAAAACTGGCTGACTGGCAGAGCGCAGAGGGTTGTCGTTGGTGGTGCAGAGTCCGGTTGGAGGCCTGTAACTAGCGGTGTTCCTCAGGGGTCGGTGCTGGATCCGGTCTTGTTCAACATCTTCATCAATGACCTTGATGAGGGGATAATGGCCACCCTCAGCAAGTTTGCTAATGATACGAAGTTGGGAGGATTGGCTGACACGCCTGAAGGCCGTGCTGCCATTCAGCAAGACCTGGACAGGCTGGAGAGCTGGGCAGAAAAAAAACGGATGAGGTTTAACAAAAGCAAGTGTAGAGTATTGCATCTGGGGAGGAATAATTGCATGCACCAATACAGGCTGGGGGATGACCTGCTGGAGAGGAGCTCTGCAAGTGAGGGACCTGGGTGTCCTGGTAGATGACAGGTTGGCCATGAGCCAGCAGTGTGACCTTGTGGCCAAAAAGGCCAATGGCATCCTGGGATGCATTAAAAAGAGCGTGGCCAGCAGGTCGAGGGAGGTGATCCTCCCCCTCTACTCTGCCCTGGTAAGGCCTCATCTGGAGTGCTGTGTCCAGTTCTGGGCTCCCCAGTACAAAAAAGACAGGGATCTCTTGGAAAGAGTCCAGCGGAGGGCCACAAAGATGGTGAGGGGCCTGGAGCATCTCCCCTATGAGGAAAGGCTGAGTGAACTGGGTCTGTTCATCCTTGAGAAAAGAAGACTGAGAGGGGACCTGATCCAGGTCTATAAGTATCTAAGGTGTTGGGGGCAGAGTGGCGAGGACGGACTCTTTTCAGTGGTGAATGGTGACAGGACAAGGGGAAACGGCCGGAAACTGCAGCATAGGAAGTTCCACACAAATGTGCGCAAGAACTTCTTTACAGTGAGGTGACGGAGCACTGGAACAGGCTGCCCAGGGAGGTGGTGGAGTCTCCTTCTCTGGAGATGTTCAAGACCTGCCTGGATGCCTACCTGTGTGACCTGGTGTAGGGAACCTGCTTTGGCAGGGGGGTTGGACTTGATGATCTCTGGAGATCCCTTCCAACCCCTACAGTTCTGTGATTCTGTGATTCTGTGGTGGAGTCGCCATCCCTGGTAGTGTTCAAGAGGCGTCTGGATTAGGAGCTATGAGATACGGTTTAGCGGCTTGTGGGAGGACAGTTGGACTAAATGATCTTGTAGGTCCTTTCCAACCTTGTGATTCTATGATTCTATGATTCTGTGATTTTCCTCCAATGCCAAAGGATGGTGCTCGTTCATGCAAGTAGCTGCAGTGATAGAAGCCAAGCTACAAGCAGGTAGCTTCATGAGGGATTCATGCAAAATGGAGGCAGTTTGGTGCAGGGGCACCAAACAGTACAGAACAGTAATGGGCTGCAGGTATAGCTCAGGGTCCTGGGGCCTCCACCATTGCAGCCCCAACTGAATGGAGCTCTCACAGGCTGGTTTGCCCCTCAGCCATCTGTGGGTCTGTAGTAGCAGAGCTGGGTTGGTGATGTCACTGTTGCCAGAACAAACCATATGTTAGCTGTTGGAACTGTGAATAAGTGACCCACTAATGCTACACTTGTCATACCAGTTTTGTCGTCCTTGTAGAGCCCTGTTTACTGTGTGCTTTTACTTATGGCTAACTCAAGGGGTCTGTGTAGAAAAAAAAAATACACTGTTTATAAGGTTTTCAGTCACCAAACCCTGAAGAAACAGTTGCATCCAAAGTACTCAAAGTACTCCTAAGAGTTGTGCTCCAGACACCTCACCAGCTTTGCTGCCCTTCTCTGCAGATGCTCCAGGGCCTCAATGTCTTTCTTGTAGTGAGGGGCCCAAAATTGAACACAGTATTCGAGCTGCAGCCTCACCAGAGCTGAGCATAAGGATGATCACCTCTGTGCTGACTACAGGAGCAGCACTATGACTGTTGGGCCTTGATGGTGACTGGTTAATTGTGCCGAGTTAACATTTACTGTAATTGGTGTGTGCTGAGGAAGTAAATACACCCGTGAGTTAAATAAATGACGTGTAAGCCAAGCTGAGGACTCAGCTTGGCTGCAGCAGAACTGCAGCACGGTGTGCAAGCAAGAACTGAGTGCTTCCATTGCATGGGCTGTGGAACAATAGCTGACAGAAAAGCATGTGAGACTGCTGGGAAGGTACACAGCCATCTCACTGTGTGCTGAGCTGATTAGTGGCTTGCGTTGACATCTGGCTATAATCAGCAGCTGAGATTGGCGCAGGGGGGAGAGGTGGTGACGTGAGTGTCTGGCACTGCATAGGAGAGGAGCATCCAGCGGTCTGTATGTCAGCATGGCAGCTGAGCTCTGCCTGAGAGCCTACCCCTCACACCTGACCGTGCCTTGTACCTGGGAGAAGGAATCAAAGAGGGGCAGTTGTGTTGGGCGAAAACATTTCAACACTGCCTGTCCCTCACTCAGTCCAAACCTCTGTATAAAATGAATGTGGCACATTGTTTGGCATTCCTTTCCCAGCTGAAATATCTTTTTCTTAAATTAATTATACTGTTATTCTAAAATGGAAGGCTGAAAATCTCAAAAATGGAATTCAAGTGTAACTGCAGTGCTATACTTGGAAATTTTCTAAAAATGCTCAACTTGTCTACTCTGTAATAATTGTGCAATTCCAGGCTGCATGGACCTGTCTCAAGAACTTATGCAGCAATCACATGGCCTGCCAGATTCTCACACCCGATAGGTTGGAGCAGTGTCCACTGAAAACACTGACTGAGAATAGATTGGGAGGGGCCAGCAGCTCTAATTCCTAACAGCTAATAAAAAGGCAGCATAATAATAGGTTGCACCACATTCCATTTTGATACTTTTCCTCATCTTCTATCTCATCAAAGGAAACCAGAGGGACTGGGACCAAGTGAAGGAAGATGAAGAAAGGTGGTGCACACATCTAAGGCAATGTTGTGTTGTTTTTAAGTTGGGGAAGTGAAAATACTCAGGGCTTATTCCTTCTCTGGGTAGAGCCAATAACTGGCTGATGGGTCTGCTCACAGCAGACTCACCTAACTGTACAGCATAATCTTAAGTTCACCTTACCCTTTCATACCTCTTGAAGAACTTGCAGCTCTGGAAAGAACAAGGCTAGCTCAGCTTTCTTTCTTCTGGTGTGTTAACTTCCACTGAGCACAAATGCCCTGAATTTCTGACTCCCTCTTCTGTTTCCTGTCAGTAGTCCTGGTTACTACTTTTTGTGCTGTCACTTCATGGCACAGAGTAGAGAATAATGGAGGCATCTTAGAGAGGAAGGAGAGGCAGTGAGAGGAAAAGCTGAAAAATTCACTGTTAACCTCACTGGTGTACAGGAAGAGAATCCTAAAATGGAGAAATAGTCATCAGAAAGCAATGGAAGGAAAAAAAGGGCTTGTCTATAGTGGATAAGGACAGAAATAAGAATCTGAGAGTCCTCGTGAAGAGCAGGAAAACAGTGACATGAGAGTTTGCGTATGGGCAAGGGAAAGTTTAATCTGAACAGTATGGCAGGGACAGTCATAACAAATACACTTCTACCTTCTGTCCTTCATATTCCTCTCATTGCACTCTAATCACTGGTTTGATATCACTGGTATAAACCACCCAAATTTATTGCAATACCTGTGAAACAACAATTATATTAATTCTGATAACCCCAAAGCACATTTCTAGTATAATGAGGAGTCCTTAAGAACTTCATTCTGCATCTTTCAGCCTTCATCTACCAATCTGAAGTGACTTGGGTTGTTCAACAGGAGTTCATTGGTTGTAGAAACAAGATTATCAAATAATGAGTAATCAATGTATGTTTTCTAGTAAAGACAATCAGTCTTCTTAAGGTCCGTAGTGGTTCTCTGAAAATATCTGGCAATATTTAAAAATGACTGTCAAACCTCGGGGCACAATGTCTACCTTTTACCTCTCAGAAAGTGTTTTCACACAAGACTAGAGAAAGAGCTGGTGTTGTATTTACAAAAGAAACAAAGCCAGCAAGACATTACCAGCCAATAAAGGCAGAAGAACACTTCAAAGACATAAACCTTTTATATTTTTCATGTCCTGTCACCCTCCCAGAAAATCTGCCTGGTGCTGAAGGCTGGGATATCCAGGCTTCAAAACACTGCTTCTATTTCGGACTGCAGAGGTGGTTGTGATGACTTCACCTAACTATAAAGATGCACATGTTAGTCATCTGCATCCGAGCTATTCAGGTGGCAACTCTCTTACACTGAGATGGAATGAACCATATCTTAGAACTGCCCGTTCTTTTTAGAAGAATCTTCTGAAGTAAATATGAGGAAAAAATCCCTTGTTTTAGAAAACGGTTCTGAAAATTAAGACTTACACATTTGTTAGACTTTCACTGTATAAAAATGTACAGTGGCTTTATTGACATGTACATTCCATTGTGTTTACAGCTGCGAGATATGAGGCACACTCAGTATTGCACTTCATTAAAATTTCAGGCTCAAACATAACCCAGAAGTTTAAATGAAACTGCTGTTGTAACTTAATTCTTATACAGGACAAACATTGATACCTTTATATACAGCATGATACTTGTTACATTTATGTCTTCCTAACACAATTTTTTTTTAATAACAGTCTAGGAAATAAACCAGAATATTCTTCTTTCCCATCCCCACTTGTGATGCGTTACAATTGTACAAGATTACAAAAAGTCAGTATACAATAATCAATATTTTTTTCTTTCTCCTGAAAGCCATCATCATTCATAGTCCACAGACACACAGATCCTTTAATAGCAATTATTTATTTGTAAATGTTCAATGTTTCCTAGCCGATGACTGTAATGGCCACATGCAAACACCTCACAAGTTTTGATGTCTCGGTTCAAAAAAATGTCAACTTCTCACAGCAAGAATTATGTACATGGTTTTGGCATCCTTCTTGCACTGCAAATTGTTCCTTTTACCTGGGTTATGGAATGGTCCCATCCTCATCCCAACTGGACTTTATTTTTAGGACATTTGAGGGATGAGGACACCTATTTTGCTCTGCTTTTTTTTTTGTTTTGTTTTTAAAAAGTCTAAAAAGTGTGAGCATTTCTGCAAACTCCACAACCCAGAGCAAATTCTTCACCGGTAGGTGGATGGACAACATGAAGTGGACATTCGGTTCCTTCAAGTTGTTTACCTTTGGGACCTACAGTGAATATAAGGGAGAGGGAAAAAGAGGTGGAGGGGGGGAGGGGTCAGTGCTTGCAGACTCAGTAGAAACAAACATATGATCTTCAAAAACATATTAAGTGAAAGTAATATAGAATCATGGTATCACCAAGGCTGGAAAAGACCTCCAAAATCATGGAGTCCAGCCAACCACCTACCACAAATATTGTGTACTATACGTTACTTATATATAGATGAATATATCTTAGCCTTTATTATTCATTCCTTACAACTCATAAGGAACAGCAGATAGAAAGGTGCTTTCGCACAAACTCAAGCAAGAAGTCTAAAGGTTTAACAGGCAAAGAGAAATACAGCCATTCACTTCAGTCAAGAACTGTTAGTTCTCTACGAGTTACATCACACACTACGTACATATCTAAAGGGAAAAGACCAAATTGCCATGTAATTAAAAGAAACAGGAAAGGCAAAAAGTTTACAGGAAGAAGTAACTGAAACAAATTTCATTAAATCGATACTGTGGAAAAAAATAATTGCACAATCTAGAAGTGAAACCAGTAAGTATGAGCAAGAGTTGTACTCTGCAATCAGAAGTAATGTTAAAGTGACATCTCATTTCTTTTTTGTTTACTTCTTTTATGTAAGTATCTTAATAAAAAAATCATGAAGGCATCCATAGAGGAAACACATTCCAGCATTACTGCACTTACAGAATTTAAGATTTGTATGATTGATCTCGTGATATTCCTCGAAATTATCATCAAGGAGAAATAAGAACATCCATTAGAACTAATCACTTATTTCAGAATTTAGTTAGGTAAATTTGCTTTGTAAAAATACTACCTGCAGGACAGTGTGGGAGTTCTTCTTTAGGGATGCTTGTCATTCTTTGGAAATCATCATGGCAAGCATTGCAAAAATGTGTTGTCCCGAAACAGAAAAAAACAGCAACTGAACAGCAGTAGCGACATTTATACTCTAAGAAATCTGTACCGTGTTTGGGACACATCTAAATAGAAAGAAGATAAGCACTGTTAAATGACATAACAATGCTGTAACAATCCAACCAATACATTTCAACATTTTGTAGTATATATGTGCTACAATACATATAATTGTGAATGACAGTCAATTATTGTATGGCTCACATACTCTTTGGAATTAAATAATAGGACCAGTATGCGCTCTTTGCTTACCTGAGCCCTTGAAACATCAGAGCATGCACCACAGATAAGCTCTCTTGGATCATAGTCATCTCCTTGTCCAGCCTCGGCATCACACCGAGCTTCACCACCAAAATACGCCTAAATTTGGTATAGGAACAATAGGACATTAAACAACAGACAACTATTATTTTAACTAAACCAACCTTATTGGAAAAATGATGAATAAAGGTGATTACCACTGTGCCCACTATCTTGAATAACTGCAATTCCATACATATTTTTTTAGGTGTTCAGACAAGAACTCTCAATCTCAGGACACACAAGATCAAAAACCACACAACACACTCTGCTCTATGCAAGTGAATGCAAGAGATGGCTTTTGAAACAGCGTTTGGATGTTATACAGACAGGACGGAGGCTGGAGACAACAAAGATACCTTCTACCAGGACAGCTTTCTATCAGCTGAAGGGAATATCAGTTTTTATGCTCATGTGGGATCCTTTATAATTAGAATGTTGCTATTTTCTATAAATCCATTATAATTTCTCATATTATTCTAGCAAGACACATCAAGCACTAAAATGCACCAGGTAAGACAGCCAACTCTGAATTTCTTCATATACTGAAGTATTTTCTCATGGGGTGGTGAAATGAGGTGAAAAGTAACACCTTTATCTCCTTCATTATGATCTTATTTGCTAATATATAGAATTCTAAATAGATCTTTTGCTCTTAGCTTTCCCTGGTTTTTGCTGTGATGGTTAGAGCTGTATGACTGTAAGAGGTTAGGGAAAGTGGTCTCAAGGCGAGTATGAGGAAGCAAAAAAGTAAGCAGCCCACCTTCCCCCAAATGCTGCAAATTAAAAGGGATATTCCCAAGGGATGAAAATTAGGGAATTAGGTAGAAATTCAGGGTGAGCAGGAGCTGAAGGAAGGAAAAGAGTCAGAAGTTAGACAGTTGAAAGTTACCATTAAGACACACGCATACAGCATGAAAGGGAACAACGAGACACGAGGAGAAAAAGAGGGAAACAACTGAAATACACTGAAATAGTGAGCATCAAATGTTGGAAACAAAGTATAACAAAAACATGAACTGGAATAAAAGCTGGAGAAAGGATGAAGAGAGATTGTTTTCATTAAGGAAGACCAAGAAAGTTCCCATTGTTTCTTTCATCTGATTCTGATTTTAGTGCTTATCTAGGGCATCTAGACCTATGTGTAAATGGAGATAAGGTCCCTCTGGTACATGTAAAGGACACGTTAGGAAAAGCAGTTTGGGTCTTTCCAGCTTCTGGGAAGGGCAAAGCGCTTCATGGAACTGTTTCTGTCCAGGGATCTGGGTCCACCTGGTGGTGATGAAGAAAAAATGGGGATGTTCAATGAGTACCTAAAGAGAATTTGATACTGGGGGAGTGCAGTCAGTAATGCCATGTATATGTATGTGTGTGTGTTTAATGTTTAGTGATTGTGGTTTGTTTGTATATATTAAGCATGATGTAGTGATATGGAATAAGGGGTGGAATGTCACGGTTTTATGATTTTTGGTTATTGGTATTCCACATCATAACATCATGTAGTACACTGGGAGTTGAAGAGTTAATGCTGCAGCTCTGGCCGCTTGTCCAGAGGAGAAGAACTACATATCCCGGAAGACTTTGCGTTCATAGAGGAGATATGACCCCTGGCAAGGTCACCTGATTTCCTTTTTTCCTTTGGCTCTCCTCCTTGCTGTTCGATACAACTGTGCATCTCACCTCAGTGTTATGTTGAGGCATCTCCATCTTTTGGACACTTTCTCTCATTGTATTTATTTGCTTCAATTCTAACTATATTGCATTATAGTGTGTTATCTTGCATTCCGATACCATATTTAGTAAATCAGATAATTGCCGCTGTTTTTAATTACTCGGGGTCCCTGTTTCCCCTTTCCAGAGGTGCAGATCTATGTATCCCTCTGCCCTACTAGTCACAGAACTGGGCCAAACCAGTCCATAAACTATTGACACATCAGTCCTCTGTGAACAGCAGGTCTAACAGGGTACCTTCCCTGGTATGCTCTCTGCATATATCAGCTGCATTAGGAATTTATCTTCCACACATTTAGAAACCTACTAGACCGTTTAGTATGTGCTGTATTTCCAGCATATATCAGGGAAATTTGATGTCCTGCATAAGAACAAGGACTGGTGATGGTGCAACTTCTGCCAGCTGCTTGTAGAACGCCTCATCCGTCTCTTTATCCTGGTTAAGCGGTCTATAACAGACCCCCACCAGGATGTCCACCTTGTTAGCCCTCGCTGATCCTTACCCATAGATATTATCATTTCCAGCCCCAAGCTCAACAATATCAGAGCACTCTAATACAGAGAGCCACACCAACACCCCTCCTTCGTATCTAGTTTAAAGCCCTCTTAATGAACCCTGCCAGCTCCTGGGCTAGGATATGGTTCCCCCTTTGAGACAGATGAGACCCTCTGCAGCCATCAGGACAGATGCCAATTAAACCACACCATGGTAAAAACTAACAAACAAACAACAAATTACTGTGATTGCACCAGCCTCTCAGCTGTGTGTTTATGAGATGGATTTTCCTGCTCCTCTCAATATCCCTCCCTGTCACTGAAGGGATAGAAGAAAATACAACGTGTATGCTCGCCCAGTCCCCCAAAGTCCTGTTTGATCATCCTCAGATTCCTCTCAGAAACTTCATCGCTGCTGGCCTGAACTATCAATAAAGGATAATATTCAGAGGAGTGAATCAGACCAGGAAGTTTCCTAGAAATATCCTTGACCCAGGCCCCAGGGAGACAGCACACTTCACTTCAGGTAGGGTCAGAGTGACATATATGGCCCTCCCTTCCTCTCAGCAGGGTATCACCACCCTTCTGTCCTTTTTGGTGGAGGCAGTCTTGAGATGTGGAGTCAATTACCTCACTCTAGACAACCTCAGGGTGGATTTCCCACCACATCCTCACTTACCACTTACCTCAAGTTTCAGAGCCTCAAACGTATTACATAGGGGCATCTGTGGAACCAAGGTAGGTCAGGATGGGGGTTACCTGTGATGCTGAGCTGGGACCTGTTTCCACTCCTCTTAAATTGCGTCCCCCTGTTCTAATGATGGCAGAGGAGGGGATCCACCACTGTTTGTGGGGGTATCACCCTGTGTCTTTCTCACAAGTTCGGCATAGAGTTACTCCTCTAAACTCTTTGTCATAAAGACACTTTCCCATCTTTTGAGACTACTGCTGGGGAAAACCATACCAACAGGCTTGCACAAGTAGTTGTTTTTCTGCCCCCAATTTGCTGTTTACTGTTGTTCTCATTAACTCCATTTTATGTAAAATTTAGGTGAAAGCTTAGTGAAAAGCTCCCCATACCAGAGTTAAAATGAAATACATGTTTATAACATACTATGTTCACATGGAGTATGAAGTAGAGGTGGGACAAAGGGATAGTTGGTGCGCAGTATCACCTGCACATTCTTTTAAGAAAACTATCACCTCAATATGCTTTTGGTTTCTAAATTCCTCTGTATAAACTTTTGAGTTTTAAGATACTATGTACATCTAATTTGTTAAAACATTGATTTTTTTTTTTTTTAAAGCAATTTCTTTTCCTGCTTTCCTCTTCCATACACAACATATTAAATATACGTTCCATTCTTTAAGTGACTTTTCATAGAATAACATGCATTCAGTTTGAGAAAGTGGTAACTGTCATACCTTTTTGCACTTGTAGCAAACATAATAAGCATATCTGTTCATGGCATAGCCAGCTGGGTCATTGTAAAATCTAACACCTGGTGTTGTAATGGCCTCACTCTTGTGCAGTCCTTCATACTCCAATCTCATTAATGCTTTTCTCCTTACATCTTCATAAAGTTCTTTGATTGGATCAAGCAAGTCTTTTAATACTGTATGATTGATTTTGTTCTGAAATTTTAAAAAAAGAATGATTAAAATTTATTGTATATTTATTGCAGAGGAGCTGTAATAATTTATATTATGGTCAAGCACAAATAGCATAATGGATGTCACAAGCACTCAGTGGATGCTTAAAAAAAAAGGCTGATGTGTTTCATTTGCTATTGTAGTGTTTTATATGGCCTTTTGTTATATGAAATCAGCAGCCCTTACAACAGACTGTGACAAACACAAAGAAATGGTAAAGAGTATGTGACATACATGATTTTATTTTTTCTCTAATTTTGCTCCTTTTTATTACTCAGCAAATAGGAATAATGCCTTCTAGTCCTCTGTACTAAGTATTACTCAAAGCTACTGCCATTAATTACCAAACACAACATGAAGAAAGAAACATAGCATGCAGAAATGCCTGACAGTGCACAAATTTAACATTTCTGAGGCTTTAAAATGCTTCACAGCAGCTACTATATACATACTTTGCTTATACCAGTTATAAGCAGACAGCTTAATTAATTATACTGAAGTATATATTCTATATTCTTCAGCTCTGTCCTGTTACTGAAAAGCAAAGAAGCTTTGAAAGAGGCAAGTAAAATGGAGAATCCAGATTCCTTGCTTGAGACAGTGTGAATTAAGATTACTTCTTCCTTTTTTCCCCTTAGTACCTAAACTGCAAATTTACAAGCAGATGACGCTAAGAACAAGATAGCATTTAGACAATGTCTGCATTATGTTTACTTTCTAAGAAGAACCTTAATTCAGGAAATAGTAGGGAAAGTAGAAAGATTTGTCAATGACACCCTTTCTGTAGTGACATGAGAAATTAAGGAAACAAAGGAAGTATACTTATTTTATATTGCAACAAGCAATGTATCATTAAAAATGAAAAGAAAAAAAGTAGAAAGAGTATTAGGCGACTTGTTGGATCTTTGCAGAAAACACACAGCTCATTTACCTTGCAAATAGGACAGGACATAAACCCAAAAGTTATCCTTGGCCCAAGCCATCTGTTTTCAAGTACTCGTTGACAGCATTGCAAATGGAAAACATGGCTGCAGTCCAACTTTAGAAAAAGAACAACACATAAATGTTAACCACAAAAATACATTTTCTTTGCTTTTAAGCAGCAACATATACGAAATAAAATTAGTGTTTTAAATCCCGGAAGATCTCTGTTTTCTTCTTAAAAAAAAAAAAGAATGAATACTAAGCACCTGTTAAAATCGTAACACTTTCACTCCAAGACAGCCAATGGGCATATGAAATACATATGATGTATATTTATTAATATCTCAGTTGTTTTCTTATTTATAAAATAACATATATTTTAAATAAACACAGAAAAATAAGTTGATACAACATTCTTGTTTCAAACAGCAGCAATCCCAGAAAACAAATAAAGCATTTCAAGTCATTTACATCCTATACCATTACCATGTTTATTCTGAAACCCTTGAGAATGTCATTTGAGGGATTTTATATTTTAACTTCTTCCACATATAGTATTACAACCATAAGATTCATCTTTTAAAAGGGGGAAAAAAGGATAAACCTGGATAGCCGGTGCTGCTGAAAGTGCTTCAGTAAAACAGATCATACACATGTCATCAGCATCTTGCTTAAGAGTTGTAGCATTCTTATCACAACCATGCAAACATGGTAAACAGTGCTCTTCATTCTTAACACCGCCACATGGATGGCCACAGGGATGTGTCTTGCTGCAGGCAATTTTAGCATACTCCTGTGAAAGGTAAACATTTGATCTTTTTTCCCCGCCCAAGAACAGGTTGATATAGTGCTATTTTTTGAAAGACTACTAGTTCATGCAATTAACTGAGATGAAAGAATGACAGTTCATCTTGTCCACTGCTAGACCAAGTACTTGGGAAAAACTGCACATTTTGTGTAAATGAAATAGAACTGAAACATTCACATTCCTATAAAATATTATTCCTAAATAGCAATGACATAAAGAAACATTTTAACATTTCATTTTGATATACAGAAATATTCATTAGTTCTGTTTGTATTTGTAACATTCCTTTCATGTAATCACTGCTTGCCTGAATTTACAGCCTTAGAACATCTGCAGATTTTGGTTCTTCAGGAAAGGAAAGGATGGAGGAAGGTTTACTCAAAACACGAGTCTTTCTACAGTATCTTTCTTCTGTCTTATTTATCTCATAAAGACTGATATTTATTAATACAGACCTGGCAATCTGTATCAGAACAAACACTTCCCACTGCTGATAATTCTGTTCCACTCCTACAACCACAGAAGCGACACGCTTCAGAACTGCTGGTGGTTGGTTTGCCTACATCCACAAAAGGAAACAAAAATGACTGCCATCATCATGAAATATAAGTGACCAATATTCAGATACAATCACAATCCAACCAGAAAAACAACATTTAACATGTTCTATTTATACTTATAAGCAGAAATCAAGACCGTCGCCCTAATACTTTTTGGGCAAATGCTCAGGTAAAAGTTAAAAAATAATCAGGACAGAGTACATCTAATAAAAGTTGTGTTTTACCTGTCTGTTCTCTGAACTCCACCATAGCTTTCATAGTTTTAGAATCTGCTAATGCCATCAGCCAGAAAAGCTTTGTCCTACCACAACCTTCGTGCAGATCAACTTTGATAGCTTCTTCTTCTTCTTTGAATACCTGTTATATTAATCAAACAGATAACAAATACCATTTTTATGTTATTCTTGTCATTCTCTCTTTGGACTTTGATCAGATGTTTTAAAGATTTTGTCAGGTTTGTCTACTGCAAGCTATTTTTAATTTATACATCCCTTAAGTTGCACATAGTGGGAAGAGGTTTTGTGGTTTAAAAAATAAAAATATTGAAAACTAACACTCCAGATAACATGACTGGGAAGCAATAGAGCAGCAATGCTAAGGAGAGAGCTGCACAACATTTTTCTAATTTAAATGGAGATGGAGATTATAGCTCACAACTAATAATCATCTCCAGTAGACCACAGTATTAAAAGCAGAAGATAACATTAGAAATATCTTCACCACGTCAGTAATTTATTGAAGTAGCACTGATAATTATGGTCCTTATGTATAATATTATGGACTACATAATGAGTTACATATCAACACATCTCTTCCACATAAATATGCAGTGTATGTTTTTAGCTAAGAATCCAGAAAAATCTTTTTTTTTTTTTTTTCCCCCAAAAATCAAAAATTCATAAGAGATCCATGTTGGACTTCACGGGTCTCTTTCTCTTTTCCTTAGTTTCAAAGGTAGTTCTGTTTTTATTCACTTCACCTGCAACGCAATAATAGTTAGAATTCTCCTGGGTATAGATGTATCTTAATTTATGCTGGAATCACAAAACAAAAACTGTAAGTGCTTCACAAAGGTTCTGCATAAGCAGGTCACAGTAACTCCTTTCTTGATAGGAGAGGAAAAACAGATAAGAAGTACGTATAACAGAAACAGAAGTCGGACAAAGAAAAGGAAGCTAAGAGAAAACAGGCAATAGGGAACATGACAGAATTTAAAATTTAAATGGGGAGGCTTGACATGAAAGATGTAAAGGTAAAGGTGGTAAATAAAGATTAAAAGTTTAAACATGCTTTTAGAGGTGAACAGGAAAATCTGATAAGTAGCTGTTTTGGACGGATTAAAGGAGAGATGTGAGGACTTCTATGAGATAAGAACTTACTTTTATCAACTGTAATCTGAACAGGCTATATAGGAGAAATCAGAAAAATAAATGAGACTAGACTGTGTTGTGACAGGACAGAAGAACAGATGCATAAAATCATCTTCTTAAGATGACAAAAAAGGAAAATTTCAAATGGGATTGCAAAGATCCACGCTAAAAAATAGTATGTAAGAGATGTACAAGGAACTTCCAGGCTGAACGCACTCTGCAAACACTGAGGCACCAAGGAAAACAGAGACCTGATATTTACATCACATGCTCTGGACTAGCTGATCCCTTGCACTGACTGCTTGCTAGCATTTGAAGTGCACTACGTATATCCCTGTATCTTTGTCTGTTTCAATTGGAAGGAAACCAGTTCAAGCTCCTAAAGGGCTTCTTTATCAAATCAAAGCATGGTAAGGAGGGATGATCATATCTGCTTCAAAAGCACATTCCTGATTCTAAGTAAAATGCTATCATAGACGGACTTTAGCAGGGAGATTAGTAAGGGTGTCCACTGAATTAGTTTTATTAACTAGATTTATTATTTTAACCTCTGTACAAATATTCTCCCCTTTTCCTATGACTACTTATAAATGATCACAAAAACTTAAAAGATAAATGCTGTATCAAGAAAGAGGAAATGTTCAATAGTCTCAAAAGCAACAGCATCTTCAGTGTAAATTGCAGTGAGAAAAAAATATTCTAAGACTAAACATTCAGGTTTACACATTAATAGGATGAAAGGCTAGCATGAAAGAACACTAATTAGCAAAGTTAAGGGCAATGTGCAAAAACTCAGCTAGGTAAGTCAAAGAGAAAAGACATTTCGTCCCTTAAAAAAAAAAAAATAATAAAAATCAGGAAGTTTTCAAGCTTATGGATAATGGGAACATGAGGACTAGGGAAATATTGAAAAATAAGAGATGACTGTCATAGGGAATCAGTGGGAAAATTTCCTGTCAAGTGATCTTCTGAACATCAAAAAAATCTAAACACTTAAAAATGAAGGGGTTCACAAGCACTATAATGCAATAGTAATAGTAGAGGAGGTATAGTTTAAAAGGAATAAAGAACCAAGGTACACTTAAGAAAGGCTCTCCAGTTTCTAGAAGCTTCCTGAAACTGTTCCTAGACAATGTGAGAATGACAGAAAAAAGCTGATGTAGTGTAAGAATTAGAATGAGAGAATGTGAGAATTGTTTTCAAATCTTATAAGATAACGGACGATGGAATTTCACTAAAATGGAACAAAGAATTACATGAAAATGTATCTATTCCATCTTCAAAATAAAACAGCATTTTGAGTCTGGCTACTACCAGCTTATACATTAATAGCAGAAATGAACATAATGTATGCAGTACATACAACATGATGCCATGAATACCTGTCTCTGATGAGTTTTTGTTCGTCGATGGAGATGAAGGAATCGGTCACAATCTGTACACAAATTCCCACAGGCATTACATAAAATGATGGCAGCAGTTTCACCATCATCGTGGTTATCGCACATTGGCTGAAAAAATTAAGAAGCATCATTAAATATTTTTCCCTTTATTAAATCCTTCATTTCCTTTAAGCATTTGTTTGTATCCTCCCTTAGCTCTAACCCTGAAATTAGTAATAGACGATAAAGAGCTTCTTCAGACTACTAATTCTATTTTTAGAATAATCAATATCTAAACAACTACTTCTGCACACAAAGAGCCCCAGTTTACTACATAAGTATTTCAGTATTCTTCATCTTACATATTGTGTGACGTAGCACAAATGTATTCTACAGTACATTTGGGACATCATTTTCAACTAGGCAGTTACACAGAAAGAAATTGTTAACATGGGGCTATGGGCATGTTAACAGAACAGTTTGTAGATAAACAAAATATTTTTCCTTAATTACTATGATACGGCATATTTAGATTGTTCAAAGACTTAATCAAAGCTGCAGAAAGATTTAATTCAACACAGTTTTTGTTTTACAGTTCAAAATATCTCTAAAAACAATATTCAGTGACTTGATTTGATTACGCAAATTTCTGAGTTTCCACTGTACTACAGAAATTGTGGTTTCCAAGATATTGCTCATGTAACACAGAATCCATTCCACAGCATTCCTGTGAGGGGGAACACATTTCGCCTCAAAATTTGAATATACTGGTATAAAAATAGGATTGGGGAATTTCAGAATGAGTTCAGCAGCTCATATACCTGCTTGCCTGTGTCTGGGCTGCTCCTCTGACATTTCCACTTGTTTAAATAAGCTCCAATTTCTGACTTTTTTCCTCTTATCTACAAACTAGACCTCTGTTCTGTTTTTCTAATCCTCTGCTGCTTGTTCCTGTGGAACAACACAGGAAACCTGAGGCAACGAAACGCTTCTGCCAAAGCAAAGACAGATGAAATGAGTTAAATTTGATTTCATAAAGCCAGTCTTTTTTATTTTGGAATCCGCATTTCTAGTTCAGCTATTTAATTATAACAAAAAATCTCTTCTGCAGGTCTGTCTTAAAATGGTTCATTCTGTGGTTAAACCACAAAGCAGTGGATGAGCAATTGGTTGACAGGTCAGACTGAAAGGATTATAAGTTTGTGGAGTTATGTCAGGTTGGTGGACAATCACTATAAGGGCTCCGCAGGGCTCCATTTTAGGACCAGTTGTCTTCATGTTTTCATAAATGATTTGGGTACAGGGCTTGTAGGTATACTAAATATGTTTGCAGATGACACTAAATTATGGGGAGCTCTTGACTCCCTTGAAGGTTGAGAGACTTTGCCTTGACAATCTTGACAAATTTTAGTGTTGGGCAATCACCAACCACATGAAGCTCAACAAGAGCAAGTGCTGGATTTCGCACCTGGAACAGGAAAAATTTGGATGTATGTACAGGCTGGGTAACGAGAGGCTGGAGAGCAGCCCTGCAGAAAGGGGCCTGGGAAATCTGTTTGATGGCAAGTTGAATGTGAGCCAGCAGTGTGCCCTGGCAGCCCAAAGGGCCAGCTGTACCTGGGGAGCAGCAGGCCCAGCGCTGCCACCGGGTGAGGGAAGGGGCTGTCCCACTCTGCTCTGTGCTGTGCGGTCTCACATCCTGCAATGGGGGCAGGGCTGGGTGCAACAACGTAAGAAGGACATAAAGGTATTAGAGTGCCCAAAGGGGGGCTATAAAGACAGCAAAGAGTCTGAGGGGAAGATGTATGGGGAGTGGCTGAGATCCCTTGGTTTGCTCAGTCCAGAGCAGAAGAGCTGAGGGGTATCCTCATGGCGGCTGCAGCTCCTCACAGGGAGCGGAGGGGCAGCGCTGAGCTCTGTTCAGCTGTGGAGCTGTGTCAGGGGAGGGACAGCTGGGTATCAGGGAAATGTTCTTTGCTGGAGGGTTGTCGGGCACTGAACAGGTTCCCTAGGGCAGTGGTCTTGGCATCAAGCTGATGGAATTCAAGAAGTGTTTAGACAGTGCTCTCAGACACAGGGTTTGGATTTTGGGCGGTCCTGTGTGGAGCCAGTGGTTGGACTCAGTGATCCTTGTGGGTTCCTTCAACTTGGGATACTGCATGATTCTTAAAAAGCAGCAAGGTTTTCTTCTAAACCTGTTTCATTAGATTATGAAGCTGTGTTTTTAGATATGAAAACTAAAAAGTTTTGGGAAGCCAACTTTTAAAGATTAAAAATAGGTCTTTGCTCATGACTTTGCAAATTTTTCTGTTCTTCAAGTTTTCTATCAGTTGAACAATATTCTGCGCTAAATTACAAGGTCTACAGAAGAAAGCCTTTTCTTAATCATCTCAGAAACCTTTAGTGTCTGCTTCCTTCTCTCAGCAGAGTTTCAGTCCTTGCTGTTGCAGCTCTACACCTCCTGTATTCTCTTTTTACCTACACTAAACTGCTCTTGAGGATTATTTGCTCTTAAGCATATTCAGTTGCTAGCAGGAAGGCATGACCCCTGCCTCCCACAGGGATCCATCAAACCCAAACTCTTCATAGAAAGATTAGCTCCATTACTTTTCCCTTTCCAGATTCACATAAAAAAAATATGATAAGATTTTTGAAACACTGAAAAATACAGACAATTTCAATTCATCCACTATATTTCATATTAAAGTTGTAAAACCTCCAGGTAAATGGTAGCTTTACTAAATTCATTTAGACTGTTTCTTTTTTTGGGTAATTGATCTCTTTCTTAGATCTAGAAGATGAAGCTAAATTAAAAAGGAATATAAAAGGATTGTATTTACAATGTTATAAAAACCCAGAAAGCAAAAACATCTGATAGAAAGCATTGTATTACTTGAATTGCTGTTCTCAAAAGCTCATCCTTTAGGTGTTAGACAGGTTTTTATTCACCCTGAATACCACCAGAATTGCTACCTTATTACTACTTTAAGTTGGAATTTTTGTTCTCTGAAGAGTACTTGTCTATAAAACTTAAACTGTCTATAAATTGTCTATAATAATTCAAATGTATACGTACTATTTCCATTGGGGTCAGAAGGAGGAGTAAGGTTAGGACAAGTATCTTTTCCTATTACTTATTCGAAATTCTTTGACTACTTAATAAATAAAAAAAAATAAACACAGAAACACATAATTTTCTGTCTCACCATCTGTTTCTGCTGTCCGTCCTTTCCCATCCATCTTCCCGAGGACAGTCTATCAACATGATCCTGATCAAGTACACACAAGGATGCTAGGGCCAGCCATAACTATTGAAAGGCAAGATAGAATTAAATGTTATAGAAAAACTGAATTAAAAATCTCAAATACAACAAATTTAAACTTTGACAGACAAGAATAATACCATTACTTGCAAACTGTATCATCATTACCTGAAGTCTTGTCCATGCAATACAAAATTTTTCTTTACCGAAAGAAGCCAAGCACCCAATAAAACTTACTGAACTCTTGGGAACTAATTTGTTTCTTTCAATTTCCTCACTTTGTGGTCAAAACTATGGTAGTTGGCATGCAAGAGAGAAACAGTGAAGAAAGATCAACCAGAATATATTAGAAATATGACAACTTGTATATCTTTCCCAAGCACTGGAGATACTGTGGGGAGAAAACTGAACATAATACACTAATCAAAAAATCTTAGGTCAGTGTGATTCACTTCCCTATTCTCTTCTCACTATCCTGGTCATTTGAGATAAAGTATAAGGGGGTTGTCTAAATGTCTTCAGGTTTTAGGAAAGGTTTTCTCTCTTTCTCTCCGCTGTCTACTATCTAGTGAAATACTAGATATATTAGCTACATAAGGATAACTTGTCAGCAATCCTGCAATCCAAACTGAAATGAACTTGACAACTACATTTTGAGATGGTTTTTGACCAAGTTTTCATTTGGACAAAACGGCTTTCTTTGAATGAGTCTGCTAAGACTTCCTTCAAAGTGTGCACCTTCATGGCAGAACTAAGTTTATTCACAAGGAGAGCTGGCCTGGTGTTCAGTACTTATCTAAGACCTCACTCAACTAGCACTGCAGCCTTGAGATGTGGCAGAGTTACCTCAGAAGTGTATTTATTCAAAATTCTGATTTTAATGGAGTACTTTTTTACCACAAAGAAAACAAGTCAATCTGCTGCAACACAGAGAAAGGAAGATTTCCATTAGGTCAAGCAGTGTTTGCTGTAGTTTGGATACAACATAAGCTGCATACTGTGTAAATTGTTTCCTGAGAAAACCCATATAAGGGAATTCCCATAGAAAGGAATTTTTGCCAAAATATAGGGAAGCTCTCAGATGGGCTTTTAATCCTTGCTTGCAATGAACTAATGCGAAATTCAGAAGAGCTCTTACTCTGGTTGTTGCAATGCACCTCACTGGTGATCGGTATTCTTCTTCCATTTTGGTCAGAGCTATGATGGTTTCAGCAATAGCATTCTTTGTCACACGGGACCAAGCCTCTGACAGATGACCCTGACAAAGAGGAATGTAAGTGTTTTAAATGTTAATAAAAACTGTAATAAACTGTTATAGACATTTACAATTAAAACTGAATTGCTACAAGCAATAGTAGGTTATGATCTCAGGTTAGAACATAAAAGATTAAGTCCCAGGTTTAGCATAGAATCCACTGTTTCCCTGATGTTTTCCCACTTACACATACCCTCCCTACAAAAAATACTGGCAACAACTGTTAAAAAAAGTCTTGAACAAACTGGCTCCCCTTGCCAATTATTTCCCAATGTATGTTGCAGGCTATGCACTGAATGAAGTGGGGCAACTGAGAAAAACATGCACATACATACAAGAGTCATCGCATTAATCCTGGCGTTCACTACAAATACTGAGCACTCATATTTGCAGCTAACATTCCTTTCCTACCTGAATTTTTACACATTTCCAAAGATGTTGATGAAGTAAATAGAAACAAAAATACATCATGTGGAATCACACTGGTACCTATAACAGACCCTTCCTTGAAGGGGAAAAATAGTCATTCTATGTACAGACCAGCGCTCCTGAAGAATGAAAAGAGTTTTAATCAGGGTGATTTAGAGCATCACCTTGAACTAGGTGTAGAAAGGAAACAAACCTAACTTCCTACTAAACTACTTTTTCCCTTTCTCTAATAAATACACAAACCTTATTTCCTTCCCCAGTATTGTTTCTGGGAAATAGCTGAATCAGCTTTCATCAAATTCTTCAGCCACATAAATTTGCTTGAAAAGTACTGTATGGGAACTGCTGAGTCATGGCCTGAACCAGTGATTGATCACTTGAGGCAAGAACTGAGTCAACCACGGGAGCAGAGGTAAAGGCAATTCACCTGTGTGACCAGAAGGGGTGGAGCCTGGCTCCACTTCTCCTACACCCCATTTAAGGGCTAGAGATCCTTCTTTTTGGAATTTTCTACTGCAAGCCTAAGATATGGGTGAGTGTTTCCTTTTTGATTGTCCTTTCCACCACATTAATTTTTCTAACCATAACACTGTAAAATACCATCTTAACTATAACACTCTTCTAACTGTACAATTGTTAATTGTACATTTGGTGAGCCAGGCAAGTCAAAAATACTTTAAAAATATATATATACCTTTACTTTGGAATATCTATAAATGGGTCGGGGGGAGAACATTACCCTCTCTCCCCCTCCAGACAAAACCATCCCTGGACAGGTAGAAGACATAGCCACAGGATAATTCATGGCATGACAGGGGATGTTAGTCCTCCCAAGGCCTCCAGACAGAACTGGAAGCCCTATGTAGAGTTGACAATTTTTGATCCCGGAAGAATATTCAGAGGATTACTTCAGAGGGTTACAGTGTTGATTGACACAGATGCAGAAACATCAATAATTTTTGAGGATCCGACTAAATTTAATGGAGATAGAGTGACGATTGGTGGTTTTAGGGGACAGACCATTCCAGTCACCTAAACATGGTTGAAATTAGGGGTTGGACTTCTCCCACCCCAGGAGTATGAAGTGCCTACTGCCCTAGTCCCAGAGTACATCTTGGGCATAGACATTTTATGGATCTGGCTCTCCAGACAACTGTGGAAAAGTTCAGATTTGGACAGAGCTGCATTAGCGTCTGGGCGGTACAGGCAACACTGAAAGGCTATGTGAAGCACGAGCCTATTTGCCTGCCAGAACCGTGCCAGATTAATACTGTAAAGACAGTATAGACTGCCAGGTGGACAAGGTGAAATATAGAGAACGGTGCAGGAATTAGAAGTTGGCATTATAAGACCTGCACATAGCCCATATAATTCCCCTATATAGCCAGTGCAAAAGTCGGATGGATCATGGAGAATGACAGTGGATTATAGAGAACTGAAGGTCATGCTGCCTCCTCATGCGGCTGTACCCAATATTGCCTTCCGAATGGACACACTGAGTAGGGAAATAAAAACCTACCATTGTGTCCTACATTTGGCAAATGTGTTCTTCAGTACTTCAATTGCTGAAGAATCACAAGACCATTTTGTGTTTACATGGGGAGGCAGACAGTGAACCTTTCAGGTCCTGCCACAGGGGTACATGCATTCACCAACGTACTGCCATGACCTAGTGGCGTGTGACCGGCTAATTGGGAAAAACCTGATCATGTTAACTTATATCATTATATTGATGATCTGTTGACATCCTACTCACTGGAGGCGGTAGGAGAGGCAGCAAATTCATTAACTACCTATCTGCAAGAAAGAGGATGGGCTATAAGTCCTCGGAAGGTGCAAGGTCTGGCCTATCTGTAAAATTCCTGGGGGTAGTTTGGTCAGGAAAGACCAAACTACTACCTAGTGCTGTAATAGGTAAGGTTTAGGCATTCCCAGTCCCTACAACACCAAAGCAGCTGCAGGAGTTTTTAAGCACACTGGGATACGGGTGTCCCTTTATATCTCACTTAGTGAAGCTGCTGAGACCGTTATACAGACTCATGAAAAAGGGGCGACTATGGGACTGGGGGAGAACAGAACAGGACGCTTTCCAGCAGGCAAAACTGGCAGCTAAACAAGCCCAGGCATTGGGTATATTTGATCCTACACTCGCAGCCAAGTTGGATGTTCATGTCACTCAGGATGGCTTTGGCTGGGGCCTGTGGCAATACCAGAGTTCTGTTTGAACCCCCCACTGAATTCTGGTCTCAGGTCTGGCACGGAGCAAAAGAAAAACACAGTATGACTGAAAAACAGTTACTGGCTGCCAACTCCACATTACAGGTGGTAGAGCTGATAACCCAAACAGCTGAAATCATAGTTAAGATCACCCTGCCAATTCAGTGGTGGGTAAAAGATCTGACCCACATACTTAAGACAGGGATAGAACAGGTGCAAATGGTGGCATGATGGGTCGCCTATCTCAGCCAGAGGAGTAGTCTATCTTCACCACCACTCAAAGAACTCCAGAAGATCCTAGGCCCAGTGATATATATCACAGTGATGCACCAAAAGAAACACTGGTTGCTCTGCCAGAGAAGAGTCCCATTCAAGAGGGCAAAATATCCTATTCCTGAAGATGCCTGATACACAGATGGGTCTAGCAAGGGTAACCTGAGCAAATGGAGAGTGGTACCTTACCATCCTTGCGCCAAAACAGTCTGGTTTGATGAGAGGGATGGTCACAGCAGCCAATGGGCAGAACTGCAAGCTATGTGGATGGTTATAACCAAGGAACCTGGTGATGGTATCCTGAACATCTGCACAGATAGTTGGGCTGTGTACCGGGTGCTCACCCTTTGGACTGCACAGTGGGCCACCCAGGAATGGACTATCCATGCCCAATCAATCTGGGGCAAAGACGTGTTTAGACATATGGAATGCAGTTAAATGCAGGACTGTATGCGTCTACCATGTTTCTGGTCACCAGCCCCTCCAATCACTAGGAAATGATGAAGCGGAAACACTGGCCCAAATTCGATGGATTGAGAATTCACCATCTGAGAACATTGCCAGTTGGTTACATCAGAAGCTATGGCACACGGGACAAAAGACAATGTGGGCAGCTGCTAAAGCGTGGGGACTGCCCATTCAGCTACCTGACATCACCCAGGCATGCCAAAACTGTGACGCTTGCTTCAAAATGAGACTGAGATCGTTGCCTGAAACAACAGCCCATCTTGCTAGAGGACACAATCGTCTCCAGCGATGGCAGGTCAATTACATTGGGCCCCTTCCTCTGTCTGAGGGGGTGCGATATGCCCTGACCTGTGCTGACACTGCAAGTGGGCTACTGCAGGCCTATCCGGTACTGAGAGTGAACCAGGCACATACCATCATGGCACCCACAAAACTGATGTCTGCCTACGGGACACCTCAAATCATCAAGAGAGACCAAGGGACTCATTTTACTGGTGTAATGATACAATGCTGGGCAGAAGAAAACAGCATGGAATGGCGATTCCACCTGCCATATTATCCAATGGGGGCAGCCTCACTGAAAGGTATGACGGTATTCTTAAGACTGCCCTGAAGACAGACTCCATCCCTGCAGGGATGGACAAAAAGACTCTAAGAAACCTTGCGGAACCTGAATGAAAGACTTAGAAACGGCAGACCCAGTGCCCTGAAAATGCTACACACAACATGGGCCTCCCTGCTTAGAATCCAAATTACCAGCACTGATGATCTGGTAAGACTCCAAATTGGTAATGAAAATAATCTTCTGCTCCCTGCCCCTCCAACTTTAGAACCAGGTACCCATAGAATAAAATGCCCTTGGAAGGTGCAGGTAGGACCCAAGTGGTGTGGCCTACTTGCACCCTGGGGAAGATTATTGGAGATGGAAGGCTCGGTAGTACCTCTAGTAGTTGATACATGGCCTACTGTTATTGTGGTCAACACTCTGGTCTTCATTGCAAAAGGGTCCCTATGGCAGATCAAGACACCCCCTTTGGTGCCTGATATAGTTGTGCAGCTGCAGGTACCTGGCCAAACAGTATGGTACAGACAGCTGGGGCATGCCCCAGTACAAGCTGAACTGTTGACCCAGGATAGGAATACGGCCTGTCTCTTGCCCTAGAGGGCAGACCTTCCCCTCATGATACACCAGAAACATCTGAAACTCCTGAAACTCTCTTAGAGTCTATGAGTCTATAGGATCACCGGAAGGAACAAAATACCATCAAAGCATTCCAGTGTTGCTATCAGATCATGTGTGACACCTGGTGATGGTCTACATGGCACTGATGGAGCACAGAATGGACCTGCACCACATGACTGCATGCCTCCAGTAACACCACCAAGCACTGGCCCATAAAAGAGCATGAACCTCCACCATACACCGATCATCACTCATCTTACATTGTGTCAATCTGCATTGTGACGGCAATTGTATAAGCACTGCAATGTGTTGGATCTCTGTATTAGGGAGAGCTCACCCTCCAGCTAACTTGATCATTGGTTCATGCTGTGAAGAAGTGGAGTATATGGGAACTACTGAGTCGCAGCCTGAACCACTGATTGATCACTTGAGGCAACCACAAGAGCACAGGTGAAGGCAATTCACTTGTATGAGCAGAAGGGGTGGAGCCTGGCTGCACCTCTCCTAGACTCCATTTAAGGGCTGACTGCCCCTGTGGAAGGATCTCTTTCTGGAGATTTCTACTGTGAGGCTAGGACATGGATGAGCATTTCATTTTTTGATTTTGTCTAACTATAAATTGTTAAAACACCATTGTAACCAAGCCACTCTTCTAACTGCACATTTGTTAACTGTACACATAAACTCATGGAAAATTTCAACTCAGATGGCTAAAGTACTAATCAGCTATAAATGTACAAAAAAAAAAAAAAGTAATGTCTCCTATTTTATTATGTTGACCCACAATATCAGAGGTGAAGGGCAGTGACAGAGCAGTAGAAGTTGAACCTCCCAGCCAATATTCCATTACATGTTGTTGCTGCGCAGGAACAGGACAGTCTGACATGGAAATGTGTATGGAGCAAAGGTGTGTCACTGAATTCTTCCATCTGGAAAAAACGTCACCTGCTGATATGTGTGACTGCTCACACAGGAATGGAAGGAACATCTGTATGCAATTTATTGAATCAATACAAGGCTGAAGGTGACAGTTTCTTGGATTGCATCATTACTTGTGATCTGCTGTCACCACTATGAGCTGAAGTCAAAAGAACAGTCCATGGAGTGGCGATGTGAATTCCCCATCAAATAAAAAGTTCTCAAGATACAGCCCTCAGTGAGTAAAGTGATGTGCGCTGTCTTTTGGGATAGGAAATGTGGTTCTTCTGGATTTCCTGGAACCCAGACAAACCATCATCAACTCTGATCACTACATTGTGACACTGTCTAAGCTAAAGGCTCAGACTTCCAGAGTCAGGCCAGGAAAGAAAACAATCTTTCTCTTACAATGTGATAAGATTGGTCATACTAGATTGAAGACCATGGCCTGCACTGTCCCACCACACCCACTATGAAGTTCAGATTTGACACTTTCTGACTTCTGTCTGTTCAGGACGATGAAAGATGGACTGCATGGGCAACATTTTCCTGCCATCAACACCATTTTAGCATCTGTGAAGCACTGAGTCACTTCTGTTGGTGCAGATGTTTTTTTTTTTTTACAAGCATAGCATGCAGGCTCGCTCAGGTCCATCACTAATGAAAATGCATAGCTAATAGTAAAGACTGTTGAAAAACAGTGTTTTGTAGCTGAAAGTTTGCTCTGTCAAGTAGTGCTGTTGATCTCTTTGTATCTGTTGTAGTTTCCATGGAAATGAATAGGAGGCATTACTTTTGGAGTGACCTATACAGATGGCCAAAAGAAGCTTAACGTGCATTTTTAACTAGACTTCATGTATGAAACATACACATTCACTGTTAAGTGAAAAAAAACACTATCACCATACTATAGACACCTTTTATTTTTCAATTAGAGCTCTGAGTGCTCATGACTCTTAAAAAAAAAAAAAGTCAAATTTCTAAGTTAATAATGTAGAAAGAGACAGAAAATTAGTGATTATTACTTAAATTCCTTGTGACTCGTCTGAAAGTTCATTTGAATATTGAGCTTCTATTTAGCTGAACCAGAACATGAGTTCTATTGCTTCTAGACCTGGACCCTGCCCAAAAGAGTATATGATTTTTTTCTTGAGACCAGTTCATTTTGAACAGCTCATTCCAATATTAACTTTAAGAGAAATTAATGGAAAAAATGTATTATACATTATCAGAAATATTTGATTTCACATCACATTTAAATCATAGAAACTTACTGCTGCCATGTCCTTAATCAGTTTAATAATGATCTCTGAAATCTGTGTAGGTGTTGAACCCTTCATCCACCAATGGCTTTCACCTCGCCGAATATAGCTACAAAGGACACATGGTAATACATGAAATAAATTCAATTAGTTATTAGTTGTCAAAATACATCAAAATAAATGCTGCACACATTTGGTGCAGGGTTGGTTTTTATTTTTTCAATAAAATGTATTAGTAAGTTTACTTATATTGTCAGTGTTATTCATTTTTTTCCCATCTATTAAACGAAGATCATAAAGGGCACCATAACTGACTTCAAAATATATATTTCTTTTATAACTTTTGCTTGAGAACTTACATGTATTTTTAAACAAACCTGGAATTGAAGATCATTGGAAGTGTGACTGTAGTAACTCCTTTGCCTGCGGTAGTGCCAGCTGTCCCAGTAATAGTAGTTCCTTTGGCTTTTAGCTGTACAGTGAGAGCTTTGGCAATGCATCCCAAAAACATATCTAAAATACCCAGTTTATTCCAATCTCCTTTTTCTGTTGAGTGAATAATATCACTTATATCCGCTGGTGGAAGAGACTTCACTCCTATGATACTAGCCAGGCGACTAGGGGTTACCTCAGGCAAAACACGCCTTAGTAGAGATGTTACCTGGAAAAAGAATCAAAATATCACAATTCTTAACACGAGATGGAGCTTTCAAACAATAATTACAAATTGTTCTGTAAGACAGAATGTATGTACTCTGTGTATTCAAATCACAATTGTAAGAAATTCTGAAAGGTTTCTATGTTGCTTTGAAATAACTGTTAATAATACTGAGACAAGGCTCAAGAGTCCAGAACAAATACCACTCAAAAAAAGAAACAAAACAAAAAAACACCCGAAAACAAACAAACACACAAAAAACACCTTCATCTTCATATAATAATGAAAACATGCTTTGTACTGAACTTTCTAATGAAATTTCTGAAATACAGATGTTTGTACAACTTTAAATTGCTGGCATATTACATACTCATTCTGTATACAATCTTTAGATGTCAGAAACTGTAGTAAAACACTTAGAGACACTTGAGACTTTTGAAAACAGAGAATACTTTTCTTGAGGTATTAAGAATTAAGGATTCTTAATTTGGTACTTCCATAGTACCCTCCCTCACTCTTTTTTAATTTTCCTTGTGGTACTCAAACTTGGTGCTTTTGGATAGGAAATCTGTGCTAACTGATCTGGATCTAAATTGAGTTGTTTTATTTAGATTTTTTTTTCTTATGTGAAATAGCCTGAATATGACTAGCAAAATAATTTTAAAATGAAAATTCAAAATTCTATTTCAAAAAACCACCACTTCGAGTACATATTATCAAGTTCATTATTATACCATTGTAAAGACTCTTTTCTATGAATGCCAGGATGGATAAGGAGTACTTAGCACTCACCTGTCTCTGCACCCTCGGAGAAGCGGTATGTAGTAACGAGAAGAGATCCTGGAGCAGAGTCAGCTGCTGAGCCAGATACTGCCGGCCTACATTGGAACCACTCAATGCCAGAACCATTGACAGCAGCTCAAAGCAATACGCATCAGAAGAAGCATCTTCATCATTAGGTTGTGAGTTGGCATTCTCTTTGCTAGAGATGGCATGCTCCCATTCCTCACGCACACGGGTTGCTTCCATTCTTATGGCCTGGACTATATGAGCACATACCTAGCAAGTGGAATCCAAATACACAGTTAACTCCTAAAAACTTTTAGAGTGTTATTACTTGTGTTTTAAGTATGCATAGCTATGACAAAAATGGAAAACCAGTGAAATTTGTCCTATACTTAAATTATTTCTCAACATTACGGAATTGAAATTAAGAATAAATTTAGATTTCAATTTAGAACATTTAGATAAAGTTCTTTGGAATGAATATTTATATTTAATATTGAATTTGCTCATTTTCACTTTGGAAAATTACAAAGATCTTTTTAGTACTTTGTTTAGTTTACTCTCTGGGAGAAGATTTTAGAAAGCATATTTTCATTTTACCAATAACACGTTAAATCAAAATGAAACTCAGTGTCTGATAACACAGAACAATGGAAGGTGTAATGTCAAATAAGAGGTTCTGTATTTCCTGAAAATTAATATATTTATTGTAACATACTATTATAATGTAATATACATACAAGATACATATTTATTATAACATTATAATACTCAAAGTATTTCAGAGTGAACAAACCTGCTTTTGCAAATTTGTCAGTTTGCTCCGGCTGAATATGATCCCTACCATGTGCTCTTTCAGGTCTGCATCTGATGTTGCCTTCATAGAAAGAGTATTTAGTATTAGATCAAGAGTGCCAAGAACAAATCCTAACTTCTGTAGCCATTAATATGAAGTAACAACAAACTTTGCTCTAAAAAATGGCAGCTTTTTGTTGCACAGAAGCAAGATATATAAGCAGAAAATATTTTATACTGGTTAGTATTTTTTTTCTCTTTATGAGTAAGAGGAAATTTGAGCACAAAATCAGATAATAAGTGAAACAAGTGAAGCGCATTTATTTGAGATTCAGTTTCCTCATCTACCTTAATACAATCTCTGATTATGTTTTTGTAGAGCACTGCATGAAACAGACTTTTCACTTTCTATAAAGTTAATATATTTTGCAAGAAAAGAATCAGGGAACACACACTTATTAAACTGCTCCTTGCAAGAATATATACCAGTATACCAGCTAAAAGGATACCAGTGAGGTTTTTAAAATACTTTTTATCCAAACATCAACAGAGCACTTTCTGTCTTCAAGAAGAAGATATTAAGCAATGAAGATTGTCAGGCTGACCATTACTGCAGATGTTAAGTACTTCTGTATATTTAAACATAATCTGAGTCACCAGGGTATGGTGTTTCCATTAAACACATATGCCCCAATAAATATTTACTACTACTACTGGGAAAAAAAAAAAAAAAAATTATGCAACAATAATATTTTGCTTTTGTACTGATCTGAAAACTACGGTGCATAAGACAAATAGCGAAAATCATCCTGGATAATTTTTTCACCAATGCAATATTGATAGAATACAAATAAATACATTGTGTACTTTTTCTTCTCCTTCTGGGGAAGACAGGAGGGCTTTTTCTTCTTGTTCTGGAGTTGGTTCAGCATCACCAGAGATGAGTTTTCCAAAAACCTGGAAGAAAGGAAGTGATAACTACCTTATCTCCATGATAAAGTTGCACAGAGGTGACATTTTACATCAAAACAAGCAGCACTGAAAGCACAGAAATTACAGTAAATTTCACTGTACCACACATGAAAGTCCTACCTGAGATGTAATAAGTCGGAATACTCGCAGTGTCTCAGATTCACAGTTTCTTTGCTGAGCTACACTTGCAGAAATCTGGCCTGCTATTTTAATGCTTTCGCCATCTTTCCATCCAAGAATTTTCACTTGTCGAACTCTGAGTGTGTTCTCAGGACCCTTCAATTCAATTTTGATGATGTGATTATCACCCCCAGGAAGTTCACTCGTTACCCAGCCAATATGTCTTGAATCCAAGTCTACCTATTAAACAGGAAAATAAAGATGGGAACTGACACAGAAACATCAAACAAAAATACTCATAATTTTAAAGCAATTCCACTGTGTAACACTGGAATCAATGCACCATCTGCAATACATTTTTTTATTCAGAGCAATAATATTGCTCTGTTTAATTATATAAATATTCAAAAATGTGAATTCAGAATAATCAACTCATAAATACAATGACATACAGACACTATTTTTGTCTTTAGAGACTATTAAAAAACAGGAACTGTTAGTCACTCTATCTTCTAAGCAAAAATTCACACATTCAAAGCATTCACTTGAATTGATTTTTTTTTTCCGTTTGCTTATTTACTACTTTTTGTTAAAAAATAAAAATTACAATAATTTACCTCAAAATATAATGCATGTATATCACAGAATCACAGAATGGCCAGGGTAGGAAGGGACCTCAAGGATCACGAATCTCCAACCCCCTGCCACATGCAAGGACACCAATGTCCCCATTTAATACTGACCAGGCTTCCCATGGCCCCATCCAATCTGGCCTTGAACACCTCCAGGGACAGGGCATCCACAACCTCTCTGGGCAGCCTGTTCCAGCACCTCACCACTCTCTCTGTAAAGAATTTCCCCCTGACATCCAACCTAAATCTTCCCTCCCTCAACTTAAAACCATTTCCCCTTGTCATGCCATTCTCTACCATTTCATAAAGTTGATTCCCCTCCTGTTTGTAGGTTCCATTTAAGTATTGAAATGTTGCAATGAGGTCACACCACAGCCTTCTCTTCTCCAGGCTGAACAAGCCCAGCTCCCTCAGCCTGTCTTCATAGGGGAGGTGCTCCAGTCCCCTGATCATTTTTGTGGCTCTCCTCTGGACCCTCTCCAACAGCTCCCTGTCTTTTTCATACTGGGGGTTGCACACTTGGACACAGTACTCCAGATGGGGCCTCACAAGAGCAGAGTAGAGAGGGACAATCACCTCCCTGTCCCTGCTGGCCACCCCTCTTCTGATGGAGCCCAGGATACCATTTGCCTTCCAAGCCACAAGGGCACACTTCTGTCTCATATTAAGTTTTTCATCTATCAAGACCCCCAGGTCCTTCTCTGCAGGGCTGCTCTCAAGGACTGCTCTGTATGAATTGGGATTCCTCCGCCCAAATGCAAAACCTTGCACTTCGCCGTGTTGAACCTCATCAAGTTCACACAGGCCCACCTTTCCAGCCTGTCGAGGTCCCTCTGAATGGCATCCCTTCCTTCCACCGTGTCAACCACACCACTCAGCTTGGTGTAATCAGCAAACTTGCTGAGGGTGCACTCAATTCCATCATCAATGTCATTGATAAAGATGTTAAAGAGCAGCAGTCCCAAGAGAGACCTCTGGGGAATGCCGCTCATTACCAGCCTCCACCTGGACATAGAGCCATTGATGACCACCCTCTGCCTGCGGCCTTTCAACCAGTTTCTTATCCATCGAGTGGTCCACCCATCAAATCCACATCCCTCCAGTTTGGAGACAAGGATGTGGTAGGGGACCATGTCAAAGGCCTTGTCAAGTCCAGCTAAATGACATCGGTTGCCTTTCCCTTGTCCACCAATGCCGTCACTCCATCATAGAAGGCCACCAGATTGGTTAAGCATGACCTTCCCCTGGTGAAGCCATGCTGGCTGTCTTGGATCACACGCTCATTCCTCATGTGATCAAGCATGTCATCCAGGAGGATCTGTTCCATGATCTTTCCAGGCACAGAGGTGAGGCTCACTGGCCTGTAGTTCCCCGCGTCCTCCTTGCTCTCTTTCTTGTAAATGGGAGTGACGTGAGCCTTCCTCCAGTCATCCGGGACCTCATTTGAGAGCCACGACTTTTCAAATATGATGGACAGCGGCTCGGCAACCACCTCAGCCAGTTCCTTCAGAACCCTAGGATGCACTCCATCCGGCCCCATAGACTTGTACACATTCAGTCTCATGAGGCGGTCTCGGACTTGCTCTGTCCTCACAGTGGGAGGGATTTACCACCCCAGTCCCCACCTAGATGTTTAGGGAGGCAGGGCTCAGGGACATGAGAAGTACTGGAATCCTGGCCACCAGTGAAGACTGAGGCAAAGAACTCATTCAGTACTTCAGCATTCTCTTCGTCTGTTGAAACAAGTTCTCCTTTTACGTTTACCAAAGGAGGTACACTCACTTTGGCCTGTCTCTTCTGGCCAACATACCTGTACTTAATCAGTACTTAAGTTATCTTATCTTGATTCACATAAAGCTCTGCAAAAGAAATATTAATTTTTTGGAAGACGCTGACTGATTGCCTCTTCAAGAGAGCCATGACTTAATCACTGTAAAAAGAACAAATGAATGGTACCATTTCAACTTCAATGCCACCACTGCAGGAGATAAAATGACAGGGTACCATGCCTCATGCCATTGCTAAGGGCAACCTGAGTGTCCCAAAATCTCTATATAATCAAACTAGTATTTATTCCTCCTTCATTTCTACTAATCCTATGCCTGCATGAAATGTGATGCAGCAGGCAGGACTGACATTTTTTTATTCAATATCATGAGACAGAGGGTATGCATGAGTTGGGGTACTACATGTTGGTGCATGAGAGGATAAAAAGCCTGCTGGAAAAGTGCTAGAGGACTGTTTAACAAGGAGCGAACAAAGCTGAATGAATGAAGTCTTGCTATCTTCTGGAAGTGAGTCTGGAAAGAAAACCTGGGCACTATGTTCAAGCATACAAAGACACAGAGCAAACTAACAAGGTTCAGAGAAAGGTATAGACCATATACACATACGCACACTTTGTATCTGTCTACATAAATCCACACACTCATACTTCACTATTTATTTTGAGTCAATTGTAACCAAGTTCGCTTTATTCAAACATCCTTTGGAGCTGCATCTTTACCTTAAATGCCCACTGAGGATAAAAGGTAGAGCAAAACAAGCCATCTCTCTCTCCCTCATCTGGTTGCACTGTACAGAATTTCAGTGTTATCAGTGTTACCTCAACAAAGGTCAGTGTGACATGGTTAAGACAGCTGCTTCTTGAAAATTTTTACCACTATCAGTAAGACAAACAGTAGAAGTTCTGAGCTGCAAATGAGAACTGCTACTTCAAACCTTAAGTATATCTGATGGGACACATCCATGTCAAAATACAAAGCACTTTTCTCCGCATAAAAACGTGTTTATCATTCGGTTTAGTATCAGAAATGCAAAGATTGAATCACAGAATCACCAAGGTTGGAAAAGACCTTCAAGATCATCCAGTCCAACCATACACCTATCACCAATAGTTCTCACTAGACCATGTCCCTCAACACAACATCCAAATGTTCTTTGAACATCTCCAGGGTCGGTGACTTCACCATCTCCCTGGTCAACCCATTCCAGTGCCTGACCACTCTTTCAGAGAAGTAGTATTTCCTAATGTCCAGCTTAAATCTCTCTTGGCACAGCTTGAAGCCATTCCCTCTAGTTCTATCACCAGTCACACAAGAGGCTGACCCACAGCTCACTACAACCTCCCTTCAGGTAGTTATAGAAAGCAATAAGGTCTCCCTATGCCTCCTCTTCTCCAGACTGAACAATCCCAGTTCCTTTAGCTACTCCTCATAAGGCCTGTGCTCCAGACCCCCACCAGCTTTGTCACCCTTCTTTGAACCCGCTCCAGGGCCTCAATGTCTTTCTTGCAGTGAGGGGCCCAAAACTGGACACAGTACTCAAGATGCGGCCTCACCAGAGCTGAGTACAGGGGGACAATCAGCTCCCTGTTCCTGCTCGCAACACTGTTTCTGATGCAAGCCAGGATGCCATTGGCCTTCTTGGCCACCTGGGCACACCGCTGGCTCATGTTCAGCTGAGCATCAATCAATACCCCCAGGTCCATTTCCTCTATGCAGTCCTCCAGCCACTCCGCCCCAAGGCTGTAGCATTGCCTGGGGTTGTTGTGACCAAAGTGCAGGACCCGGCAATTGGTCTTGTTGAGCCTCATCCCATTGGCTTCAGCCCAGCTATCCAGCCTGTCCAGATCCCTCTGTAGGGCCCCACTACCCTCAGGCCGATCCAACTTCCAGCCCTCATGGCACTCAGTGCCCTTATTGAATACTATTTTGAATCATAAACTTTGGACAGAGGTCAGTAACATACTTGAGAACGATGAAAATGAGAATGATGGAAAAATGAGTGCTATGAATATACATTAGATAACTTATGTGGAAGGTACATAATTTTTTTCTTCTCTTCATAGTGTCCTACTTATGCTCAGCCTTAAGCTGCCCTCCTCTAATGAAAAATGATTCCACGTAGCAGATAAAATCTAATGACAATAGAACACAGAGCAGCTGAGCGTCTGAGTATCTAACAGCATACACCATACAATTATTTCAGGCATATTTAGTTACATATATACCTAAAATAAGCCAAACAGTTTGTTGGATCTTATAAAACACAAGCTAAACTGTCTATTTCAAAAACATTCTACACTATCTCTTACCCTTTCAGCTGTGGTAATGAAAAAATTCAAGGACCATTTTAAAATCACCTTTTCTGTTCCAGTAATTAATGCTCATGAGTAAAAGTTTTGACCAATATTCAGTATATATAAAAACTCTGTTATTAATAATAGTATTTTCTAAGAAAATAGCACTATTTAATAACAGTATTTTCTAAGAACATTAAGTGTGATACTTGCAAAACAATTTATCTGCCATAAGAAATAGAGAATATTTGCTCAGAAACTCTGTATCAAAACAACAACAAGAAAACAACAAAAAAGAACAACCCTGAAATTTTTCCAATTTTTCCAATGTCAACAGTTAAAATGGTTACCTGCTTTATTCTGCAGAGATCTTCTACTGCCTTACCAGTTAGGAAAGTCATTGAAGTCACTTTGTTCTACAACAGACAAGGAAGACAATAAAAAACTTAAACTAAAAAGCATTCAATTTCTTCCCCATTCAGAGAGTTTCATACAACTTGTTTCATCATTTTAAAAATAAATAAATAAATAAAAATTAACAGTGATCAAGACCAAGGACAAAGAATTCCAAAATACAGCTCAGTATATGTGTTTGTATTAAAAGTTCTATCTGAAATAAATATATATTTGTAGCAATACTGTCCAGACCTACAAAAACAAATTTAATAACTTAAGAAGTCTTTACTATCAGAGTGATACAGTTCTGAAATGTTAAGTTGAGGCCTACTGGCATTACCAAATTGGTATATTAAGTTAACTTAAGTATGCTATAATTTCCCTACATATAACAGTTCTGTGTTTTATGAAGTATTATCACTATATAGAACACAAATGGAGGCAAAAAGGTAGGAATCTTCATGTAGGACATAGTGGACAACTGTACATTGTCAGAGTCTAGAAAGTCTACAAAATAGTTTGCATCTTATGAAAGTTCATTATTTGAGTGCTTCTACAGAAATGACAAGCAGGGAAATAATCTTATTAAATAACTAGATGCTTGAAAATGCATGTGAAATTGAACAGGCCATTAAGAATTACATTTCTCAGGTTCATGTAAATTACATGTTTCATCATCAATTTCATTATATCAGGTACTGCTTTCAAAACCACAGGAAAAAGAAAATTTATTTTAAAATGTGAAGTTCTGAATTGAAGTAACACAATCATCTGGATGGACAACATTGTGTTTCTTGAAAGATGAATTATATATAGCTGACTATGCATTTTTGTTTTTCATTTCTAATTTCTTTTTTCTCTTACCCCAAGATCTCTGGAATTGTCTACATGAACACACACATAGCGTGCATTGATTCCTTTTACACAGTTAATTGTGATGTTTTTAGTTTTGTTTTTATCTTCATCTCCTGACTCCCAGAATGTTTCTGTAGATCCATCTGTTAAACTACCAATCATGGCAGGTCGACTTGATGTTTTAATGTCAACAATGCTTGTTAGGTCTTTTAGACAAACCACTATACACAGTTCCTGTGAAAGCAAACAGAAAATATTTAAAATTTATTAAACCAATCATGGAATCATGGAATGGCTTCGGCTGGAGAAGACCTTGAAGATCATTTAGTTCCAACCCCTGCCACAGGCAGTGTTGCCACCCACCAGATGAGGCTACCCAGTATCCCATGCAGCCTGGCCTTGAATGCCTCCAGAGATTGGGCATTCACAGCCTCCCTGGGCAACCTGTTCCAGCACCTCACCACTCTAACAAAGCCCAAATGCAGGCACTATTTACACCTTAAAAATCTTACACTTTTTCTCTCCAGTTAGGAGATGTGTTCTTTGAATTAAAGAAGCCATTTGTCAGTTCAAATTATTCAGGCCTTTAAACCAAAGGAAATACCATTGGCTAACAGACAAACCCATTGGTAAACGTGTAAATGTATTAATGAGCAGAAGAAAACAATTTAGAGCTATTCATTAGAAGTATTAATCTTGGCTCCTCAGAAGAGTAGAAGGAAAAAAGATGTGAGCAAGTTAAGAACTGGAACTATTTAGCACTTAAAAACTGAACTCAATGAACTAAATGAATTAGCTAAATGAATAACATAGATTAAGGGCCAGTATCTGAACCTCTGAAGTTAAATAATGAAAACCTGAATATCATCAGCAGGATTCTAGCAATTTACTCAAGCAAATATGACATTGCAATGAAAGATATTTTCATTCCATCAGAATTGTTACAGGAACTACATACTGTTCATGGTTGATCTCTGCTTTTGAGAGAGAGGCATAATACTGACCTGACTCATGACTTCAAAACCTGACTGTATACTGATACTAAAACTTTCTTCACTATCTCCATCGTCAGATTTAGACAAAATATTGTTGATATGATGGAAAACATTGCTCTGGTGCAGGAACTGATGGTCAGATTGTTTGAATTTGAGACTCCAACACCTGGAAACACATTTAACAGATTTTGATACTTTGAATACCCATTAAAAGATACAACCCACCAGCAAAGAATGCTATTAATTACATTTTTGGTTCTCAAAATGTATTGAAGAAACCTTTAACTTCAAATATTTGCAGGACAGTTTGTTCCTACTTTTTAAAGAAAACAGGAATAAACAAAATAGAATCATTATTATTCAATTTGCAACTTCAGCATCAAGACACAGGAAAAAGCTTACGGAGACTATTCAGGTAACAGATTTTTGAGTAAAAAGTAGACTACACATGCAGATAGTACCACATTCTTCAATAGAAAACCTATTTTAAAATAGTAGGCAATACAGAACTTTAGAGGAAATATATTTTCTCTAAAAATCTTTTATACCAGTACACATACAAACACATACATACATAATTTACATGTATCTTCCTAAACGTAAGGAAATGCACACTTACTTTCTTACAGGAAACATAAAGATGTTTTCAACTTTGAATCTATACTGCAAAATCTGTTCACCTATAACATTTAGGATGTTTTCAGTCTCCTAAGAATTATTTTACTTTGTGCTTACCTTAAGGCCATTTGCTGTAATGCACTACCACTGGGCAGAGACATCATGAGATCAGAGATCGTTTGGAGTAGACGGTGAAAAGTGTGGGGTAATGGATGAGCTGCTTCCCCAGCAATCACTATATCAGACAGAGGATGTTCACACACTCTTGTGTCTTTCTCCTTAAATGCAAAGCAATTTGTACTTTGTTAACAGACTTTCATACAAAAAAAAGTTAAAGCAAACAGTAGGTTGCAGGATGTGGGGTTTTCTGGCACTAGATTAGCGCTTTGCTAATGACTTCTTTGTTTGTTTTTGTTTTTTTTCCTCACACCTAAGAATAATCATAAAACTAATGCATTAAAAGACAGGAATTCATAATCAAACAAAATCTGATAATTTTAGAGGAAAAAGTAATTCAACTGTGACTACTTTTGACCTCTTTTGAGGTCAAGTACAGTTTATACTAAAAATTTAAATTCCATAGGTAAAGTTTTGTTTCATAGAGAGGGTGTAAGGATCCTTTTCACATATACCAAAATCATTTCTAAGTTATTAGAACTCAAGGGAGATACTGAATTTATTTCTCAACCTCACATACTTGTTCTGCATTTTCTTTATTTGATTTATTTTCTTCATCCTCCTCCTCTTCAGGTTCTACAGGTGCAGGAGTCAGGGAAGCCACAAAATGCCATAAAATATCATGAAGAGAAGTTGTTTGAATGACATTACAAAGAAGCCAGTTAAAAGCCTAAAATAAAACACACATAGGGAATTTCCAATTAAGTACACAAACTAGGATAAAAACACTTCACGTAAAGAGATATACGGATGCTTTTGGACAGTTAAATAATTATGCAGAGCCCTCCATGTAAAGCCTTGCTCAATAACTTAAAGAATCTATTAAAACAACAGATGTATTTCCAGACAACAAACATATTATTGAAGAAGATTTTCAGGTAATATTTTTGTATTCTTAACTTCTAGAGTTCATAATACATTCATAAAAGTCAAATTTTAAAATGTTTTTTTTTTTCTCGCTTTTATACCTATATGAAAATTATAAATAAAAAGCCACAAGAAAAACACACAGAAATTACATATGTCCTATTATAATCACAAAAGATCCATTAGTACATTAATACCTCCATGGCAAATACTCGGCAAGCAGATTTCCGTAAGGCTTGTTTCATTGCTATTTCAAGTCCTTCCAGATCATGATGCTGGATTACAAATGCCAACACCGGCCACTGGAAGTTTCTCTCTCCTTTGGAAAGAGAGCTGTGGGCGGAGATTAACCGAGAAAGTTCAGGAGATGGATGTCTCAGGAGAGAGGACCCCACTTCTATTCAAAAGCAAAAAAATATGCATACATTAGGTTGCTTGTGCATTTTCATTTTACAGCCACAGTAAAAATAAAAAGCAGCAGAGAAATTTCAGAATTGATAAACATTTTTCTTTTTTTTCTATCAGAAAAAAACGTAATGAAAAAAAACAGAATGGAAAAATGATGCTTCAACTGAGAGTATAAGCAGACAATACCATCAAGAAACTACCATGTTAGCTTTTAAATTAAGCACAGAACATGAACCACAAATTTCAGAACTGTAGTAATCCCTGATATTTTCTGAGGCTAGTCCTGTGCAGATTATTAAATATTGGTTGTCTAAGAGAAATAAAAGCAATTATATATATGTATATGTATATTTAAATACAGAATTGTCTACAGTTTCCAAGAATAACGATCAGTCCAATGCGACATCCTCAAAATTTTTTTTTTATTCATTCCATCAGAATCGTTACAGGAACTACATGCTGTTCATAGTTGATCTCTGCTTTTGAGAGAGAGGCATAATACTGACCTGACTCATGACTTCAAAACCTGATTGTATACTGATACTAAAACTTTCTTCACTATCTCCATCGTCAGATTTAGACAAATTTTTCCAATATTTTTCCAATGTCTGCACTTTTACCTGCATCTCCACTGTTAACTCGTCGCCTGGGGATTGCCTTTACACGTGCTGGCAAAATGGAGTGCTGTTTGTCATATTCTGATGCAACAACTGAATATGACCTTTGAAAAACTGTGCGCTTTGCAAGGTCTGTATCTGTTATTGGACTGGTTTCCAAACTACAAAGAAATCAGAGAAATTAAAGATTCATTAGTAAATATGTACAGTGCTTTCAAGTTATGCATGCATATTAAATAAAGGAACATGCATTCAATAATGACAATGCTACTGCTGCATGAAAGTTTGTTTGATGTACCTAAAAACTGTTTATACCCTGGAAAAGAAAAAACACATTAGAATTGTATATGATGAAAAAGCATGAGAAGACTTCATAAAAAATATAATAATGTAACTCGTAAGTTCAAAGAATTTCAGTATTTTTCAGAGAGAACACAAACATTTTGATGATGCCTGAATTGAAGTTTCAGGCAAAATTGTACTGAGAATGCATGTAAAAGTACCTATGAAATGAATTTTTATTATGCAAGCCAATTGAAATTTAGAGTATTAAGTGAAGGAAATGTTTCCAACATCTCCAGCCTTAAAGTCAATTTTCATTTGCTACGGCTATGTCTCTGACATGTTTTACTCCTTACCTTCAGTGGACTTCTTAGAGTCTGCAGTCTGCAGAACTCCCAGCTTATGCTGTTCCTATAGGCCTCAGGAAACCATGGTGTCCACAGTTTTAATAAAGGAATATACCAATACGATGCATTCTTAAGGAGTTTTGTTAGAAATGTTCTATTTATGAAAAGACTCTATTGCAGATTATAGTATTCCAATAAACTGCTTTTTCAGTCAGTATAAGAAGTAAGAAATTGAAATACATAAAAAAATAGATCAAAAGCAAATTTTCCCTTTGTTACATCACTGATGTATGAAAACCTCAAGCATCTATGTTGGTTTAGGATTATTATTAAGTAATAGTAAGAGTCTTTTTTACCCTGGGCAAAACAGAAAAAAAAATCTGTAATTGTTTGAATTGGATTATAGAAAATTTGACAAAATAAAGACTTGGGTTAACCTGATAAAAATCACCTAGCACTCTTGGTCCTGGATAGCATTAAACTGCCATTTCTCCACTGATATTTTAACTTTCTACAGAAAGAAACACCAAATTTTGCTTTGAAAATGTAAAGTAATGAAATTCCCTCTTAGTCAAACCTCCCTTCAAAATGAAATCTTGAAGAGCTACTACTTCTTAAAAGGGTAGTTCGTCCACACTACAATCAATCAGTTGTGTCACAGAATGGAAATACAGGGGAAAAGTGCTAAATTTTCAGCTAAGTTTCTTGGACAACTGCTTTTCAAACAATGTCTTCAGTTTTGCAGTTCTGGCGATTGTGCAAACTGCATTTGCCTCTAAGAGAAAAATAAGCAGGCCTGAAGTAAGGACGATGGATTTGTTTTCTTGAGGGACACTAAAGATTTTTAGTGAAAAGTCTTTCACCCAGAGTGCTTGGTGAAGAGTCCTTCATCAATTTCTGAATGTATGACTTGTTTTTATTTTGTTTGTTTTAGCATATTTTGGCTGTGAAATCAAGATCTTTCTAAAGAGAAGCAACTGATCTGCAACACTCTCAAAGTTTTAAATAAGGTTTGCAAACTTGCATTACCAGTGCCTGAATATACATCAGATATGCTATCCTTTACTGAAGACACTTAAAGAACAGTTTCTTGTGTTTTGGGTTTTTTTTCTGCTATTTCAAGAGACTGATCTGGGCTGACCTGATACTTTAGCTACCTAATTATGACAATGTTTTCCATTATCTTCATTAAAAAAAAATTAAAAATTTAAAAAATTAAACTGTTCTGTTAATGCATTAACATTTGTATGTAGTACCTAGACGAGAAGTACCTGGGGGGCATAGATTTCATGTTACTCTCTGGTTCTTCAAAGACATTAGGGCTTGCATCAGGAGTAACTGAGATGTATGGTGCAGGTACAGAAGTTGAGCGGAGGTACCTCATTTCATCCTGGAAGAGGTTGTCATCCTGGTATCCAGCAAAGTTTTCATGATGATGCCTACATCAAATAAGGTTTCTTAAGTTAGGATTAAGAGTTACTGAATGTACAAAATACTTCCTTGAAAATACACGTAAGCAGCTAACACAATTCATTTACTATTCACCTAATGAATACAAGCTAGTTGCAATTTCCATCTTAGGGCAAAATATAGTGGCGTTTTCAACTGATGAGTTAAACAGTAACCAACACAGGGGCTGGGAAACCCATGATAGACATAAGACACTAAGAGTTTACTCAATTTACTCAGAAATACTGGGCAAGCCCAGATTTTTTGCTTCCTTGTTACTATTTTGAATGCTGAAGAGGGAACAGAAGCACATATGTCTGCTAGAACAATGCATTAAGTTAAACTCTTCAGGAAATTCTAAATTCTTTGGACATAAATGATGCTGCTAAAAAATACTTAGCATCCAAAAGCTATTTAGGCTACACTTGATCATACGGGCAAATACAGTCTAAGAAATTGAATAAGATCAGGAAATAATACCCTAAATACATGAATATTATAATCAATATTTGTAAACTTCCTTCAATTACCTTGCTAAAGTCTGTAGATACAGACATGGCATTTTTATGGGAAAATCTTCAGAAATTCCTTCTTTTAGACTTGGAAGTTGAGATTGGAATGCTTTTGCAGGGTGATAGCAGAGGATACTAGGCTCAGCAGCACTGCTCAGCGACAGCAAATACAGTGCGTTAGCTTTAATCACTTGGTGAGCTTCCATAGTTGGCAAGGCACGAGGAGTCTTAACTTGCATTGGTTTTCTCCTAGATTGCTTAATCTATAGCAATTAATGAAAAGAAAAAAAGGTGTATTTAAATTATTCTTCATCACAAGAGAAGCTATCAATATCACGTAGGTAAGCTGCTTGATTCTTCCTGTTATAAAATGATGCTGTTCTAAAATAGTACTTTTAACTTTTCATAAAAAGTTGTAAGTTTTCATGTTTGCTTCACAATCAATTTTGTGTGCAAAAAGTTTCAATACATTTATTCATTTAAACTAAAACTGTTCTGTTCTTCTTTAAAAAAAACTTCTACATATTTGCATATTTTAAGCAAAAATTTGAAACTAGGTATGGCAAGAGCAATATTAGATGAATGCCTTTCATGCTAATACTCCATTACTCTAGTTCACCCAAAGCTTGGTTATGTCACCACATAAAGACCTGAGTATGATCTCACGTAACATTACTGTGACATTGGTATTTCTCAAAACCTTCCATGATTCTGAAATTCCAAATTTTTCAGTCTACTTTCAAACTGTGAATGCATTACTATTGAGCAGATAGAGAAAAACATAAGATAAACAGATAAAAATACCTTCTCTCTTGCTGCTGCTTGCTTTTCACGGAGGTATTTTTCTCTGCATCGATCACATACCAAATACCAAGTGCTTCCTCCAATACCACCATCACCACAATTACCAGCCCATCCTCCACAGAAGTGTCCTATGCTATTATAACCTTGGCCACCAGCATAACGACCACAACCTACATACAGTTAAAAAAAACCCAAAAAACTGTTATTTCAAAATAAAGATTTTTTTTCCTATCTTCAAAACAGGGATGTAGGTGGGGAAGGAAGGTGGTTGCCTGTCTTTCCTGTTAACAGATTTAAAAAATTACAGTGCACATTCATGCATCCCAGTGGTATCTGAAGAATCCAAATACTTCTGTTTTCATGTTTTTATTATTAACATGCCCAATGCATGAACAGTTTTCAACTTAGCTTAGTGATGGTAAAGTCAGTATTACATGTTAGCCAGCATATCTACAGTTTAACATAAATTACAGACTTACAACATATCTAACAAAGCTTAAAAGGGAATAAAGTGTATTCCTTTGCTGATTATTGGTTCTCTGAAAAATTGAGAGAACTGATAAGTGCTGAAGATGAAGGCTCCGTAGTTTACCATACAGTATTAGAAATAGTGCATACAACATCAGCCTGAACTTCACTAACAGGTAAAATTGTTTAGCTGGGTTTACAAGCTAGAAAACACAAATAATTTTGTCACTGACAAGACTACTTATTACTGGCTACATCACAAGTATTTTTTAAACTCAGTTGACAAGCAAACAGTAGTTAATGTCTACCTAAAAATTATTTCCTTAATGATTCCCAAATTAAACTCCTGAACAGACTCGGGTAATGTGTAGAGGGAAAAAATAGCTGTTTCATATTTTACAAGCTGCCTTCTGATTAATGCTCACAAATCTACTAACCACACATTTTTTTCCTTTTAAAACATAGATTTTAAATCAAAGTTCACTGATACCAAGAGATAACACAGCAGATAATCAATAGTAGAATAAAAAACTTTTGGCAGCATAGACATGTGAATTAACCATAACTTATACTTTTTCTCCCTTTTTTTCAGCGCTGTTCAGAGTCCTAGAGTGTAACAAGTAGCATATTTCTGAAGTAGTACTGTAAAGTCTGATTGCTGATTTGTCTTTATTTCAAAAATTTTCTTCATGTTTGAGAGCCTATATCCTTAAGTACATTTGAATTTAAATTTAGCATGTGTGATAAACTGTGTTAAAACATTAAACAAGGCAGCCTGACTTATTTCCATAACAGCAACTAATACAAAAATGTATGTGCATGATGTATTTTGCAGGCAGACACAGGAAGCAAAATATTGAATCTTACCTGGATGAGCTTGTCTCATGTGGTAAGTCACTGGATATGGATGTGATTCTCCACACAACTCACAGATTGTGTCTTTTTCAGGTCCTCCTACAGCTAGTTGGGCCATCTCACCAAAAAGATTTCCCCTTGGTCTGGCCTCAACCTTTTCTTTTTTCTTTTTCTCTTTCTTGGTTTTCTTGTTATCTTTGTCATTTTCCTTCTTCTTTAACACTGCACAAGAACCAGGACTTGGAAAAATCATATTTTGGGAAGCTGCTTTAATAGTTGCTAAAGAAATATCTTCCCAAAAAGCTACCAAGTGCTGCAGTGTTAATGGAAGAGGAGACTTGGATTTCATAGTGTGATGACTGGATGTTTCAAAGGAGGTAGTTTCAATTTTTCCATCCTCACACTTTTCATGCAAAGGTGGTTCTTTCAACATTGAAAGGACCTTGTTTTTGTTGATGCTGCCCATTTTAGATATATCTGGTCCATGGGGAGCAATGTTGAACATGTTAAGAGCAGAGGATATTTCCAATGAATGCCTATTTTTCAACTTGGTTTCTTTTTCCTCTGCAGGTTGTTGACTGAGACTGCTTCGTATTGGTGCATGCTCTTTGGACAGCTCTGGATTAAACTTCAAAAAAGATGAACAAGCCATAGCATCGTGAACTATTCCTTCATGCCAAAGAAAAGCAGCGAACACAGCTCTAGCACATTCTGCAACAGAAGGTGACATTGCTTGCTTGGCTGGCTCTATGGACTTGGAGCCATCTCCTTTAAAAAGAAAATTGGATTTCTCTTTTTTGGGTCTTGTATGCCTACCAGCACATTTACGGCTCACTTTTGGAGATGCTCTCATGTCTTGCTCATCTTTCAGAGGTGCTTTCCCTATGCTGAAATGAACTTTACTAGAACTGTCGTCTAGACTTCTGAATTCTGTGCTGTCTTCACAAGTGCTATCTGTAATGCTGTTAGTCTTTAGAGTACTTGAAGTACACACTTCAACAACCTCACTGTGAAGGTTTTCTTGGACGACATGAGGGGATGGAGCTCTATTTTCGGTTTCTGTAGGTGTCACATCCTTTGTAATAATTTTTGGTTTGGGTGAAGTTGATCTCCCCCTTAAAGATTCTGTTAGTGGCACTTTCTTTTTGCGAAGAGTGTCTGGATCTAATGTGTAAGAATCTGATTTGGATCGTTCTCGAGGAGGATCAAGCTTTGTTTTTACAGGAGATGAAGCTTTCTGTGGTACCGTTTTATCATGGGGTGATGAGGATCGTGGAGAACTAGCACCAGATCTAACTGCTGTAAGTGTCTTTGTCTTTGGAGAAGATGACCGAGTTCCTGGTCCTGGAGATTCAGCTCTCAGACCAGTTGTAGTTCTTCCATCAGTTTTTAGTGTTTGCAAAGTATTATGATTTGGAGACAAAGATCTGCTGTGAGAATCTGACCGCAACTTTGCAGCATCTGACTTCAGCAGCAGAGATTCACTGGCTGTTAGGCCGTCAGTATTTCTAGGTTTCTTCTGGTCAGCAGCAGTTCTATTAATTCGCACATCAAGCTTCGGTGACCTGCTGTCAGCTCTGTGTTTTGATGACATGTCTGATTTTCCTGCTGGAGAAATAGGTCTAGCAGCTCCTGAGAAATTCACTCGGTCACCTGTTTAGCATATTTTGTAATTAAATTGTTATATTTAACAGTGACATGTTTAACAGTACAAAACAAGAATTAAAGACCTGAATGCACAATAAAATTCAAAAGCATGCTTCTGTTCTTGTAATGCAGGCAAATCTAAATACTGGTACATTTCTTCTCCTAAAAATATGTGCAAATGTACATTTCCAAACATTGGCTAGGAAATATTTACAAAAAATACATTATGGTGGTATCTAAAGGCATAGTTCACTAGTTTCTCAAAACACAAATAAATGAACTATATTTACTTCTCTAGCTACAATTAACTAAAGAATTAATAAAGCTAGGTGTTAACTAAATTTACCTTAGTTGCAACAGAAACCAAGGGTTATTTCTTTACTATTTCTGTGTGTCAGACTGATTGGAACAAGAGACAAGCAGAAAGACCACTTGTATGACCAGGTTTACTTTTCTTAATTCTCAAAAGTCAGGAAACATAGGAAGTAAATACAATTATAAGGCAAATAATTAGGTAAAAGACTTACAAACAAGCTTAAAACAATTCACATTACTCTATCTTGATTTTTAAGACCACATGCAATCAACGTTTTTCTCCTAGAACAGAATCTACTCATAATAACCTTCTTCTATTACTCTTAAGCCAAACCATCAGCCACCTTTAGCTTGATGCAGTAATTTGTTGTTCTCAAGTGCACTGAATTTACACGTGTATTACATGCCAAACTAGTATATGTATGTAAGTAGCTTCATCAAACATTATACTTCAAATAGTTTTATGAGTACGAACCCTGTCCCTCTTATAGAACTCTGTTTTTTAAATTAAGTCAAGAAATGTTTACATTACTGGTAATAACGCAACACTCATCAAATTGTAATAATATACAACTCTCTCCAGAATACACCTCAAAGTCTTGAGCACATAGTCCTTCTGATTTGAATATGTTTTCGTTACTTAAAAAAGAAGTAGCTATCATTGTAAAGCTTGTAAAAGTAGGTCACTGCACTGTGGATTTTTATTTATTTATTTATTTATTTAACATTAAATAGCATTAAAATGCTATTTTCACTGGCTCAAGCACATTCTGGGGGAAAAAATAATTTGTCAAAAAATTTTAATCAATCAAAAAATGTTTGCTAATTTGAACCGTGATTTCTAATGGAAACAGAAATGACAGGAAGTCATCTTTTATTCAGTACCTTCAATATTTACTTGGAAGGTTGGAAATCTGTGTTTAGTTCCTTCTGCAATATAGAATTCTGAATTCTTCTAGTTTCGTATCATGAAACCTTATCTGCATGCTAGATAATATACAGAAGCATGGAATGACCTGTTGGTTTTTTGTTTGTTTGTTTGTTTGTTTGTTTTAAACTAATACCATTAAATCTCACAATAAATAAATAAAGACTAGAAACCAAGATGTCTCCTCAGACAACAAAACATTTTTTGTTTCCTCTATGTTTAAGTGGCTTATAATAAACAGCTTCAGGAAAAAGTTAAGAATATTTATATTAAAATATTTAACAAACTTGAGAGTTAGGGTGCTCTCCTTGCTTCCCAGCATACTGGACACACTAGGAGTTTATATTTCTCCATGATAAAAAAGAAATATTTTGTCTATATTCGAGGACAACATGCCAAATATAAACAGAACATTTCAAAAATTTTCATTATTGCTCTTGAGTGTCTTAAGTGTCTTTAACCTTTTTTTCTCAGGAGTTTTTGGGTTGTTTTCTTATCTGCATGTTTGTTTCGACATGGGGGGAAGGAAGCAGGCAGAAATAGCATGGTACATCATGTTTTATAAAATGACTGCTCTTGCTAGAGGAAAAAGAAAGTGTTTATTAAATAGCAGTTCAGCCAGTTTCTCAAGCCACTTTTGTTATTCACCAGGTCTACTGATGAACAATTTTTAAGATTTCTGCTTTGTGATAAATGAATTCAGAAATGAAATTACTTTATACATACTTTTCCCCCAAATAAGCAAACAAAAATATTAATTTAAAGTTTGCCAGATGTAGATATTATTATTTAAATAACTTTTTATAGAACTCCTCATAAAAGAAAAAAACTGAACAGAAAACACTTGTCTTCTTAGAGGACACAGAACACGGCAAACCATTCAGCAATGTATCGCATTCCAAGTATATGCATTACCAGTTAAAAAAGTAGGAAAACATCTAGAACAAAAATGTTTTTGAAAAGCATAGCTTATCAATAGCTTTTAGCAATGAAAAATATTTTTTTAAAGAAGGTTTCACTTTGCACATATACATGTAAATAATCCTAATTAGCATTCTGGAGTATCAGCACAAAAAAATGCCCCACATGAGAAACTGCGTAATTACATATTTGATTTATCTGTAAACAAAGAAAAAAAAAGATTACTTTTTTTCCCTTCTACATTTCATTTGCCTTCTATATTTGCATTTGAGAGCAGATAGTGTTATACTAGATTAACAGTTACCCATTTACAAAATTTGATAACTAAAATCCATACCCTGGATAGTGCTGTTCAGGAAGGCAATACTGAATGGCCGTATCAAATAAACTCCTAACAAACACCAAACTTGAATAAATCGTATTAAGAGAATGAAATGAAAATGAATGTAAGGAGGAAAAAAAAAAGCAACACTTTCAATGCAAAAGCTGAATAACCTAGCCATGTTTGCATGCATACCCACCCTTTAGTTTGTGACAGAGAGATGAAATAGCAGAGGCAGGCCCAGCTACATCACTAGTTTTGTAAATACGCTCACGAGAAGCAAGGCAGCAGGATGGAGTGTCTACAGTGGAAAACAGTTGCACAGAAGCAACACAGATTCAATGGAAAAAAATGCAAATGTAAAAACAAGCATTTAAAGTGATATGCATCTCCTCTTTTAAATATTCTTGAGTTCATCAAGACTCCTACGTTAATTTTAAATGAGAAACAGTTACTTAAAAAGCTTTCCCTAATGCAAACTTCAAAAAATAAAATACTAAAGTATTAGTTTATGGGATCTCAAATGCACTATGGCTAGTCAATCAGATGGATGGTTTATTATGAAACCAGCAGTACCTGATTTTGAACACAAATCTGCTTTTAAATGTGAAATTTTAATCTGTAAATTCAGAGATTAGTTATTGAAACCCGCGGTATCTTCTTCAGATGACCATTTATAACATTCTTCTGATAAAGTTAGAGAAGATCCAGACTTTTCTGCTTTGAAGTTTCACTACTCATTGGAAGAATGACGAAAAATATATTAGATCAATCAAAGCTATTTGTTTTCAAATCTGAATTCACCTCAGTAATGAAATGTTACAAAAATCTTCACTTGTAATGTGAACTGCAGTTTTGCAATACCATCGGAAGACCTAATTATCAGTAGAAGTTTCTATGAAACAGTATAGACATGAAAACAAATTTGTATCAACCCTTATAAATAATTTTGCTTTAAGGATTAAGGAAAAAAAAAGAAGTTAAACTCTGGTATAATCCATGATAGAATGAGATAACAACAGGGACTTCTAATTTCAAGTCTATGACTTTACTTTCTTATAACACTGTTTTTAATTCTGATTTCAATTTTTATTTCTTCAGGAAAAAAAAGTCAATTTCCCATTGTAAGATTTTGTACACTAGAAGATACTTGGCTTTAGAAATACACTTTTGTACAAATGGAAGAAAAGTGCATTGAAAATAAGAGATTTTCATTCCTACAGCGCTTAGTTGTTGTTTTTTTTTTGTTCTTGTTCTTTTGTTTGTTCGTTTGGTTTGCCTTGGTTTGGTTTTTGTCTGGTACTGAATTTACAAATCTGTACACAAATACATTAAAATCCCTACTTTGAATAACAAACTATACATCCACAGATTCTTTAAGGAGAAGATGTTCATTCATACTTGAGGTAAGAATTTAATTCTTCAAAATGATAAAAGAATTAATATATTCTCATTCTAGTACTATCACAAGTTTAAGAATAGCATTACTTACTTTGATGCCTACAACAGTTTTGTAAAGATGCAATACCAACTGTATAGCTTTTGGGTAGCAGGACGTCAGACACTTCATTCATTTATAAAGTTAAAATGCAGGAAAATACATTAAGAATGCAACGTAGCATTAAAGAAACACTTTTGTAAAAAACAAGCCTAAAAATGACAATTTTGTTTATCAGCTTCCCATTCTGTGAATAATTAAATATTTACTAAATCCAATTTAATGTATGCAGATTTTCATTTCATTCTTTCATTCTACATCTGAGAATATTTACATTACAATTCTGTAATCTAGTTTATGTTCAGTACTGTATCTGCACTCAGTCACTTCAAGGAGATTGGGTCAAAGAGAATGAGATTCCCACAGTCTCCTCGCTGCCCAGGGAAACAATGTTTCCTGGATGTGCTTAAAAACTGGATGTGGTGCTCAGGGACATGATTTAGCAGAGGGCTGTTAGGGTAGTATGGTTAGGTCATAGTTGGACTTGATCTTTAAGGTCTTTTCCAACCTGAGTGATTCTATGATTCTGTGATTCTATTCAATCTATGTCTATCCAGTATGTCTGGTCAGTGACAAGGACAGGATTCCTGCTCTTCAGTCACCTTCAAACTACAAAGGCTTCAAATACAGGTAAACAAGACCTGTCCAGTCACAACTGAATGCGACAACCTCTGTCTAGTCACACTCTCTCCTTCAACTTGGAAATAGTTCCAGCCTGAAAAGCTACACAGTGTGGAAACAGAAGAGGCAGCTCATGGCAAGATGTCCGATATCTGCTTCTTCTGAGGAAAAGCCAGCAGGTATGACATACTGCTGACTGGTCCACGTTAATTTTTATTATTTTTTAAGTCTGAAACAGACTGCTTAAAGTGTGTCTGGATTGTGAAGATAAGCTAAAATTTCTTCTGAAATGCCACTCCTTTCCAGACTTTTTGCATGATGATGAAGGAAAGCACTGACCTACCTTCTGCACTTTTGCCTAAGCATTGGATGCCTCATGTTTTTTCACATTTTAAAAAATGCCAAATGCTGTACTGACAGTTGGACATGGATTCCATTTCTTGATAAATACAAGAATACACAGAAATCAACAAACATCTGAATATTACATATTAAAAAGGCAGAGAACTACTAGATAAATTTAGTAGGGAAATGAAAGAATGAACAGAAGCACCTGCTAAAATGTAGTATAATTACAAAAATATTACGGTTCATTACAAACAAAAATTTTTATGCTTACTGCCCAAAGGCAGGGTTTCAATAACAAACACTGGAGCTGCTTAAATATTTTAATTGAAAGAAGCCTTCCTGCACTAGAGAATTATATAAAATTAATCTATAATTTTATAATAATGAACCTGTAATTTCCTAATTTCTGAAGACAATGAGTCAAATCTATTTCTACAATAAACCTCAACAAAATTTATACATGTCCTCCAAACTTGATACCAGTCCCACAGAGATGGTTTTGAATTTAAATTTCTCAGCACACACAGAAAAATAAGTGTGTTTCTTACAACATTAGATCTTTGAAGCCTAAAGTATGAAACAGTTTAACTTCTTTCAGGAATAATAGTTTGGCAATAAGAAAAAAGTTTGGCATCAGAAAAAAAAAAAGTTAGCCAGTACTTTGTCTGCTTTCCATGACATTTCAGTATGACATAGAAGAGATCAGAGTGATTGGTTAAGACTACTCTCTCCCTTCATATTACTGAAATGATACTAAAAATGGTTACACACTCTGTATGTGTGCAAATCTTTTGTGCAGATTCCACTGTTTATAAAAGGTTGACAGAAGCACTACAGGCAAAGCCAGTGGTTCCAAATGTTCTGTAATAAGCACCTAGGAAGGGCAGGAAGAAAACCAAGAAGAAAATGCTAACACAGTACTGAGGAACATATGAATGGTAGGGGCTGATCATACACTGGTTTGCAGCCCTGCAGCATGTATTGGCAATGAGGCAGTCTAACACCACGAATGCATTAACAGCAGCTCAGCACTGCAGCTTCTGCCTGGACTGAGATAAGTCAGGAAACAACAGCTGTGCTGAGGACACTACTCAAGGCAAGTTGACAGGGCTATGGTGGAAGAGTTAGAATTGTGATAGATGAATCAAACAAAAGGGTTTAATGCATCTCCAGTCTATAAATCTGTTCCTCATTTGTAATAGCAACTCACATGTGAAGATAATAGCAGAAAGTTCTAACTTCTGTGACAGCAAGATTCCTCCCTTGGTTGAGAGTTCAACAGCCACATCTTAAATCTTACTAACTGCTGTTGAACAGTGCAACAAGATCCTGCTGATCTCCCTGTCTTGCTGTGTATGAGGGTTTTTATGACCTAGCACAAACTATTGAAAGCTGAGAAACAAGACCTTGCTTGACCCTCCAGGATTTGATACACTTAGAATCCAAGCAGAAATTGGACATAATCACCAAAATGGAGAGATGAATTAATCAAGTAATGAGTAATAAATCTAGCAGCTGTCGGAAGCTGTGCTCCTGAGTAAATCTGTTACTGATGATCTTACAGTCTTCTTAGAAGTAAGAAAATTCAGGCATGAGTAATTACAGACTGTTTTGTTGAAATAATCAAGGAAAATTCATGCTCTTTCTGTTAAAAAAAATACTTTAAGCATAATATCTGAGGAAGTGGTTGTCCAAAAGCACTATAGTATTTTTTTGCAAAAAATAACCAGATGCTGTATCTGAAGAAAAAAAAGTTGTGAGAAGCCCATTCCCTCTTCCTCAAATCAATTTGAAAAACAAAAGAAAATAAAACCCAAGAACAGAAAGCATTCCTCAGAAAGAATAGCTAACTGTTTTTTCTGAAGAAAATCTCTGGCAGAGTATGCATCATGATCAGATTAAAGTTTTTCTCCATACTTTGATACACTACTTAGGAAATAAATTTATGGGACATTCAACATCATCTTAATTCCCCTCAAAATCATGCTTAAATATAAAACCTCCTTGAATACACAGGCAGCAGAAAATGTAAGTGGTAGCCTAAGCTACTTACTCAGATTGTTAAATCAGAAAATGTGTTTCCATGTTGCCATATCTGTAGCCATGGGAATCTACAATGGGGGACAAATACTTTCAACTGTTAAACTATCACCAGTTCTTTTAATAGAACAGGTAACAAACATTTGCTTTAATTTTTAGATCTAAATTTATTGCGGTAAGCACTTACGAACAAAGGACATCATTTAAAATTATAATTACATATGACTGCAGTTGACATGATATGGAGCCTTGGGATATGCCCTTTAAGGGATTTAACTTCTAATTACTTGTTTAGAAACAGGAAGCTATTAAATGCCTTTGAAATAATAAAGTGCTAAAAGGAATTATCTTACAGTTCAGTTATAGCTCAGAGTTGAACATATCAAACATATTAAAAAGCACAGCAAAATCAGATATAAACAGAATTTTCCTGTTTAAATATTTTTATTGCATTTATGCTAGTCTAATAGATGTAGACTGCTAATTCATTACTTTCTAATATGTATGGTTTCTAGGAATAGTATTTAATTTTCAAAGATCCCTGATAATTTCCTTGACTATTAAATGAACATGAACACAGTCTTACAGCCTCACAGACAATGTTCTACCTTTATATCAAGTGGTGTAAGGATTAACAGATTTTCAGAAGAATAAGGATGTTCTAATTCAAAACTGTTTTTGCCTCACATGCTACTAGATTTTTCATACTGGAAATGAAAACTTTAATAATTTCCCTCTTTTGTACATATAATTTACATTATTTATATGATATCATAAAGTAAATGGCAACTGGTTAGGAAAAAGGTCCTTGTACCACATCACAGTTACGGCAACACAGTACACTAGTTCTGTTTGAGTTCTGGTTTAGTTTATACTGCTGGAAGCGCTAATAACCTAACTGTTTGAAATACTGTACTAAGCTATCAAATCAGACAGAAACATAAGATTATTTTATTTCTACATTTTTATTTTACTTATTAGACCAGCATTTCCCTTGGAAAAAAGGTCCTAATTCTGAATCCTGGATCTTTATTAGAAGAATACATAGATAGTAACTTAATTAAAAAAAGCTTACTGAGCAGCATATAAGAAAAAAAAGCTTTTCTTTTCATACATAAATACTAAATGATAAAAGTTTGAAGTAAGATCAGTAGGGTAATGTTTAATTAAATGTTGAATAAAACTCTGACTTTACTACTCTGGACAAAAAAATAAAAACAAAAATGAAGGGAAAGAGCATACAATTGTCAAATTACCAATGATGGTGTGTTGACACTACTGACAGTCACTTGCTTCATCTAACTAGGTATTGGAACATGTTTTCAGAATGTTGGTTTAAGCCCATATCATGCTTTTATGATTTTTGGTTATTGGTATTCTACATCATAACATCATGTAGTGCATTGGAAGTTAAAGTGTTAATTCTCCAGTTCCAGGCACCTGTCTGGAAAAGAACTACATACCCTAGAAGACTTTGCAGTCAGAGAGGAGATACAACCCCTGGCAAGGTCACCTGATGTGCTCTTCTTCGTCAGGCTCCCCTCCCTGCTGCTCAACTGGACTGCACATCTCATCTCAATGTTATGAGAGGCCTATCCACCTTTCAGACACTCTCATTATTAGCTTCAATTCTAAATATATTGTATTATGGTGTGTTATCTTGCATTCTGATACTATGTTTAATAAATTAGTTTGTTTCTCCTCAGATCGTTGCTGCTGTTTTTAATTATTTTGGGGTCCCCTGTTTCCCTTTTCCAGAGGAGTGGATTTTGCAAAATCCTTCTGCCCCACTAGTCACGGAACTGCGCTGAACCAGCCCGTAAACTGTTGACAGCCTTGTATAAGCACACAACGTCACTCTCAGAATGAGTCTGAAGCCAATGCAGAAGTGAACCATACATTTAAATCTAATTCTCACTTGCTGCACTCCACTAAATACTTATTTTCTTGCATCAGCTGAACTGAAGCACTTTAGGGCCGTGTGAGACAAACTGAATTGACTGATATGTCCCACAGGAAAGAACTGGCACCTCCAACTGTGGATACTTCTACGGGTAAGACAAGACCAGCATGCTAGACTTGTTCTGCACATAAGCAAGAATTTACTGCCATATCTGCTACTCACAACGAATTTTCAACAAGGTTTCAATTTTCACTAAACAAAAATTAAACCTCCTGTTCTCCTGCCAGTAATCAGATCAGGTGCATCATAGAACTTGTAAGTGATGACAAAATCAGAAATTTAAGAAGAAAACTGAATAACTATGAATTTATTGCAGTCAGTTTCTTATGTTATCTCTTGATTTATCAACATTTTGTACCATGAAAGGTATTTACCTTCATTATAAACCCAGACTTTCATACAATATTGGAAATGCACTTTCATGAATGTTATCTACGCTGTAGGACACATACAAAAGCAAAATACTGTCAATATCAAAACTAAAATTGATCAAGTATACTTTTTTTAGGAGCGTTAGAGAGCCTCACATGTGTCTGAATGATGAAAAACTAACTCAACAAAATAAAAGCAGAAAGGCGTGCTGAGGGATGATTAGAAGCTAGCAAGCAACTGAGGACAGCAATGTAAAAGCTGCAGAAATGAACTGATGAGGCAGGTAAGGCTGACAAACTTACTCTGAAGCTGTGGCTGAGGCTGCTGGAAGGAAAGGGGCTGTCCGAACACAAATGGACTGTGGACTAGGGAAGAGGGAGGTTTTGCAGCTTGATCAAAGATGGAAGGAGCTGGGAGATTTGGCCGTGACTGAATGGAATTCAGTATGGCACTCAGTTGGTCACCTGTAGTGGGCAAAACAGTCAAAACTACAACCTGTTACTTGTCATTCTCTGGAACAGCAGAGTAAAATGGTGCTCAATTAATGTTTAAATGGTGATTATAGAGAAAGCTCTTATTTAGCCACAAACAGCTCTGGTTGTGGCTAAATACAAAAACCTCATCCCATGCATGGCAATAAAATTACTTCAAATTACAAGCAGGGTTTTTAAAAAATCATGAAAACTCTACTCCAGTTACTTAAAACATTTCAAAGTAGAAATTTTTATTCACTTGCTAAAAAAAAAAAAAAAAAAAAAAAGTAAACCAAAAACAGAAGAGCAGCCAAGAGAAAAACAGCATCCCTAGCATTTACAATAACACACACATGCAACAGAACATGCAGATAAAGATTAGAAAAACTGATGAGAGGGGAAGGATATAACAAGTGTTTAGACTTCGGTAAGTGTATTTCTATGCCTAGGTTTTGTAAATATTTGCTCGTTTTTGCAAATATCTTCAAAAGTATTTTGTCATGTTTTTCAAGATCAGACTGAAAATCATTTTTTAAAAATAAATACAATTTAGGAACTGACAGTGGTTTTCTGAAGAACTACAGATATTCATTGTGGGGCAAATGAAGGCCTTCAAAAAACTAGCATGTTAAAAGCATAATTTTAATTTCTAAATGTCAATTTTCAGAAGAGCCACATGTAAGTGTTAGAAATATACGAAGCCTACAATAAGAAGGCAGAGTTTATCACATCTCATTGTAACTTGAGGTAAACTTAGTCATATCAGCTCAGAGACACCACAAGTAAGATTATCTCAGATTTGAATGATCACCAACCAAATCCTAACAGCATCACTTCACTCTACAAATTCAGATCATTTTGAAAACATTCTAGAAATTCTAACGCAGCAACTAATACAGAACTATCAAACGATTTTATCCATTGCTTTTTCATAGAATTAAAGAAAGACTTAAGGGTATATGGAAACATACATTACCCTAAGAACTTCAATAATAATTTTTTTTTTCTTGATTTTTTGGTTTCAAAAAGGAAACAACAGAAATACCAGGAAACAGTTGGAAGTCCATGTAAATAATCACCTATTGGCATGAAGTTTATTCCACTGTTTTGGAAGTAGTATAACAAAAAAAGACTAGAATCAGTACTTGAGCAGCAATCTTTCCTACCATAATGACCCAGAAGGGAATGACACATTTGGCAAAGCACTATTATTCTCTTAAAAAAACAAAAACAAAAACAAAACTATGAAAAAATAATAATTCCAGGTTAAGAGCTGCACAGTATTTTTTTTCTTCGAGATGTAACTTATGTTAACTATCAGAGAAAGAACGAACATTAGAATACAGGACCCAACTGGATCTTACAACTGTATGTGTGCAGTTTATATACCCTGCCACACATGTGAAAATTCTTGCACTGGTTTTGTTCGGAGTACGCTTTGTACATCTTCAGTTGAATGTATGCACAATATTTCCAGATTTGTTTCAATAGCTACATTTCCTCTATCACCTGGGTGTTGGCAGTATGGAGAAATATTTTTCCCGAGATATAGTATCTTAGATCTCCAAACAGTATATAAAGCAGAATCACATAAGCAAATGTCCTGTCCTTTGACATTCTTGTATGAAATTCTCAGGCCAGTTATCTATGTAAGTGAAACAGAACTTGACTGAGAGGTCCCAAAATGGTATATAAATTTTTGCCTATCATTAACTACTAAGTATATATATTTCTATATATATCAATTGGTTAATTTTTTGTCATTGAATACCTAACGTACATTATATAGAAAAAACAATTGTCCAGGGTGCACATTCCAGAATCATCATGGAATTATTCCTTTCAGTCTTTCTTTCCTAATATTTTCTTAGCATTGGTGCAGAGGGGATATTTGAAAAACAGCCAGTTTAACAGTCTAACATTATCAACAGTTTTGCCACTCATAACTTTTTTCTATTTGGCAGAAGAGGAGTGGGAAATGATTTTTACAGAAGTATGCAAAGCCCAGCATCCAGTAGTAGTAGTTCTCTTCTAGAATTGCCCTGTACCTGCTAATGCAGGTTTGCAAAACTATTAAGTGATTTTCAGCAGTTTAAAGCCTAGTTTATGCCAAATATATTTCAAATGTAAACAAGGAAGATGTTTTCCTCTAACATTTACTGATTCAGAACAAAATGCAATTCCTGTTACCTGCTTATTTTTATGAATTAATAAAATATTATTTTAGTTATTTTTTTTTCTCTGGACAAAGATTGGCAATTGCTTAAGTGTCTATTAAGCCATGGAATGTCTGGAATATAAGAGTGATAAAATGCCCCAAAATGTGATGTTTTATAGGAAAAGCTAAAGAACTTTTTTGTTAGAATCGTTCTAGTTTGCATTAGAAGAATTTTAAATAAATTTAAAGAGAAGAACCTCTAAGAAGAGCTGCATACTAGCAATACAGTAAACACAGACCTAATACTGGGTATCTTTACATTCAACCAATGCATGTAACTAAACTTGCATTTAAACTAGTGCATCCTTACAGAAAGTTCTTTTGACAAACAAGCATATCCAATGGAACTGCTTCCTTGAAATTTTTCCTAATACACAGTGCTTGTGTTTTCAGTTCTTTCTCTTCCACAAAACTCAAAGCTTCTTAGATTTGTGAATGCAAGCTGGCAGTACATAAAATAACGATACATTAATTCTATTTCTTTTTTGCAGGGGCAAGGAAATATCATTACTCTTCCAAATATAGTTGCCAACAACTTTTTGCTGTTTTTTTTTTTTTTTTTTTTTTTTCCCCAAGAATTCAGAAGCAGCTACAATATATGGAATGAATAAAGGCATCTAGCTAACTGCTGCTTATCTTGCTTCACTGCGTCTGCTCTGAACAGTTTTTCTTGTATTCCAACAGCTGACCTTTACAAAGAAAGCAGACAAACAACATTTCTATGCAATTTCTGCAAATACTTATGTGTTTTGATGATTTTGCCCTGTAACTGAGTATGAGGAAGTTGCAAAAAAAACAGTGAAGGAAACAGTAATTCATTACTTTTCTATGTCTACATGTTAATACTCACATTTCACTGCCCTTGAGTAAACTTTGTCAGTAGATTTACAGTTTTTTAGGGAACTTGATGCTATGATGTAACACCCTGATATAAGATGGTGACTAAATGACTCTTGGAGCTACAGTGGTAACTGCGTAACTTGCAGGTTATTTGATAATTTCAGGTCCTGTTCGTCAGGTAATAGAAGAGGCAGAGTTCTAATTAATGCTGTGGTTCCAACAAGAAATTATTCAAAAGCTCCTTAATGTTCTTTCTCCTGAATATATCTGATCGTATTTTAACCTTTCTATCTGAATAATAAAAGCTACTTATATAATGGTATGTAATGGTAGAACTGTGGATATCATATATATATGTCCTCCTATTAACAAGTTTTAATTCAAGATTTATTTATTTATTTTTAATTCAGAGACAACTTACAATATGTTCTGATATTAAAATCACACTGCACACCTAAGGCCTACATTCTCACTGGCACTGACAGAGAACAGACACGAGATGTCAGAGTATAATGACAGAGCTCTGTGCTTCAATAATATTTGTTGAGGATGTCAGCCTCTGCAAAAGTGCCTTCCATAACTATTAAATATTCTTGATTTAATTAATGAATGAACAGAAGGCAAGCAACTTGAGTTTACTGTGATGGCTTATGTATGTTTACATCTCATCAATGAAATAAATCATATTTAAGAGAAACTACTATTTTATATCAGTAAAATGAGTAAGATGTTATTTACTTCCCAGTATTTGTAACTGGTATCTCTGAGTCTGAAAGGTAACTTCAGTTTTACACCATAAATCTCAAATGGTAGTCTGTCATCCAATCAAAAGCACTTCACATTTTAAGACGGGTTAGAAGTGTTTAAGAATGTTTCTGATCTTTTCAAAACTTCTTTTTCTAAATACAATTCCGTTTGTATCTTACTTGCAAATGTTTATTTTTCATTTCTACATTATAGTGTTGTGCCTGGCATTTAGGAGGAAGTTTTTCACACAGACAGTGGTGACGCACTGGAACAGGTTGCCCAAGGAGGTTGTGGATGCCCCATCCCTGGAGCCACTCAAGGCCAGGCTGGATGTGGCTCTGGGCAGCCTGGTCTATGGTTGGCAAACCTGCACATAGCAGGAAGGTTGAAACTAGATGATCATTATGGTCCTTTTCAACCCAGGCTATTCTATGATTCTATGATTACAGAAAGCCTCACCTGTCTATAACTTCCAAGCATTTGATGATGCTTTTATATAGAGTACTTAGACTGAGTGAAATTGAAGTAAAGAAAAAAACACCTTATAATTCATTGTGCTACTGATTTCTTCTTTTGGAGAACATCTGATGGTGACTAAAAAAGTATTAAATGAGTGACAAAAACATAAGCAAAATTAAGATAATTATCATTTTAAAAAATGTGAGTGAAAGAAACATACCTTTGTTATTTCCAAGGCCGTAATCAAACCCTTGTCCATTACTACAGCTCGTCCCCTTACTGAAAACTTGCATTGAAAATGGACTTGGAGGAGGAGTCTGAACGTTCTGATCTAGAAGAATTTGCTCTGCAAAAAAAACCCCATATCACTTTAGATCTTTTCAGATTTTACACTGGAAAGATGTCACAAAGGAGATTTTTTTCTTTTTCTCCAAAGAGCACCCTTTCATTCTACTCAATTTTTCTCAGAAAGAAAAGGACATGTTTCTTCCCTAGAGCTTAAGCTCTAAAAATGAAAAGATTGAGAAGTTAATATAATTCTGGTTTTACATTTGACAGAGTTGTTGCAACTTTTGTTGTCACGTGACACTCAGGAATAGGCTTGAGAACTTATTTTCAGTAATATCACACCATTTGATTATTTATTTATTCTTTGGACAACAGCTGTTAAATTCCTTTTTGAATTTAGCTTGAAGAAACTAACTCCTTAAGCGAGCTGAAACAAATCAACCTCATAGGGAATTACACCAAACTTTTACAATTCATAGAAGAACAAGTATTCTCAGTGAGAAATATTTAATGAAATCATGCTAATGAAGATTCATATTCATTTTTACTAGAAATTTGAAAAGTACGAAGCACTAGACAGCAGTATTTAATTTCAGGCTCCCTATTCAAATACAGATTAAAATGAATTCAGCAGAAGCCACCAAGACAGTCTGGGCACTACAGAGCATACATCTGTGGAGAAGTTGAGAGATCTAGGCTTGTTTATTCTTGAAAAGCAAAAGCTAAGGGGAGATCTTACTGCTCCCTTCAATTACATATCTGGAAGAGTCAGAGAAGATGAAGCCTGACTTTTTTGGAAGGCTTAGGTGACAGGACAAGGGACAACAAATGTTGCAATGTGTATATTTGTATTATGATTTTTTTCCCCACTATGAAGGTGGGTAAATACTGAAACAGGTTACCCAGAGAGGTTGGAACTATTTTAAATATTTTGACTTTTGCTAGACAATGGCCTGAGCAGCAACTTGTTCTAGCTGACTCTTCACCGTGAGTGAGGTTGGTCTAGATGATCTTCTCCTGAAGTGCAAATAATGTCAGATTACTCCTGTTGCATCTTTAGAGGGAACAATAGGTAAGTCATGATCTTGTACCTCAGAACTGTCAGATGGGTTAGTCTATCTAGTAAATTGTTAAGGAATTAACAATTTCAGGATGCATCAGAGTTTTCACAGAAAGCATTTGAGGTAAAAGAAACATTTTAGATAAGTAATAAAGATCAGTCATGCTTGGAGTATGATCAATAAGAAGCATGATCAAAATAAAACTACAAATATGCAATAGCAAACTTTGGGTACTGAGTGGCACATGACAGCAACCTTTTGCTTATGTTACTTTCATTATTTCTAGTTCTTACTCAGTCTGAACATGAATTTATCAGGACAGAAATTCTGCATTTTAAGAAAATGTAATAATTCAGTGCTAACTAGAATAATTAGAAATGTGACGTTAATTTAAAATTCAGTGTCTAACAAAAACAGTAATGGTTTTTTAATGGGATACAATATAGCAGAATTAAAACCAAAAAGGACATAAACAATTCTTTCTGCTCTTCTTGTCATATAGACAAAAAAAAGATGAAAGTCTGAAAGAAGTACACAAGTACTTATTTGAAAATCATCCCTATAGCTAAAAGGAAGGATAGAATTATGACCCATAACTGGTACAGAAGAAAATATGGGGGAATACCTTCCCTGTTATTTAAAAAAAAAAAACAGATCAAGAATGGTTGTAAACAAATTTGAAATTTAGCAACAAAGTAATTCAGAGGAAAAAATATTAATTTGTTACACCTTTTTAAAACTCAGTTTCCTCTTTATTTATTTGTCCTATTTAGATTCCTTGTAATTTTTTTCTAAGTTAATTAGAAAACAGAACAACTTGCCATCTTCATGTCGGAGGTACTGGTTTCCACCTCTGTCTCTAGCTAACGACCACGCCTCGCCTTCATCGCTTTCACAGAACTCTACCATGCTGTTCTTATCCATTTGCACCCATGTACCTTCTGAATTAGTCACCTGTTGTACACATAAAAAAGCACAACATACTGACTTTGCAGATTATTCGGTAGTACAATTCAGCAACTTAATTCAGAACCTGAAAAGTACGTGCATTCCAATCTTTGTAGTATAACAAAAACTTTTTGAAAGTTTCTTAAATTAAGGCCACAGGCTGAGGCAGACTGAAGAACCAAAACCATTCATGGCACATTCACAGTTAGGAATATTTCCAATAATATTAAACCTGCTTATGTTTGGAAAAAGCAACACCAACGCCACAACTTTAGAACACTCAAACAAGCCTAAGTAAAAACTTGAAGGAGATATTCAAGGTATGCCTTCTTATAAGTTGGCTGCAACAACAGAATTGTAAGAGTGAGTTATATATAAAGCATTTGCGTACATACTAATTTTGTTCCTGACACTGTATTTAGGAAATAGCATGACACACTTCATCCTTAAGCCCTTCTTAACCACAAAACATCACAATTGGAAAACCGTGAACAGTAACAATAGTTCAGAAACTGAACAAATGAGTCAAAACAGTAGCAGAGAAACTTGTTAATTGGTTAGGTCCTAGAAAAAATTTTGTTTTTCAGTGAAACAAAATTCTTTCAAAGCATATGACAAAAACATGAAACAGAAACATCATTTTGTAAGGAATAGCGCAACAAATATACAAGAAAGCATATGAAACCACTTTACAACTTCAACATTATTTCAATGAAAACACATCAAAGACAAAAATCAGAATTACATTAGTATTTAAAATGTAAACCAAGTTCAGAAGGTAGTATTTGTCATAAAGATTGGAAAAGCAAACCTGTACAGGAGCAGATGCTTTTGTTGAGTTTACTAGTTATATATTGGTATCTATGAAGACATGAACTGAAGCTACAAGGATCCATACCTCGCCCACTGCTTTGACTTTGTTTCCCAGAACTAACATTCCAATTGGGATACCTCTAAGGTTAGGGCAGCTTCTGATGTTGTGACCTGATGGGCCAGTCTTCACTACCTTGTACACTCCAGGACCACCTCGAAGTAATGACATATCTTGTTCTTGCATCACTGCTTCCTGTGGGCAGTGTGAATTCAGATCTTTGAAAAAATCACCAGTACTAGATCTAGACTCCTGAGAAATTAAAAAACAAAAAACAGAAGAGAATAAAATCCATCACTAATACTTTATATAAGAAATACTTATTTCAAGAATGAAATAATTAAATTCCAAACCAAGAAGAGAAACTAGTTACATTGCTAATTTTAGCATGCAATAATAAACTGAACTACTAGCAAATCATCAACTGAAAAGACACCCTGTTACTCCTGAAACAAAAGTGGCTTAAATGCACACATGCTATTTAAAAGGGGATTAGACACTATAAATATTTATCCTACCACTTTAACTAAAACTTGCTTCATACTGACATTTACTAGGATGTACATTCATTCCTCCTACTGTATTTGTGAAATAATATAGCAAAAAACCATGAGCCATATAAAAGGACATTAAATAGAATCTCTTTCCAATGATAAGCTTCTTTTTTGGCTTTAGTATTATAACATATTGCTACTTTAGGTTGAAGGTAAAATGAAGACAAAGAATAATAGAAACATCATAAATTCTTATAAAAAGTAGTGCATATTTATTATTTTTACTCAGACAATAAAAAGGCTTGCAATTTATTTCACCTAGTACCAATTATAGATTAAAAATCCACTCAAATTCAAACTGAGAAAATATTTTGTGTTTCCTATTTATAAAAATTGATAGTTACTAAAAATAGGAGAAATACAGATTTTCAGTCAGTCATAGATAAATTAAATGCCTAAGAGGTCTACTATACTATTATACTGGAAAATCTGAAGGATTAGGGTAACATCAGAAGAAAGGAAGCGAGAAGCAGGAACAAGCTCTATTATGCTTAAAATACAAATCATGTATGCTTTGAAAAGAAGATCTGAAAGTTATGAACCTAAATAAAGCCCTACTGGAGGAAGCCAGTGGTTCACTTAGTCCATACGTCTTCAGTCATAGTAACACAAAATGCTATTCAAAAGTAGCACGCAAGCCATTACCAGTGGGCCATCTTTTATATACCAGCATTTCTGAAGCCTGCTCTAAAAGTAGTGTCTCCTATTTTAATATGTTGGCCCATGACATCAGAAGCTAATGTTGGTGGTATGATAATAGAGGCTGAAGCTTCCTGCCAATTCATTCATTGATGCTTTGCTGAATGCTTTTGTATACCAAACGGTGGATGTAACCACAGTGAGGCAGCGGGTGGTGCATTTCGGCAATGGCAGCAGTGATATGAAAGGCAAGACACGTTTTGAATGGCCAAGTACCGCTGTCACATCACCAAATGGAGAGCACCCATGCAAATCAGCTACCGAGGTTATTTTGTAGTTGAGAATTTGCTGTACCAGATAATGTTGTTGTGCTTTTTGTATCTGTTCTAGTTTCCATGGAAATAAATAGGAGGCATTACTTTGGGAGCAACATACGTAAAAACTTTTTAATATGGATGTTAGAGGGCATAATCCTATTACATTTATTGTCTGTTTATGAATCTGATTCCTACAGATTTAATTTCTTCTGAATTTGCTAATACTTTCTGCCTCCACAATCTCCTGCTACACCTCCCGCTGCATAGAATACTTCTAAAAATAAGTTTTAAACTGAAATTCTAGTTATATTATTTCTTACTTTTTTAAAAATTTTACATTATTTCCTGTAATCTCGAATTAACATATTTTCACATTTTTTTATTGAAGTCTGTGTATTATGTCCAGAGTTATTAATCAGCCTTTCCAAGAAACCTTTATAGAAAATGAACTTTCAAAGCTTTCAAGCTGAAGTTGGTCCAAAGAGAAAAACAAGCAAAAAATGCATGCTATCCAAAGATAGTTTTAACACTCTCTAGATATTTATGTAACAGTAAAAAACTGCTTTTCCGAGGAAGAAAATCCAGTGAATAACACATTTTTATATCTCTAAAGCAGTAGCACTTTGAGTATCATTTTCTTTACAAGGTTCATATGAAAGTTTAATATGAAAACAACACTGATCTCAAAATCACTACAAGGCTGTATAGATTTAGACAAGCACATAAGTAGATAGTTTAAACTGTTTAACTGTATGTAATACAATGCATTCCTACAATTCCATAATTTTAAGATTAAAAATGGTTTATGTATTAAATTTTTGCAGTCTTGCTCATATGAATGTAAACGTACTTGAGACTGCAACTTAAAGCATACTTTAATAACATGAACACGAGAATGAATGTCTATTATGTTACTAGGCCATCTTTCTGAATTTCTAATTTTGTTTGTTATTAAAAGAGAATGCAACTTATAAATCAATGATAACTTAGCTCAACTCAACTATCTACTCTAGTATTTTTATTTTACCATTGTAAAAGAAGAGATATAGACACAGCATTCTAAGTCAACCTTTCATTTGCTGTAAAAATAATTCATGGTAAAACAAACTTCAAGGAATATTTAATGTAAACTTGATTTATGAGGCAAAAAAAAAAAAAAAAGATTCAATGTGACTGTTCCTGTCACTTAACTCACCTTAGGGGGTAAAGCTTTGGAAGTCCATGAAAAAAAGTCCAAATCCCTTACTCCTTGGCTAGCATTAAAGACATTCTGAGCAACAAAGTTTTTAAAAAAAGACATATATCAAGAAGAAAATGGGAACAAAGAAACATCGGAGGAAGAAGTTAGAAGCACTGTAATGCAAACTTTCTGCACAAGTAATTTTACTGGTAGAATACTTCTCAAAAGGGAAAGCTTTGTTTTTCGGATTAAGTCACCTGAATCCATTGCCCCCCTTGGCAAATTATCTACTGAACAAAAACCATTAAGTATGTCAAAAGCTCTACATGGATGGAGTGTGTCATGCCATTTACTGTAACTAAGAGCCAGACATTTCTTATGAAGCTTGAGACTTGCATAGATAAATCCCACACTTCTGTTATGATGAAACAGTAGTTTGTTCTATCACAAACCACAGTTTTATAGCAAGACATTCTGCTGCTCTGAATTATATCAGAATCCATTATATCAGAACTACTGCACAAGGACTTTTGTTACCAATTCAGAACTCAGATGCACAAGAGCTAAGATCACTCTTTTGGAGAGAAACTCAACTCATTTGTACAAAAGATTTTGCTAGCATGCAGATAAAAATTGCACTCTGTACTGAAAGCAAAAATTTCAGAGTGTTTTAAGGAGAACAATCACTAAGATCTCATCTGTTTTATAAAATATACAGTACATTTACTGCTTTATAATGGAAAATCATCAAATGGAGATACCAGAGAGAGTTCACTAAGTTTATAAGCAACGAACCATATTACAGAAACATGCACTGCTGCACTGTGTACTTTTTGCCTACACAGAACAGCTAGGACAGCACTTAATAGCCATTAGAAAACACAATGCAACATCTTTTCTCCATAAAAATGTCCATAAAGCTGTTTCTATGCATTTCAAAGAAATTGTCACTGTTCCTATGGAATGAAAGAATTAATAGTATATAGGCAGTAGTATCAAGAATCAGTATGGCAGGAACCAGTTAGCAAAGCCACCATTTAATCTGTACAAACTGATTTATCAAAACCTTACTTTCTATCTCCAGCTTTACAGGGGAACCAACTAAAATCCCTGGACAGATTCATATTAAAATTTAACAATAATTAAATAAAAGGAAATTAATCACTGTAAGCAGAAATGGGCAAGTACAAAAAACATTTTGCATGCTTTGTCATATTCATTGAAAAAAAAAAACACACCAACTTGTCAAAAATAAATACATTTACTTCTATCATGACATGGATTATCTAGCTACGTGTTGTTCGCAAAAATAATGTTTACATCATATTTTAATAAAGACAATAATTCATAACTGACAAAAATGGAGAAATTATCAAACACAATAATTCTGTTAGAAAGTATTACCTCCTCCTGACATTGAAAGTGGTACACAAGTAAAAGATGCTTTGGGGAATCAGGGGAGGCAGGGAGGTGTTAGACAGGAAGATCAGAGAGTAGAGGCGTACCAATTTGACATACATCTACAACAATTATGAAAGGCTTTATATGCCTAATGATAGTTAGCTTCATAGACATCTAATGTAGCTTAGCAGACTGATGATTTTACTTTGCTGTATGTTTCGCATTTTGTGATGGACTTCTACTGTTGAAACAAACATGGATAATCCATACCCTGGATGATGAAGTATCATTTCAGTAATCTCTGTTGACATGCTATAAAGCTATATGTGAAAAACACACAGAAGAAACCAACAGCAGTGAACTGGGACTGTGCTGGCTCATCAACACACGGAAGATTAAGTCAGATCCTCTCCTATGCTCTTGGAACATTAGAGCTTTCTGGCTTCCTGGCTTTTAGCATGTCATAATCAATATATGTGGTACGTAGTTGAGAAATAACTTTTAATTCAGAATAAACTACCACATGCAAGATTTTATATTTAGTTCTTAAGCTATAATTGGTAGATTTCAGTTTATTTTATCCTTCCCTTCCAAAAATTAAAAATAATTTCAGGAATCGTTCCTGGAAAAACTTCATATCTTTTTTTCTAATAAAGTTCACATTTCAGGAATCATAAAATTGAATTTAAATTACTTCACCACTGAAAATTAGCAAATGTTAACACATTTAAAATCTCAGTACTATTTTTCAAAGCTGTCTTATCTTAAATAATCATCTAGATATTTTACCCAGCATACCCTCACTCTCCAATTGATTCCCATCATGCCTAAAATGATGATAGGAATCTGCTGTGAATGTCCTTCAGTGTTTTCATGGAAACATGGAGGCTCTGCAATCATGGAGGGTCTGCAATCACACAAGATAACCTACACACTGATTTTGGTTCTCTCTTTAACTATAGTAATCACTGGAAATGCAGTTTCTCAGTTCTGTTAGTCTATAGCGGTTGGGGAATGTAACAGTAAAATTGAGCAGCAGAGTAAAGAATTCCCTATAATTATACATTTGATATTTAAAATGAAGTAACAAAAATATTCAGAGTACAATATATATCTTTTTAAAATTCCAGAGTTTAACCAAAATATTACTTTCTATGACTTCCCATAGAACAAAACTGTTTTTCATTAGTTTGCATTGCTTTATGCTCTATCTTCTTGAATGCAGAAAGAACAGTTAACTGATTCTGACAGAACAGAAGGAAAATTAAGTACCAGGACCTTAACAAGCCAATCCAAAATCACCGTATATGAAGGTGGGTTAGATGTGCAATTTGAGATCAATGTCTATTTATTTGCTCCTCACGAAAGGAGAAGAGCAAATATAGGAAAAGATCAGTCTAACAAACTTTTCTTAAGAAACGTAAATGGCCAAAACTAAGAATCTCTACATTCTCATGATCATTAATCTTTAAATATAATACCTTTAATCACAATATATAGTGTACTGAAAAGATCTAAGACACTCAGTACTTGTTTTATCTTAAGATAAACAGATAATGCCTATTAAAAAAAAAAAGCAAATACAATATACATGCAAAAAAAAGGAAGTCAACACTGCAGAAAAAATATTTTTCCTTTGTTCACTGTTGAATTAATGTAGTGATAAAATTGAGCTATTACTGCTTTCTTTATAAAAAATCTTAAATATATTTTACGAGATACACTGAGAAATTTTACACACCTTATATTACAAAAAACTTACATGTTTAAATTAACACAGTGCTGTAATCAGAGTAGCAAACTATACATGAGTTGAATAAAAATTGTTTAGTAAAAACAGTGTAGGATTTATTTGAACAGGGAATATTATGTCTAATTCAGCCACTTGATTTTCCATACGTATTTTTAGGCACATAAGACTTGAAGTGTTTTCCTCTTCTAGAGCCAAAACTGTTAAATCTGCTGCAGATCTTAGAAACTGTATTTATATTTATAACTGTGTTTATACATATATAAACTGTATTTATACATATATAAACTGTATTTTATATATATATATATAAATATATAACGTGTATTTATAACTGTATATATTACTGATTTTTATTTTTACTTTTTTACTACGTCCTGTTCATAATGCTATTCAGTTACCCAATTAAACAGAAAAGGATGTGTAGACAGAAATTATTTCACATTTTCATAAACAGAACTTCTAACATTTCTTAATGCATCTTTTGCCACATGGGTCATTCAACTCTACAAGACTGCATTTAGCAGATCTGACAACTGAAAAATACAGATGGATGTAGAGAAAAGGCAAACAACAAACAACTAAATTTGAGTATTCTCATCTCACTGATTACCTCAAGAGACTTTATTTTAAGGCTTTTTAATAAGAAAGCAGTATTGCTTTACTCGATCAAGATTTGGCACGAAAGAGTTTAAAACTGACTTACAAAAATCAGGAGCTTAAAAAAGTTTACAAAATTTCATCATATGGTGTACTTCCTAATAATATACTTGCATGCACTAAAAAATCTAAGATATTTAAAAGCCATGGAACCTTGATGTTTGTTTTGTGATTTTTAAGAAAGAAAAAAATATAATTTCCTTTCCTTTTATAATTACTAAACAAGCACACAAATTTTCATGCTTAAATATGATCATAATAAAAGTAGATCATTTGTCCTTCCAAGGATAGTAATAATAATAAAAATGAGAGAGATGCAAATAAACCTTCCATTCCTAAGTAGTTCAAAACATTTGTTAATATAACGATCATCTTAAAGTAGTAGTTACTTCTCTGTAAGTTTTGCTGTGTTCACCACTGGCTCCTTACTGATCAGAACCCACAAAAGCATGCAAATTTTACCTTTTGCTATTGAGGATGTAATAGAACTGGATAGTTGAAAGAAAATTAGTAATATCTATCAGATCTTCAGAGTTCAAATGGAATCAAAACTATTTTGCAGAACTCTTTAATAAGAAAAAAAAAGAAGTATAATATTCTATCTGAACTTTAAAGAAGAATTAACATAGTAAACTCTATGCTGTGCTATCTTTCACATTTCATTGCATCTTGTCTACTTATTTAACCAAAAATTTGATGTTATCAGAACTGGATATTCTGGGTTATATACAAATTGCTAAGTCATTTATTTTAAGTTTGTCTGAGAGAGCTAAATTTTCCTCTAGAAATGCATGTGTACTAAAACCATTTGAAACTGACAAACTACTAAGTCAGTAAGTTAAGAAGCTAGGAAGCTAGGCACTTCCATGACTACTGAGCTCAATAACATTCCCCATAGCAAATAAATAAAAAGCATTGGTAATAGAAAAAAATTCTGAAAAATATATAATGCTTACAAATTTACTGAAGGTGATTACTTTGTCATGGGTGAATTCATTTTTATTATGGGTGAACTGCTGTATGAAAAGCACTAACATCTGACAAGTGCACTAGAGAAATTGATATTCAATAGAAAACTAAATTCAAAATTCAAGGAAGATTTTAAACAAAACTTATTTTTCCCATGTGCTCATATACTCTATAACAAGCTAGAAAAATGACTGTTGTCACTTGTTCAAGAGACTGATGGCTGAATACAGAAATAATTTGCTTCCCAAACGCAGTATTAAAGTAGTTCCCAAAATAAAAATGCAATTGAATACAGTCTCCAAATAAAAAGATGTCAACAAAAAAATTTTAGACAAGAAGGTGAGCAGGAAGATCTAGTCACATCATGTAATGTTGTCAGAACATGGACTATAGCCACTGGGGATTTATGAACTGCCAGATTTAGCTACTTGCAAGCAGTCCAGCTTCACTGGAACTGAGGATGTATCAGTTACTATATTACAGGAAAACAAACGGTGAAAGCACTGGCTGCAAATTTTTAAACTAGTTGAGTATTTGCTAACTGTCTGAAGCTGCAAAAAGCAACTCGCTCATATAAGAAGGCAAATCCAATTTAAATAGCTGCATTAGCAATTAGAACTGGTTCTCACATCTCTGAAGAAAACAAGTTACTGCTCCATTTGAAGAATGCACAATAACAGGTGATCCAGAAGACCTGTACTTTCAGAATTTTTGGTGAGAAACAACATTGGTTTTGCTTATGTATGCATTTTTTAAAACCTATATCTTGTTGCCAGAAAAGTTGTAACCATATTTGAACTGTAGTGATTGTGTTCACTATCAAAGTTATCCAGATAAATTACGCTTTGCTTGCTTTTATTATAAATCCTACTTCTTAGTGAGCCTTATGTTCTGATTCTTTGATTAACTAATAATCTATAACTCAAGGATTCAAACAAAATTTATGAAAAATATCAATGAAAAATAATAAAGATGAAAGAATGTGACATTTTTTTAATAAAACTGAAACAACAGCATCAACTGTAGGCTGGAAGCCTCTGCAGAAATCATCACATTATTGGGCCACTTTACAGACAATGAAGTGCTGCACTGAAAGCACCTGGTGCATAATCTAACGATTACACATTTTAAGACTACTGCAGCGGTCTTTCCACTTTCACATATCCTTTAAGATAAGAGTTCAACATAAAAAGCCTTGCACGTTTCTACACTCCACCCTCATTACATAACAGCCCTCAAAAATGGAAACACATGTAAGACAGTATTTAGTAATAAAAATATTCTTTTACCTCAGGACTCACTTGCAGCCTTAATTAAAGAAAGTCTTGTAATGAGGATAGAGTGTACTTTGGAGATTTTTCAAAGGCACCCTTTACTTACGTCAACAGGTACCAGAAGGCTCTTGCCAAGATGCTGGTTAAAAGAGAGACACCAGGCTTCAGTGTAACCATTCATGTTAGGAACATACTTCTTTATTGTCTCATCATTCAGCCTCAGCCAAACACCATCATCATTGTGGATCTATGGGAAACAAGCAACAAAAACGAGCCATGCCCTCCTGTAACTATTCTGTGGCTAAGGATTAACAGATATTAGACAAACAGCAATAGCAAGGAAGTAATTATCTTCACTGTATTGACAGAATATAAAAAGAGGCAGATAGGAATATTGAGCAAATCTGAATTTCAAAGTAATGAGAGTCATATATTTCCAGAAGGCAAGGTGCAAAGATAAATTTAAAATCAGACAATGCAACAATAAGATTTGCTTTGAGAGAAAAGTGCAAAGAAAGCCAGGCCTTTTTAAGCTTACTGTTCCCCACTTTCCACTTTTTTACTGATGAATTAACTTAGTAAATTGCAAAAATATTCCTTGCATATGAAGTTACACAGGAAGTTATACATGCAGAGTAGTCTAATACAATACTGATCTTGTGAAAGTGTAAATGAAGAATATAATGAAAATTATACCTATATCTTTGAATTTTTATGTAGAGCTGAAATAGTAGGTCATGAACAACTAAATACTTAGATATTACTGGGAGATGAACTCCAGGAATTTTGTTTCCTGGTATCACAATGACTGTTAAACAGATTTTCAAGTAAGTAAATAAAAAGAAAATGACAGTTAAAAAAAATTAAATTGGTGAATATTTAGATTTTTGCAATTTATACTCTTATGTACTCAAGTTGTACCTGTCAACATCTAGACATGAAAAACAACAACATTATTTGCATAGATTAACTTTACATCTTAGCCCAATTTTCAATAGAAATTTCTTATTAATTACCTCGTCAATGAAAGTGATGGATCCATTGACTTTCACTATGCCTATCTGCTCACTCTGAAGGGAAGGGTGGCTACGGATACGAAGCCCTGCACTGTCCTTGGCCACAAATTTGCGAACCTAAGAGAAGCAATGGAAGACAGTAAGGAAGAAAAAATTGGAACAGAGATCTCAGAGTAAAAAGAAATAGGTTTAACAGATTCTGAAATGCTAGTGACAAGATGGCAGAGTTACAGTTTGTTGCTAGTTTCCCATGGCTGCTGTGCATGATTTCACACTTTTTTTCTTTTTCAAACTATAACAAAACAAAACAACTTTTTGAAAATAGGTCAAGAAACAAATTGACTCAATCACTGAGAGATTTGTTACATCAGACAATGGTAAGTACAAGCTTCTGATTCTTTTTACTGCTCACCTACAATTTATGCATTCACGTGAGTTCCAAAGGACAGGCTTTCGTCTTAACAGTGTTTCCATTAACTGACTAACCGAAGATTACCTGCTCTTATTTGCCACTACCATAACATTGGTTAGCCTTTTGGCAAACATATGGATACTTGCCTTAGTAAATAGCTTAAATAGCTTTTTGTAAACAGCAAAAGAGCAGTCATTTCTACTTATTTCTGAAGCAGTTTTTGAATAATTTCTTTCTTATTCACATGAAAGTTAGATGAGACACTATGTTATTAGTTTGATTTACTACAGCCCACAAAATCTCCCAGATATTTGCGCTTTTTTTTTTTGGCTTTCAAGCATATATCAGGTAATTCACCCAAAGAAGAACAAACGACTTAAAATCAGAAACCAAAAAGATGGCTTAAGAAATGCGTGTATGTGTCTGCATTGTACAAAATCTTCCTTTGAAGGCTATTTTCAAACTCAACATTGAGAAGCTTATTAACCGAAGTACAAACTCGATCTTTAAATTAGCATAAAGCACAGAATGGTAAGGAATCAACCCAGAAAAAAAAAAAAAGAAAGGTAATACTCAAGTGCATAAATTGCTTTTTTTGCTCTAAAGAAATATTTAAGAAATTGTATATACTAAAAGAGTTATTGTTATTATCACTACTTATTTTAAACAAAAATAATGTAAATGTTTTTGCATAGTTTAGAGAAAAAGAGTCTGAGTGGTCACCTGACCGGTCTCTAAACTTCCTGAGGAAGGGAAGCAAAGAGACAGGTGTAGGTCTCATCTCACTGGCAACTGATGACATAACATGTGTGAACAGCAGAGAGCTGTGCCAGGGGAGGTATCATTAGGAAAAACCTTAATGTGAGGATGGTCGAACACTGGAACAGGCTTCCTGGAGAAATGGTTGATTTCCTTACACCTGTCAGTGTTCAAGAGGCATTTGGACTATGCCCTTAGTACTATGCTTTAATTTCTGGATAGCCCTGAAGGGATCGGGCATTGGACTTGAAGATCTCTGTAGGTGTCATTTTCAATAAAATTAGATTATGCTATTCCATTCCTTGTAAAAATAGAACATTGCTTATGATGTGGAATACTGAAACCCGAAAAAACAAAAAACATAAAACCATGACATTTCTCGACATAGAGAAACCTATAAACAAAGCCTTGCAAATTAGGGGAACCTAATTTTTACACTATTACCCCTAAATGTATCATCAGAAAATTATATGATGGGCTAGCTAGAGCTTTCATTAAAAGCTTTTTTTTAGAAGAAGGAAAATTCACACACAGGTTTTGGACACAAAAAGGCCCAGAAAGAGCACTTTTTGCCCTTGAAGCAGTTGCTATTTAATAGAAAAATTCAAACTGTAACTGCAAGCACAGGGATCACATCTGTGGATAGGCAACATAGCAAAAGCAGAAAAGTTATCTTATGCTTATTTCGTACAAGAACAACCAACTTAATTGTATGAGTCTTGTTTCTGATACAGCACTTCTCTGCTTGGAATATTTCCCTACAGCATAACAGCTCAGTAACTTACTAGTGAAACACTGCCCAAGACACTTCTTCCACAGAGCATGCACTAAGTGGACTCTGACCAAAGGTGATTAATGCAGAAAGGCACAGCAACTAGGGACCTTGAGTTAGCTGAACATGACCTAGCAGTGTGCCCAGGTGGCCAAGAAGGCCGATGGCATCCTGGCTTGTATCAGAAATGGTGTGGTGAGCAGGACTAGGGAAAGTCATCCTGCCCCTGTACTTGGCACTGGTGAAGCCTCACCTCACGTACTGTGTTCAGTTTCGGGCACCTCAGTACAGAAAGGACATTGAGGTGTTGGAGCAGGTACGAAGAAGGGCAACAAGGCTTGTGAGGGGCTTGGAGAATATGCCCTACAAGGAGAGACTGAAGGAACTGGGGCTGTTTAGTCTGGGAAAGAGGAGACTGAGGGAGACGTTATTGCTCTTTTCCAGTACCTGAAAGGTGATTGCAGTGAGAGCAGGGTTGGTCTCTTCTCACAGGTGACAGGTGAAAGGACGAGGAGAAATGGCCTGAAGTTGTGCCAGGGGAGGTTTAGGTTGGATATCAGGAAACACTTCTTTACACAATGGATTGTTAAGCATTGAAATAGGCTCCTCCGTGAGGTGGTTGAGTCACCATCCCTGAATGTGTTTAAAAGCCATCTGGATGTGGTGCTCACAGACATGGTTTAGCGAAGGGTTGTTTGAGTTAGGTCAGTTAGGTTAGTATGGTCAGGTTGCAGTTGGACTTGACAATTTTTAAGGTCTTTCATGATTCTGTGATTCTGTCATTCTATGACACACACCTTTTAAAATTCACAGCACTTTGCAAAGAGCTACAAAGAGTCTCACTTTATTAATGAGATTTCTTATTTGGTGAATTTGAGAAGAAGTACTTCTTGCAGCAAAGGAATATGTGTTGTACAGAATTAACAACCTTTACAAAGTGCTAAACAACACTCCTGTTCAAAGTTTGTTTTTTTTTTTTTTCTCTCTCCGAGTGATGCTAGTTTCTTTTTCAGTAATTTAAGGACAGTAGAAGCCATTAAAATTCATCATAATCTAATCATATTGTTAATGGTCTTGCCCTTTCCAATTCAACTAAACAAGAACTACCCAGAATTACACAACAGACAGTTTTTCAAGTAGTTTGTAGAATGGGATTTTCTACAAATCAATTAATCTAAATTTCACAGCCTATAAGAAGACTTATTGTTCATATACTCCAGACCACTCAACACAGACCACTACGATAACCTCCTTTACTAGTTTTGATGGATAGGAAAGTCAGATTCTCATCTTACTTCAATTAACAAAGAAAGAAGAAATCAGTACAAATTTGTAGTATGGTGTACATTTTACACTTGAGATTCAATTAGGCCTGGTTTCAAAACTGGAATTCTCCACTGCTTCAATGAAGAGACTTCATTGTTTCTCTCTGAGAACAGATTACTACTGAGAATATACTGACACCGCTGACTGATAACAATTATCTGAAATCTAGGTCTGGGAAAACGAAGCTTTTTGTGTCTAAGTAACCCACCTTTCTCAGTGAAATGGAATTCAGCATATTGGAACATTTCTGGTATACATATTTAATCTGAATTCTTGTATTCAGAAGCATGGAGCACAGCGCAATATTATATTTCAGAATTATTTGTAATACTACTGTTCATATATAGAGAGATATTCCACCCTGGTTTATTATGCAATTACGATGCAGAAGAAAAAGAATATAAAATTCAAAGACTGAAAAATCTAACATACTTCTGCAACCAGTGAATCCTAGGGTAGACAAAAGCTGAACAGACACAGGGCAGAAAAACAGCTCCTCTTTCAAAGAGGCTGCAAATTGGATAAGAACAAAGAGTACCAATGCAGAGAGATGAATAAACATGAACTACTGCCTTTTAACATCAGCAGCTTAACTTTTTATTTGTTTTTAACTGTCATGACTACCATTACTTAGAGAAAAGTAGTTGTCATATATAAACCAGTCATCTCAAATGCCACTGTAAAAACTGAAAAGAAAGGAAGACTGTAAATAGCATATGGCTCGGGTGGAAATACCATACAGTTCTGTGAGATGAACCTCACCCAACAAGAAGTTTTAATTAAGATAATGATCGACTAAGACAATAAATAACAAAATCACTAGAAACTCATGAGGCGCTATTCCTAAGGATGAGAAGGGAAATAGCCTAGAGGTACCTTTTGAAAAAAGCAATGAGGAATAAAACATTTTGTGGAAAATAAAAGTAACTGTATTATTTTTATTTTAAAGTGGCAGTGCAGGAAAAAGAATCTCTTTAGTGGCCAAAGTGGACACTAAATTATGCATTTACAGACTGGAGCTGCATGAAAAAAGTACTGTCATTAGAATACTCAGAAAGCTGGAAAAAATCAAGATGCACTAGAGATCAATGAAGGACTCTTTTTGTAATTAAATACTTCTAAGCAGAGGAGAACAACCCACTTTTGCTCTTCTAGTAACACAAGGAAGGGTAAATTCACGTCATTTCAGTATTTTGTATCTTTTGATATAAGTTTATTCAAGCGTCTTGCTCAAAATCTCTTTCTGAGCATCAAAGAGGAAGTGGAGAATATTTCCCTTATCTGGCACTTTCCCAGCAGTGCAACATCATCTTTAAGCTTTCCTCTGTTCTTTGTGTCTACTTTAGTCCTTCGGGGTAGAACAATAAGGTGGAATTGTAAAGTCAAACGCTACAGAAAGGATAACATCTTTTTAAAAAGACATTCTGATAAAGGGAGACAATAATAAATAAATTAATTTACAATTTTTATGTTGACTAACAAAAGAACCTTAGCAGAAAACAACCTTTGTAGAACCCTTTTTACACCCTGTATCTTAGCACAGTATCAAATCTAGTCTAAAATGCAGTCTGTAGTTTTCATAATGGTTGCACAATATTTGTTTGACAAACCAAGAGAAGAGCACTCTCCATATTGTTTCTAACAGTTCTACCAATGGATATACAGAAAGGAAATGGGATGAGCAAATTTCATTTTTTTTCAGTATATTCATTTCATTCTCTTCAGCACATTAAGGTGATTTCAAATAGGCTTATGTCCTCCACTACTGTATGCATTAAACAACAAGAAAATGCCACCCATATGCAACTATTTTGGGGGGGGGGGGGGGGAAGGGGGTTATTTAGTTCTCCAAACCTTGTTTGGCTGAGGCTCTGCCTTTGGTTTAATAAGTTGGGTTCCAGGCGGTATCATTCCCTTTGGAGGATCTTTCACTTTTACTTCTAGCCCAGCATCTATGAACAAACAAAGACTAAGTTATAAAAAAATTAAAAATACAGGAAATACCAGTCAAACAGTACCTGCAGAGCATGCAAAAGAACCACTCAGCTGTTTCACAAATGGCACTTGCAGGTACTTAACGATATGTTATTTTCTCAACATTTACACTGTCACATGAAAATTCACAAAGAACTTTATGTTCTTTTCAGGCATTTGTCACAGATTGTGTCCATAGCGCTATTAGGTAATTTTGTATCCTATTAATGTTTTCAAGGACCAATGAAGACAGAATTACGTGTTTGAGGCGTGCTAAGTAAAAGCTTCTGGACAAGCAATGCTTATGCATGCTTCAGATGAAACTGTAAAATTTGAGAAGCAGATAGTAGCCTTAGAAACCAAGTTACACAAAAAGAAAAGGCCTACATAAAAGGCCCATATATATACATATAAATAAATCAGCATCTTTAGTTACCAATACTAACAAAAGCACAAGGTACCGGAAAATATCTCAAGAGAGTAAAATTCTCAGATCACAAAGAAAAATACATGTAAAGAAACACTTAGATCTTACTAACAGATGGATATAACTTTGAGAAATAATATGACCTTATTCCAATAAGAGAATAGCTATGGTCATTTATTCTTTTGAGAAATGAAGATTTCAACAGCAGGGTTTGAATCAAAACTTGGTTACTTGCTTTTGTTACAAACTTTATATTAAATCTTATGGGCACCAAAACATGTTTTTTTTTGGCATTCAAATTGGATACACAACTATTTTTTTCTTACGGTTAGGGAAAATTATATACCTATTTCAATGCCATCTATAGTAACGTGAACAGTATAGAGACCAACAGCTCCGGGAGTCCAGTTTGCACAGTATGTACCATCATTATTGACTCTGATCAGCATGTTTTCACTGGGTCTAGGCACAAACAAAACAAATGAAATCATCAAACAATTACTGCCGTCTTAAAAACATCTGTAATACTTAGTTTAGAAACTATGCTTTTTTTTTCTTTCACATGACATACCTACCTATTTAATGTAATAAACTAATATTATTTATTTTGAAGCCACAACCCTCAACAGCATTTTTTTGTAACAGATGATATAAGACCATATTCAGAGAGTAGATAAAAATACTAGATATGATTTTAAAAAGTCCCTAAATTTATGAAAATATGATACATTCTACACAGTAAAGGCTTGGAAGTCTACATGTACAGAAAAGAGACAGGCCCTCTTAATTTTAGTCTCCAGTAAAAAGTAATTCTTAAATGCTTACCTCTTTGGTGTTGGTGAAGCAAAGCGCAGTTCTTCAAAAGAATAATTTTCATATGCCTACAAACAAATGAAATTAGATGAATGTGAAATCAACAGTAACCAATTATATTATTATGCTGAATAAAAGAAAGCAGAGTATTTTCTCAGCAAACAAAAAAATCAAACTTTACACTTCCAGAAGCACTGAACAGAGAAGCAGAAATCAACTGCATATCACAGCGAGAGAAACAAACATGTATATAATGTATATACAAATGAAACAATTATATTTACATTTGCGTTAACAAAAGTACATATTGCTAACAAAAGCTTTGTTCACAGTTATGTCTTTGAAGCTCTTCTACTCTAAGTTGAATGAAAAGCTTTTAAATTATTTTTAATTTACCTCTAAATTTCTATTAGGTAAGTTTGATCTCATGTTTGTTGTTGAACCCTTATAGCATCTAAGGGATACAGCACCGTAACTATTTAAGACAGTCTAAGTTTGTGCTGTCATAATATCACAGTATCGCTCTCACATGATACACACAAAGAGGGAATATCATATATTTATATAATAATTTATATTTGAAGAGACCTCTGTATGCAAATTGAGTTCACCTCCTGCACAAAACTGAGCAATACAGTAATTCTAACTTCCGGATTAGTTCAGCTTGTTCAAGTGCATAAACAGTTGAGTTTTGAGTACCTCAAGAGGCAGAGATTTTACCACCCCTCCAGGAAGAGTGTTTCAATGTTTGAAAATGTCCAGCAGAGGGCCACAAAGATGGTGAGGGGCTTGGAGCATCTCTCTTATGAAGAAAGGCTGAGTGAACTGGGTCTGTTCAGCCTTGAGAAAAGAAGACTGAGAGGGGACCTGATCCAGGTCTATAAATATCTAAGGTGTGGGGGGCAGAATGGCGAGGACGGACTCTTTTCAGTGGTGAGTGGAGACAGGACAAGGGGAAACGGCTGGAAACTGCAGCATAGGAAGTTCCACACAAACATGCGCAAGAACTTCTTTACAGTGAGGTGATGGAGCACTGGAACAGGCTGCCCAGGGAGGTGGTGGAGTCTCCTTCTCTGGAGATGTTCAAGACCTGCCTGGATGCCTACCTGTGCGACCTGCTGTAGGGAACCTGCTTTGGCAGGGAGGTTGGACACGATGATCTCCGGAGGTCCCTTCCAACCCCTACAATTCTGTGATTCTGTGAGAACTCTCACTGTGTATTTTTTTTCTCCTTTCCTAGTATGTAACCATTATTTTCCTTTTTACATACTGTGTTCATTATTGCATATCCTTCTACTGCGCAACAATAAGAAGAGTGACTTTAACTTCTCCAAAATCTCCCATGAGTGTGACAATATGTTGTGAGGGTGGTGAGGCACTCCATGGAACAGGTTACCTAGTGATGTGGTTAATGCCCTGACCCTGGAGACTTTATCAAGGAGAGGCTGAATAAGGCCCTGGGCAGCCTAATCTAGATGTGGGGTGCCTATTCACTGCAGGGGAGTTGGACTAGATGGTCCCCAGATGTCCTTTCCAACTCTAAGGATTCTATGATTCTATATCTATTCTAAGACTAGTAAGCCAGCAGAACACTAATCTAAAAAAAAAAAACCAACAGTTAATTTAATTTCTCCTCTGACTCAGGCTATTTTGTTAATCAGCATAATCACAATCAAAGTACACAACTTTTCTTCTTAAATTTTCATTCAGTTTATTATGCTTTAGAGTTCAGGCAATTGGCCTCCTCAATGCACTTAGTTTTCTGCTGAACTTAATAAATACAATTACAATAATTTATAACTAGTGCATTTTTAGCCTGTGAACAAATGGAATCATACTTTTTTCAATCCTCTTTGAATACTTTTACCCACTTTGAATACTGGATTTTCTAGCTATCTCTTTAAATTAACAGTAATTTACCTTCATCATTGTAATGGCAATATATCGAGCTTCTTTTACTATCATTGGCTCATATGAAGAATCAAGCTTTGGTGAAGGAAGACCTCCAAAAGTCATATCAGTGCTAGGGGAAGCAGCGGCAGCAGGACTCCCAGGTATCCGTTGTACCTTTTTAACTTGCTCTTGTTGCAAGGATGTTTTTTTCTGAGAAACAGGAATAGCTTTGACTTCTACCTGCAATCAGATATGGAATTTAAGAGATGAATTAGAGGAAAAAAAAAGTACCCACACAATTTTACAGATCTGATAAAAGCCCAGTGACAGAGTACTTAAAGCACTCACTACAAATCCTGCTATGTCAAAAAAGTATGCAGCTACACTTTTGCAAAGCCAAGAACAACATCTAAATGGAAAATCTGAGTACGTAAACATACAGGAGAGAAGCACCTAGTAACTGTGTACATAATTGGTAAAGTCTAGTATTACGTATAAGAGTTGCACAGTACTTCCCAAGCAGTAGAGTATATTCTGATATATTAGCTAAGTTTTCCCACAACATAAAATGCTACAAATACCATACTGGCACAGGTTTCAGAGAGAATCATCATGGCCTCCTAGATCTGGATCTGTGAAAGTAAAATTGGATCTTGGCTAGCTCTGCTACTGTTCTATATCAGTGCAGGACATTTAACTGTGCCCTTCAATTCAGATTTTCCCTGACTTTCTTTTCCAGAGGTCAGACCACAGACTTCTACTCGTGCAGGTAACAAAGAGTCAGTTGAGTTCAGTTTTCTAGGAAGGAAGAGACTATCTGGAGAGTAAATTTCATGCATTATTCATCCTAGAACTTCAATAAAGTGTGTTTAATTGCTGCAGATTTCTTATGCTATTTATCAAAATTTGACCTAATTTACTGGAAGTTACATCAGTTTATTGAGCACTGAATGAGTCCAAAGGAATGGTTAAGATTTCTGTTACTTTATATTACATTTCTGTACAAAAATAGCAATTAAGTAACAAATACAGTAAATATGTTGATGTGTATATTTTCATAAATCATTTTCCTGATTCACAGAAGAATCACTAGAAGCTTTCTACTACCTCTGTCAAGAATTAAGGTTAGTAACTACACATTTAAATTATGTTTGTGCTTCTTATTAAGCTGATATTTGTAAGTCAGTATTTGCTAATGAGTTTACATTTCACTGAAAAATAACATATCATACACAAAGACTAGATTTGAGAGTTCTTATAAAAGGGACTTTACCTTTCTTAAGGTAATTTACTTCTACAGCTGATAAAATCAAGACTTCAAAATTACTGTCAGAATGTAGTGGATTTTAAAACATAGTAGTAACCTAATTTCTTGAAATTAGGTGAATAAAATCTTGTGTTCAATTTGTTTTCTTTACATGCTTCATTATCTCAAATGTAATTGCCAACTTTTATGCATATCCTATAGGTTCTAATCCAAAGACTGATAGAGTTTATTGTATCTGTGGCCATTTTGAAAACTTCTACTAATTCAGTAACAGAAAAAAAAAAAACCAACTGTGATTAACTAAAGAGGATGAAGCAAGAATCTCAGATTTTTTATTATTATTATTTTCAAAAACTACAGGAACTACGAAATATTTGAGAGAGGGAGGTTCTGTTCTATGTTAATGCGACTATAAAACGGTTCAATGTGCTTATGATTCATTTTTCCATCACATTTATTCATTTTATAGTACTCTCTACTGGCTTGTAAATAAAAAGTGGATTTGTGTCACTCTGTATAATGCCAGTCTACAACTGACTATTTCCACTACTATACATTTATAACAGCCAAGATTTGCGTTACATGACATGGCACTCATGTAATACAGAATTTGGTAATTCTGTGGATTTGAATGTTAAAAAAAACGTCTGATTTCACTGAATTTAAGAGTACCAGTTTCTGCTGTGTGTAAGAGTATTTTGTGGAGTATCTCTAACAAATATTAAATAAAGTTATAATGAAGTTTATGAACAACCAAGATTTCAATAATTACCTTCATATTAGGAACATGAACAACGTCCCCATACTGGTCTTTTGTTTGTACTGTAATAACAGTTGGCCAACCACAACGAATATCATCCTTATTCAAAATCAGTGATGTCTTTTGAGGATCGGCATATGAATCTGGCTGAAGCCATCTACAGCAAAGACAAACACATTGAAGTCTCTTGTAGCCTCTCCAAAAATAAATTATTGTTCTGCATAAGTATGACACCCAGCTATGAAATGTATTTTATCCTATGTATGAATAAAAACATTACAAATACCTTTACTTAATATTTGACATAATAATTAAAGCTACACAGCTGTTGGTATACACACAAAGAACACTGGAAATTTTTTAAAAATTTAACACATAAATAGAAAATTTCTAATTTGCTGAAGAAGTCGTTACAACTTGGGTTTATTCATTACAGCAGCACAAACTGTTACCTGGCAAGACGTCCACCACTTGATCCTGGTACACAAGCAATGAAATCCTCCAGAAAAGACTGCTCATTGCTTTGTACTTGCAGTGGAAGACTTCCTTCAAGAGCTTCCAATATTGTTGGTGAGTGAGATAGTGCCAACCCTTTTCCAAGTATTCCAGAATGAGATTTGCACACCTTTTTTTTTTTTTTTTTTTTGCAGGAATTGAGGTGGAGTGAAAGGGTAGAGAGATAAAAGAGTGTCTTTTAGTATCTTACATGTAGAAGCTGTTCCATAACTTAACACTATTGGCACAGACATTTGACGGATTAAAAACCATTTAAGGAGAAGCTAAATGGATAAACTACTTCAATGAAAGTTTTAAAAATAAATAAATAAATGAAGAAGTCAGTTCCTAGCACTGGTTTTACCCACTCAATCTAGATAATACTAATAAATGGTGTCAAAAGTATTATCTGCTCAGTCTAGAAAACATTGTCAGTAACTTATGTCAAAAGAGACTAAATTTGCTTGAGCTGAGGAAGAACTTCTGCAAGAAAGATCATGGCAATATGAACTTTCATGCAAAGAGTATCCTTACCAGTTGAGTTATGGCCAGAAGAAGAATGAAGAAAGCTCTTTTGAAAATGTGACAAATTAGAATTTTCCGAAGAAAATAAAAGGCTAGAGATAATAGCTTACAGTAAGACACATCTTAAACACTTTTGGGTTAGATAAAGTAAATGAAATCCCTTCTTTGTGAGAAGGAGAAGAAGGTGAGAAGACACATAAAATACCAGAGCATTGGACAGCAAGTGAAAATGCATAACACTTTACTTGCATGTATACTCCTAGTTCACTTTTTGAATTTAAATACTGTGAATCCAAGAACAGATTGCTATAAGAAATATTCCTTTCAAGAACATCCTTCTCAACACTTTCTGTTTCCTATTCTAAGGCCTACAGTACGGTGTCATTCTGTATCACTAGTATGTTTTTCCAGCAAGTACAGTAAAAGTAAATTTCAGTACAGTTGCCTTGAAAATGATTAGGAGAGAAAGAACATGAAAACTTTTTTACTGTTCATCATTAGCTAGGGTCAAAAATAAGGAGCTACTGATGAGCAGCAACTGCTATCACGACCTCCAAAACACATCATCAATCCAGAATAACTACAGTCATATTATTTGAGACTTCATAAATATTACCGTTCAAGTAACTTTATTTCTGCCATTATAAAGATATGTGAAAAGTTTATTTTGGTAACATTTAAAATTTATTAAACCGCAAAACCTAACACACATCTATTTTTGAAATATATAGGTGATCTTATTTCCTATATGATATTTTATGCATTTTATCTAAGCAGATTTACTCTAAGACTTAAAAGGAACAATATACCTGTAAAGCAGCCTCCTCAAGAATCTCAAGGTCTTCTTCAAATTCATTACCTGCTGTAAAAATATAAATACATATTTTTCATAACAATAATACAGACATTTATCTACATATTAAATAATCTGAAATTAAATTCTATCTAGTTTATGCTATGAAATTTAAATTTGCAGGAAGATGTGTAATATCGTTTAAACAGCTGCTTAAAGATTACTATCTTCTATAAGCTTAGTAAACATGCAATACTGTGTAGTTCAGTGTACAAGCAAATAACCAGTATACATTACACATAAAACAATCAAAACTAAAAATTGGTAATTATAATCTCATCTCCAAGACAGTATGTATGGCAAATCTTTGGATGCAACTAGATGCTTCTAGAAAAAGATTTTAGGAGGTCAAGCTGATTGCCAGGAAGAGGTACTCAAAACTATGCACCAGCTGCTCCCCTGTAAGAACTTACTCTAATAAAAGTATTTAAAACCTGATAAACTGCACAATTTGGTAAATTATGAATACACCTAAAGCATTAAAATAAATTATATTCTATCACATGGTATTTCTTTCTCACATATGCCACTCAAAAATCTGATTCCATAGTGACCAGAATTGCCAAACATAGTCTTAACAGAAAAGTCAAACAGGTAAAGTTACCATATTTCTAGTCTTTCTCAAAAACATGTCAGGCAATTCTATTAGTAAGGAAAGAGAAAAGGAATGAATCAAGATCCTAAGATATTTTTAAGATATTTTAAAAATTTTAAGATTAACCTAAGATATTTTTAAAATTTTAAGAAATGAAGATATATAGAAATTCTGCTCTCACAGATCACATCTAGAGAATTTCAAACAATTAACTAATAATGTTTAATAATTCAATAACAAATTGATCAATTCCCTATTGCTGCTTAGGTTAGATCTCAATCAGGGACCAGATTTCTCTTGGAAAGAGATGAAAATCTTTCAAATTTAAGTCTTGAAGAACTTGCAAGGAGGAAATACTACCTTGTGAACATGGTGATTCGAGTATACTCATAATGATGAATTTTTTTAATTATTACAGATTAAAATTTAAACACGTATCTGGCCAGCTGTATTCAGAAAATACCCACAACAATAATTAATAAAAAGACAAGATACCTTTTTGTGAAGGACATCCTCCCTCAGTAAAGTCTTTACAAAATAATGCAGTCATGTAAATAATGCTAAAGATGAGAGGGTCTATAAGGATGCCAGTAACACTTTTAACTCTGATTAGAAGTCACTTCAGTCATCTTGTCTATGTTCCTTGATATACATTTTCTGGACGTATTTTTATTTTACTTTGTTTTTACTCCCATGATGCCCTTTGCACCTCTCGTAAATGTATCTTTTGAGAATTTTCAACTATGTGTTTTCTGCTTCTTTTTTAAAATTCTGTCATGATATATGTGAAGGTTCTCAATCTTTAATTTTGTCAGGCTTTAATAACACTTATTTGGATTCAGAGGACTAAGTATTATTAGGGAAATGGAGCAGGAATTTACTTCACCTACTTTTGTGCAGTGTAGCATGAGATAATGAGCTAATGTGTACGTATTACCAGACATAACAAACAGAAGAAAAACAGGCACCTCTTCTCAGTGATTAATTTCTTCTTTTTTCAGATACTCATCCTAGGATGACATGAACCATGACAATGTCTACATTATCTCTAAAAAAGTTAGATCTACCAGCTTAGACTCAGTTGAATTCTAACTGCCAAAGTACAGGCATTTTAATTTGCTTATTCCCTTCTGGAGTGAATCTTTTCCTTCTGTTGATTTCTTCAAACTGTATAAACTCGCACATGAAACAGGTAAAACTGTAGAAATTTTAAAATGGAGAATGAAAATTAAAATAAAAGTTATTTCTTCTTGTATGCACTGCAGTGCAGTCTTTTACATGACTACGTAAGTTTTTCTTAAAATCAAACTGCTATGCAAATGAGCAATGGCAGTAATATATAGTATTTTTCAAGACATCACTGACAGCAAAATGTAGAAGATGCATTACCTACAAAAAAGCAGTCTGATATTAAGGCAGTTAAATGTTGCCTTAGAAAACCACATTTTAACTCTTTTCCTGCAGAATTTATTCTGAGCCACTTCAAACTCTTCCAAGTAAAATTACAGAAAACTGAAAATCATCTTTAAAAATCTGCACAGTAATTTCCATCACAAAAGACAAACCGCTCCTGTCTGTAACTTATCAATTCTGTTTATTTGTAGAGGTCTTGTAGAGAAACTCTACACACTTATTTGTCTTTAGTTTTGCAGTACTGTCAGGCATACTAACAGACTTGACTGAAGTCCTTGAGCTGGTGTTATGTAAGTGCTGAGATATATCATTTATAGTGTTACATCAATTACTTTAGTAATCAGAAAACCATCCTACATCTGCACCTGTCCTTCCTCTGCTGCAGCACACACATAATTCCCTTCATAAGTCGGCTGAATCTGCAGAACTGACGTGGCTGTATGTTTCATTTCAATTTTGATTTCTATGTTTTCAGGAAGAACACTCTACACATCATCTACATTTGATACTTTTAGGCAACCAAAATTAGAAACAAAACCAAAAATTCTTATTTTGAAATAAGAATGAAGTATTAAAAAAACTGGGAAGTGATACTGGAAGCATTTCAAGTTCAGCCTCTTTGTTTTATAGAAGAAGAAAACAGCACAATAAATGGACACTAGGGAAATCAACAAAAGTAAGAGATAATGCAGCTGCTTGGAGAAAAACAGAAGAGGGCACTCTTTTTAATAAACTATAGAATTGCCTGTACTTTTGAGAGAGAAATACAGATTTACCAGTGCAGTTGAGGTGCATATCTAAAACAAAGTAAGAAATTTGCACATTCAAATACACAAGCAAAGTATCAGGTTGAAAAAAAAAAAAAAAAAATCAAATTAGGTTTTGTGGTTCTAACTACACAGCGAATAGTATCTTCCTGCTCATTAATAAATATTTTTCTCTGCCAGTCTGCTTAACAAAATCTGAGCTCTTATTTGCACTCCTAAATTAAAATGATCCAAAAGATATCTTATTACAGATTATGAAACTGTTTTTTCTATACATTAATGTTAATTGGGTTAAGTAGTATTATACATAATATGGTTGTATCATTAGAACATTCTCAGTTTCCATATTCATTCATTTTCATAAACTCTTATTTATCCTTGCATTTGGATTATCATAAATTTCTGTTTGCTGCATCTGCCGGAGAAGTATGCAATATTCTTATAACTGCAAAAAATATAGCAGTGTGTAGGTTGCAGTGTCTGCAAATACAATAGCCACTCTTAATTTTAAATAAATGATTTCAAATTTTACAATTTAATGCTGCAGATGTTGCTCTTTCAGAAAGGTGTGAAGTGCAGGGAGAAAAAAATAGTGAAAGGGAAAAACAAATATGATACCTGCACATTCGTGAAGTACCACAAGAGAACTGTAGGACATAGCTCGTACAATGATACACTACACCTGTGAATGGGGTGAGTTGGTTTAGATTTAACCATTCTCTCCATAACAGCTTAAGCAGATAACAACATTTAAAAAAAAAAAAAAAAAACTTGGTTGATTAATTCAGTTTTACAATCAATTGTATATGGTCATCCTTAATTAAAAGCAATATGTGGACTTACAGAGAGCATTTATTAATAAAACTTGAAACAATGAAGTAAGTTCTTAGAGCCAGACTTACCAATAGGAAGTGCTAGATCTTTCTTCATCAAAGCTGCTGCGCATGACCCTCCTAAATTGGCCAATTCTTTTTCCAGCTGAATAATACCCTTAAAATTTAAACAGATTATAAACAAAAATAGCATTTCAGAAAATATGACAACAGATGGATTTCCTTGATTCTACTTTAAATCCTAAGAAATATTATTTCTATGTTCCATTTCTAAATTTCCCTCTGATATTTTTCTTGTCTTACAATTGCGCTGGCATATTTTAGTACAACATGGGACACAGTACCAACATTTTTAGAACCATTTCAGCTAGGTAAGAGCATTGACAATTGCTACTGAACTATTGGTAGCCTGGTAAGAACATGATTAATTGTAATTGTCTGATGGTAAACAGAAAGGGAACTCCCAAATTAAAAAATCTACTGATAAATATTCAGATTACAAAGCAATTCCCCTTCTAAACTGTACACATGTACTCATATTATTCCATACATTATACCAAAAATCCTGCCTTAAAGTTAATACGTTGTAAGATATTATTCTGTTAATGTCTGTGTCTCAAAGCTTGCTGGGGACACAGATGGACTTGTTCAAGTCCAGACAAGTCCCCAGCAAGGATTGTGAAATCCTTTGTCTGAAGGACACAGATGAACAAGTCCAGGCAAGTCCTGGGCAAAGGTTGTGAGATCCTTTGTCTGGGAAACTAATTCCTTCACCTCTCTCAAGTGAGACATTTTTATTGGCGTAGTCGGCAGGATACCCGCTGTGAGAGTGTTGTCCTTCCAGATAATAGTTTGAAACTTTTTTTTCTGTGTGCACCTCCTGGAGTTGCAAGGAGCGATAGTTTTGAAAATTTAGACGTGAGTCCTTCTCCAGGAAGACCGCTCCATATTCTGAAACTTTACCTTTTATGTGTGTACCTCTCGGGGACGTATTTTGACTATTTGCATTTTGATTAATACGTGTGTGCCTCCTCGGGAAGACTTCTCTGGTTATTTGGTGACTGAAGTGCGAAACTTGAAGTGATATTTTGTGACTTAAAACATGTGTGCCTCTCCAAGAAGTTTTATTTAAACTACTGAAACCGAGAAAGTGTTGCTTTAGCTTTACATTTTTTGTGCTCCCCCCAAAGAAAGGGAGGAGTGGTTTGAGTTGTGTGCACCTCCTGGAATTGCAAGGAGTGAACTGTAACTTAGGTGTGGTGTTTACAGTTTGTTCTAGCTTCTTGTCTTTGTGTGCTCCCATCAACAAAAGGGAGGAGTGATTGGAGCATTTGCATTTGTTTAGGTGTGGTGTATCTCCCTGGGAGGAATAGTGAGGAGTAACTGAGCTTTTGAACATGTGTACCTCCTCCTCCCTTAGTATAGATCTTTCATCGTATTAAGAAATGAGTAACAGTATTGCCAGTATGAAAAATGAAGATGTGTTATTTGACCTTTTAGAAAAGCATGGTGCTCGTCCCTCTTCATCAGGAGTGGACTGGGCACACCAAAAATTGGCATAATTTGCAGAGTGTTTCGGAACGCATTAGTGTCTTACAGAATGAGGCTCGTACACGAGCTGGAAAAGGAAAGTCGTTTATTTGTGCCGTACTCGGGGCTGCTTTAAAAGCTGCCGTGGAGTTCCGAAATGAAAAGCATTCGGCAGAACTCCAAACCATAGAAGCACTACAGGAATCGGTTAGAGTTACACAAGAATTGGTAAAAATTCTGCAGAATCAAATAGTTAATCTTGAGGAATCTTAATCTTTAGAAAGAGAGAAACATAATTCGGCCTTGTTGCAGATGGCTTTCAAAGAACTGTTAACATGTAAGGATACTAACAATACTGTCACCCATGGTTTGCCTCAAGAAAAAGCTTTTCCTCAGGAAGAACTACAAGAAATAAAGGAAAGACTAGACAAATTAGAAATCCCAATAGCCCCATTGCGTCCCTTGATAAAAACAGAATATACCTTCGATAACAGCGAGGATCTAGATCCTCAAATGAATGTTAAAGAAATTCCCTTCTTGGCCATCGAGCTTGCAAAATTGAAAAGGGACTTTAGACGCTCTCCAAAGGAATCAGAAACAGAATATGTATGGAGGGTGAGTCTCACTGGTGGCGACCAGATTTGGTTAACAGAAAAGGAAGCAGAAGGTTACTGGGGACCAGGAGTATTTTTAACTACTGGTAACAATCGTTCTCCCTGGTCATTAACGCAAAGGGCTGCCTATTGGGCAGGTGGTCTCAACCCTTTAGAACGGGGAGACCTTCTTGCCATTACTGGAACTACTGACCAATTAGTAGAGAGCGTTCAAAAGGCTGCTTGTCTCCAACTGATGTATGATAGAAAGCTGCAGCCGCATCATGAATCGCCCATGATGATGCCTGTTGATCCTGAGAGAATGACCCCTTTTATTAGAGGGCTTCCGGAATCACTGAAACCCATAGGCATACAATTACAAGCAAGAATACAAGCTATGTCACAGGGAGAAAGAACCCGGGCAGTGTTAGAAGAAACTGTAACCCCCAACCATCTGCAGTCAGGATGCAAAGTATGGACGGGGGGAGGTAGCCCAAGAGTTAATTAACTATGGAAGAAAATATGGGACGATGATTTCTTTTCCCAGCAAATCCGAGCCAAGAAGTGTAAGGCTTTCAACAGCCAGTCTTGCCCCCAGGCCACCTAGCCCAAAGCTCAGTGGGTCTGGAAGGGCCTCATTGCCAGTAAACACGGGTAGGCAGAATATCTTTCATAAATGTAATGGACTTTGGACTCTGGGTTGGAAAAAGGGTATTCCACGAAATTTGATGGATGGATTGACAACAGACAGGTTAGAGAAATTAGTTAACTGGTGGCCAGAACAAAAGCTCGAGAATCTTGAGGAAAGCAAAACCCCAGGTCCTAGGGCCTCTCTCAGGGAACCTGAACGGCTATCCAAGCCATTAGAAAACTGATGTCTCCGTCCCTCCCAAGTGAGCAGGGTGGGGGTGGTGAAGGGTGGATGCATTAGAAAGCTCACAACAAAGGGAAACACTGATCTCCCAGGCCAGCCTGTGTCGATTGGCTCAGCTAACCTGAGGCTGGTTTCCCTACCCTTAATGGGATACCTTAACAAATATCCTTGGAAGGCCAAGGACACCGCGAAAAAGGAATACAAAATTAACACTTGCTGGATTGTTCCCTCATTTTTTAACCATATTAACAAAGCCCCCCCCAAAAAAAAACAAAGGGCAAGTCGGTGTCTCGTTTTATTTTTTCAGAATACTCCTATAGACCTTGACTGAACACAGAAAGGACTCTAAGTTTTGTGACAAAAATATTGAAAATTTGATCATGTTAGAATACTGAATATACCTCTTGATTACATTTTGTATTTTTGTTCTGTGTCTGAAGGACACAGATGAACAAGTCCAGGCAAGTCCTGCGCAAAGGTTGTGAGATCCTTTGTCTGGGGGACGCAGATGGACAAGGCCAGGGGCAAGGAGAACGAGATGAACTGCAGCTAAATAGCTGTGAAGCAGTCTTTTGTGTGGACCTATCTCAGGATGAAGGCCATCTCAGGGGGTACTCAATGACTCTTGCTCAAGGCCCATCCTTGTCAGTAGGCAGGAGAACAAGGAGGATAAAAGAGGAACTGAAAACCATAAAGATAGGTTTTCTGACAACAGATTCCTCACGAAGAACGGAGGTTTTCTGGCAGCAGATTCCTCCTGAAGAAGAAGAGGGATTCCTCACGATTGAGGTGACTCCTGCATACTGTCGAACTCTCCTGTGCCTGCTGCCTGAGCACTGCTGCTGCTTCAAGGATTGGCTCCTCGACTTCTTCGTCTACCTGCCTGCTGCCCAAGGCCGGCCACGCTGCTTCTCACCCCCTCCCCTGCTGCGTCTGCCTGGGACCTTCAAACGCCGTGCAACGGGACCGCTGCTGGATCCTGCTGGTGACTATCCCTGCTTTACGCAACTCCTGCTTCTTTTCCATCTTTTCTATCGCCCTCCTTCCCTTCCCTTCCCCGTCTCCCTGATTAGGATTTGTAATAAACTGGTCGGACTAACATATGAACCGTTGTTTCTTAATCTCACGCCGGGTATACAGATATTAAAAGAACCTCATCTCCCTCCTATAAATTGGAGCGAGACACCTGTAAAGTGAACAAAGACCAAGCTCTAAAATTAAATGGCAAGAACAGACATTGCTGTCATACAACTTTTCTGGACGCTTCAGTCCTGAGACGCAAGGGAGCTTAAAAACTGTAAAATTTGCTTTTCTGTTATAGAATGTATTTGCAGTCTTAACTGTTGTACAAGAAAGCTTGTGATGTGAACACTATTACTTCAGGTAGATAACTCCTATGATGTCCATATTGTATTTAGTGACTCATCTAGACAAAGAAGATTCAGAATTTTACAAAATTTCTTATTGATGCAATGTACAAAATCATAATGCTATGTATTTGAAGAAAGTCACAGTTATTAAAAATCCCACACACAAAAAAAAAGCCATGCCAACACATTCAAATCAAAGAATTACAGTGACACAAATTTAAAAATTATATGCAAACAATTGAAAAATATTTTGCAGTACTATTTAGTCAGAAGTGCAGATCAGTTAGTTTTACCAAAAAGCCTTCTGGCCACATAAGAGTGAATTAATAGGTTTGTTTGAAGCCCACTTTTTTCTTACCTCATCAGATCCTGGGCTAAATTCATATCCAATTGCATAACATTTGAAACCATAAAAACAAGCTTTTTCATCTTTCACATAGTCTGATGCAGTCTCCAGAGAAAATAGAGCTTCATTTCCTTATAGGAAGTAAAATAACACAAAAAATAAATTAAAAGGAACTTGTAATATTTCTCCTCTTTTGGAATATATCTGTTACATGAACATAAGTGAAATACAGACTTTGTAAGTAATACGTGAAATAAAATAACATGCAGAAGAACACTTCAAAAAATAAACTTAATATAAACATAGTCCACAGATACACAGTTGATGGCTCATAACAGTCTCTTGCCATCTTGGATGGAGACACTTCATCAACTTTGTTTTCCAGAACGATTTTGCTGAAAAGTCAAACTTATAGTTAATTATTTTAACAATCATAGAATGTTTTGGATTGGAAGGGACCTTTAAAATCATCTACTTGCAACCTCCCTGCCACAGGCAGGGACATCTCTCTTAGACCAGGTTGTTCAAAGCCCCATCCAGCCCAGCCTTGAATGCTTCCAAAGAGGGGGCATCCACAACCTCACTGAGAATGAACATTAATAAAAATTTTTGTAAATTATATTGATTACCTGGCAGTACTAATACCATTGTAGGCCATCCTGAAGATCCTGAGAATTTTTTGAGTTCTATCCATGAATTAAGATTTTCATGAACAGAAGCATGTTTTGGTCCAAATCCCAGACTCTGTGCAATTCTGACAGGAATTAGTAAACGAAGAACATCCTCTGATTGAGCAGTGCCACACTGAGTGTCAAATTCTATTGTTATCCATCTGACACATTCAGGAAAGGTTACCTAAAACAAAATAGTAGAGAAAAACCTAATTACATGCATGTGTTGTGGGACTTTTTTGTTATACCTTCAAAGAAAAGCAAAACAAAACACTACTATTAAGTTTTGGGATTTCTTTTGCCTTCCATTTTTAACGTTTCAGGCTATGAAAATGATTCAATTGTGTAATTTTGCATAGTTTTAGCACGCTTTACATTAACATAATTTATTTTTGAAATTCAGATACGCCTGAAATGCTTTACACTAAACTATGTTTTAACTTACATCCAGATTAAGTATTTACACTTAGGATACCATTTGTGTTTTTTTCTGTGTTGAAGAACCTTCTCAAATACCTTTTAAAATGCAAACCTTAAAAAACACATTCAATGTCTGCTTTGCCCAAACCTGCAAACAGCAGCTGAAGCATTTTATGAATATAGTCTGCGTTACGACAGCATACAGTTACAGTATTTTAGAAGTAGTAATAGCTAGTTACTACCAGCTTCAGATAGGCTCCATAAACTTAAAAGAATAAGAATCATCATAAATAAGAATCATCACTTCAGGAGTATCAGATAACTAGTTATCTTGGATTCTTGGATTTACTGTTTTGAAATCAATGTCACTACAGAACTCACTAGTTCTGGAAACAAAACAGAGGATTTTTTTTTCAGACAGGTAATTTATGTCTCTGCCGTTTACTCAGACAAATAAAATCATTCCTTCTCAACTGACATTCTGAAAATCTAGTTTAATCAAGTTACTTATGTAAGGTAGACTGAATTCCACTTATAGTGACTCAACACAAGAGAACATCAGAGACCAAGAGAAACCATAATTCAAGTGAATATAATTTGTGAAGAATTTAAATGGCAGACCAAAATAGCAATGTAAGGATCCCTATGTTACAGATATATATGAATTTAACTAGAACTGATGCTAACTGTTTTCACAAAGCATAGCTTCAGTGTTAGATAAGAATGTCTGAGACATGATTAGATAATATCTGTTAGATAAAGAATTCCAAATTCTGCAGTCTATACAACTAGAGCAAATAAACTGTTTATGACAGAAGGAAAATCTAAGAATGAGCAAATTTAGGTGCTTTCAGTCAAAAACCTGAATCGAAGGTTAAATTTACATGGTCCCTTTATACTTAGTAAAGAAACAGAACGTTCTTCAGAAAACAGTACATTCATAATACATACAAAACAGTTTCCTATATTAGACAATATGAATTCTCATCCAGCATTCTGATAAAATGAAAATGATGTAAAAAAAATTAAGAAATAAAGAATTTAAATTTAAGATCTAGTGTTTACCTTGTAGTGTGTAACACAGGCAGGTTTATAGGGATGTTCACTTTCCACAACAGCATAGTGATTAGAGGTAGTACAAGCTGAAAGCCCTTGCTCTGGCTGGTTTCCTGTAGTGCTGTCTGTAGACTGATTGGGGTTAAAAGCTGGAGGAGCGTATTTCTGATTCAGAACTGCCACAGAAGGAAGTAATTGTTGTACTAGACCAAAGACCTCTACAGCAACCTGTAACATAATGCCAAATACACTAAATTATTACTTATGACTGGGTGAAAAAAACCCACAAACGTGCATTTCTTGCAACCATTGCAGAACAGCTGTTTTGGATATTCTCAATAAATCACTATCACAATTCATTCTGTCACATTTTCCAACTTTGCATCTACATAATCCTTGCAGAAAGAGCACACTCGGTTCATCTCAGAGACTTATAAAAAAACAGAATAAGAATCTGTATTTGCAGCTGTGAGATATGTACATTAAAACACCTTCTCCAGCACTGGGAAGTTGTAACATGAATGAACAATTATTAGTTGACAGAAAAGAAACACTGTCTAAAAGTCATACTCCTGTCATAGTTTATTTCCCAAGAAAACTGTTATTTTTCCAATATTAAACATTTTTAATATACATACAAGATAATACTGTCTAATAGCTAGGAATTAGTGACATTTGTAAATTCAATGATAGTTTTCAAAATTTTCAGACACATTTAATCATGCTTTGCTTAAAAGCATGAAAAGTATTTTTATTCATAGGTTACGTCTTCCCATCTGTAAATTTGATATAAACAAACTTTGTTTAATAAATAGCTACCACTGCTTTGGATATTCATTGTAAAATCTGAATTTATATAATATTTAAAAAGTTTACTCCATCAATATTCAACAATAAGTAATAAATCTAGATCCTTCTAACTTTGTCTTTTCCTACTGTCAAAGCTGTATTTTTTAATTTACTTCCTTAAGGTTTGTGGTTTTTGGTTTTTGTTGTTGTTGTTCTTTTATGATGACTTCAACATAAATTAAAAAGTCACAGTTAAAGAATGACATATTTTTAAAATTCCTGTCTCTTGAAAATTTCCTGATGAGTCAAGTGGCCAAACATAAAACACTAATTCATAAAATCATAAAAAAGACATCATGTAAAGATTTTTCAGAGTAAACCTTTTTCTTACATAACATTCTTTTTTCTCAGTAATTTCTATTGAGGAGCATACCTTGGGGATTGCTGCTGCAACTGGTCCTATGTAAGCTATTATGAGGGGAAGCAGCATTGAGAACAGACTGGAAGAGCTGAGTAGTTCTGGAATGTCTTCAGCTAAAGAAAGATAATTACAACACAAGTAATATTCTTTATAATAATAACTGTATCATTGTTGAAAGCACATCTTATTTTTCTTGTTTGCTTCTTATTAATCTTCTAGCTTCTACATTAGTTTTTACTATAAGCTACTTTCATTAGGCAACGTAATTCAAAATCAAATTACAAATGTGCAGAGTTCACCTGAGATAAGCATGTCATTACATACAGTTCTGTATTAAAAAATTTCCTTGTTTTTATAACACAATTTTATTGATTCTTTGCCATTTTGTATAACTGTGTTTCTATGCTATAAAACCTAGTGAAACATGTCCCTCCCAGCACTCAAAATCAATTTCTGTAACAGTACTTAAATACTATGGATTCCTTTGATACAGCTTAAAAGCATTAAATTTTAAGACTAATGCCTCGATTTCTCAAAAACAGATGTTTAAGCTTATAAATGCATTACATTTATCAGTTTTCCTGCTACTATCAGTGTGCAAAACATGCAATAAAATTTGGAAGTGACCCAATGCAGAATCTTACTAGCTTTAATATGTTTGCTAAAGTGATGAACAAGTTTATATGAAGTATATGCCTATGACAGCTCAAGTGCAACTCAAAGACTTAGAAATTTACTTCCAGTTCATTATCCCCAGTTCAATATGTATAGCTGTGACATTTTAGAAAAATAGTCTCTGAAGACAGAAGAGACATATCACAATTGCTTTGTCACCAATTTTCTACTCCCAAATCCCTCTAACAAAGAAAGAAGATTTGAAAAGTCAGTTTTAGAAGTCAATTATCAAAAATCTTACCATCCACAGCAAGAGCCCTGTGCAACAGGTCTTTGGCTGCTCGTACAACAGCACTCACAACAGAAAGAGCCCTGCTACAATTTTTGTCTTCTTCATTAGCTTTATTCAAAAGCTGTGATTGCAGATCTCCATCATACTCACTCCTGGATGGCAGATTAAAAGTAAGTTCATAAAATAGAAAATTACCTAAAGACGGCTGGCTTATTTTTGGCACAGAATAATCAAAATAATTAATTTATGATAAAATAATAAAAGAAACAACACAAGTCAACCACCAAGGATAACTTGGAGACAACATCACAGTATTTGCCCTTTGCTATTGTTTTATTTTTGTCTGACAGTAAATAAAAGCATGTTTCTTAAATGTCTGCTTTGACTGTATGTCTTTCAAATCTTAGAAATGTATTCCTAAACACTTTATAGGAACTAGTAAAACTCTTTCAATTAATATTTCTGTGCTATAACTGTGAAAAAGATTCTCACTCCCCATTCTAAAGATTAATTTTGCTTTTGAAATGCAGTGTAAGGCTTATCCTCAACAAATAGTTTTCTTTTTTAAATCTACTCTAAGTCAAACTAGCTTCTTCTAATGAAGTATAATTTTCCTAAGACATTAAAAATGTCTATTTTGATTTACACTTTCAAAACAGCCCAATCATGACTACAAACCAATTCCAGTCTTTAAGATGACAGTGATTCAGTTTTTGCGTAGACAACTGAAATCACTCTGTCAAGAGGTAAATTTCCCATTTTACTGGATTTCTTATGTTTAGAAAGTTTTGATCTCCCAAACAGTAACACAGAACATTAAGATTCCAGAACTAGCAGCTCTGCATGCTCAATGACTTGACTTTACATGGAATAGTTCAAAGTAAAACCAAATGAAACATACAGCAGAGAAACTTCTCTATGACTTCAAGAAAACACTCCTACAGAAAGGTGGGTTTTTTTCACTGCCTCCTAGAACTGTAATTTTGCTGTCAGTCTCACAGCTTTTTAATTTATATTTATTAGTCACTGACACTGGATGCAACTAAATATTTCCAATGAATCCTTCCAACACACTTCTGTCCTAATAAGAAACATGTTAAATCCAAAGACTGAAATTACACTGAAAGAACATGTTAATTCTGCTGAAGAATTAACACACACAGTCCAGATGCGTTTATTTCTGTTACATCTCTTTAAAAAAAAACACAACTGTATAGCAGCATGACTGTTCTCATTAACTTTTCTTAGAAATAGATCATGGTAACACACAAACCTGTAATACAGAATCTGTGGAATTTGTCCCCGTGTTTGGTTTGTGCCATTACTGCTCAGACTACACGTACTAAAAGTAAATGTTACACCATCAGGACACTGAACTGTGGTCATTCCTCCATCTCCATTGGCAGTTCGGCTTCCGTAATTCCTTAAACGAACTGCATATTTCACATTTTCCTTAAAAAGGAGAGGCAAAAATAATAAACAATATAAAACAAGTACGTAAGTTAGGCTTCACAGTTTTATGAGAATTTTATTATCCTGTAGTTCTCCGGGTCTTCCTTTCTCCCTTTCTTAAAATTGGAGTAATGTTTCCCATTTTTCAGTCACCAGGGACTTCACCAGCAGCCATGAGTTTTCAAATATGGAAATTAGCTTGGCAACCACATCAGCTATCTCTTTCAGAACCCTAGGAAGGATATCATCCAGCCCCATGGGACCTGAACAGGCTGGAGAAAACGGCCCATGAAAACATAGGTTCAATAAGGCCAAGTGCACGGTGCTGCACTTGGGTCTGGGCAATCCCAGATATTTATATAAACTGGGGGAAGATCTCCTTGAGAGCAGCCCTGTGGAGAAGGACTTGAAGGTCCTGGTGGATGAGAAGCTGGACATGCGCCAGCACTGTGAGCTTGTAGCCCAGAAGGCCAACAGTGTTCAGGGTTGCATTAAAAAAGGGGTGGCCAGCAGGGAGAGGGAGGTGATTGTCCCCCTCTACTCAGCTCTTGTGAGGCCCCATCTGGAGTACTGCATCCAGGCCTGGGGTCCCCACTACAGGAAGGATGTGGAGCTCTTGGAGTGGGTCCACAGGAGGGCCACTAATGATCAGGGGCCTGGAGACCTCTCCTATGAGAAGTGGTTGAGGGAACTGGGCTTGTTTAGCTTGGAGAAGAGAAGGCTTCAGGGAGACCTCATTGTGGCCTTCCAGTACTTGAAGGAAGTGTTTATACGCTCCGCAGGAGGGGGAACGGCTGTTTATGAGAGTGGATTGTGATAGGACAAGGGGGAAAGGTTTTAAACTGAGTCAGGGGAGGTTTAGGTTAGATATTAGGAGGAAGTTTTTCCACTCAGGATGGTGACGCACTGGAACAGGTTGCCCAAGGAGGTTGGAGATGCCCCATCCCAAGACGCATTCAAGGCCAGGCTGGATGTGGCTGTGGGCAGCCTGGTCTAGTGACTGGCAACCCTGCACATAGCAGGGGGGTTGAAACTTGATGATCATTGTGGTCCTTTCCAACCCAGGCCATTCTATGATTCTATGATTCTGTTATAGTTATTATTTTTCATTAGTAACTGACCAAAAAAAAAAACAGAAGTCAAAGGTGCTTCATGCTCCCAAGCTGCAGAATAAAACTTAATAAAGTATTACTTTGGTACTAGGACCAGGACTACTTAACATCTTTGTTAGTGATGTAGGCAATAGGATTGAGTGCACCCTCAGCAAGTCTGTGAGCAATACCAAGCTGCATGATGCTGTCAACACACTGGAAGGATGGTATGCCCAACAGAGGGACTTTTATTTACCTTCAGTGGCACAACTTTGTCAAGTCTAATTTCAGCTATGTCACTGGGAGAATCGTCTGTGGTGTAAGTTCCTTTAACCAACTCTAATGATGTCCATCTATGAGAATGAGTTGAATCTCCAGTATGATCACTCTGAATCAAAGAAATAATGTCATTTTAGTATGTTTACATTATAAATACATAGCACATATGCAAATATGTGTCTTCAACTATGCAAATATAAAATGCTTTCTTGCAAAATTTGTTACACAAATAATTATAAATAAAAAAAAAATGTTTAGAGTTAATTGTGAAACTTTTCAGTTAACAAGGAAATTACTGAGCAGACAGAAAATATTTCATAGCAACCTATGCTTGTCCTTCGAAAGAGATTAGAACAGTCACTTAAAATGGACAGCTGAGTTTAAAAGAACAGAAGTGTGTCTTCATCACAAGAATACAATGTATGTTATAGGTGGGTATTTTAAAAGCACAACAGATGTCTTCAGTCTGACTACACTAGCAGACTATTATTTTATTTTTCTAATTATTGGAGTACTTTTTTTTTCTTATTTTCTTTAGCAGTACATGGAGAGATACCTGTTTCTAACTTACATTTAGAAGTGAAAAGCCTAATACAAATATTATCTGTAATTAAGATTTCAAGGTCATAATTGACTTAAGGAACCTACTGGATGTTGTATGTAGCTTGAAACACCACAAAAATCACTACCACAACCTAAGCAAAAAACCTTACAGATGCACTGGTAGCTTAGACTGCATTAGCATGTTAAAATATTTCATTGTGTAATACATTATGGAAAAATATTTTCTTCAGTGTTTTTTTTCAAATGCAGTACTTACATCATCAACTAATACTTCCAGCTCATATTCATGAATTCCCCCTCCACCGTAAACAGAAAATCCTACTACAACGACACCAGCTTTGTCCACTGAGAAACATATTGCATCGGGAGATCCATTCCCAGTATTCCAGCTTCTTCCCTGACTTGTTTTAGTGAATCTGTTTGGAGTGGATTTGACAGAATGAAGAGAGTTCAGTCCATCAACCTATAGAAAATTAAATAAAAGCAGGAAAAGTTAACTGCTAAATACAAGACAACTTAAGAAAAAAAAAGTAAAGTGAATTAAAATTTCAGATTTTCAACTGGATAAATTTCAAACCAACTCAGACATAAAGACATAAAAGATGCCACATATCAGCTTCTTTTTAATATTATCTCAAAAAGTAATACATTTTCTGATAATTATGAAATAGCGAGAGAGAACTAGAAATCTTATTTCTAAATTTTTCACATATTTTAACATATATAATATGAATCATCAAAAAACATAAAATTTAGCCATGCTCCAAGAAGACTAGTTGCATATTTCTGCCTTAAATATGGTCAAGACCAAGAGAGTAAAGAAACAGATCTTACATAATAATAAAAACATATTTAATCAATGCTATCAAAAGTAATGTACATTCTGTGGAAAAAAAAATTGCTGATAGTACATAAACTGGTATGTGAGTTTAATAAAACTGAATAAATTCCTATCATTTAACAATATCATAGCTTCATACATAAGCATCTCTGGATTTTAAAAATTTAGACTCATTACCATTCTCAATTTTCCAATACAAAACAAATTAGCTGGAGACAGTCTAGTGAAAGAACACATATATGCAGGAATTTGAAAAATTTATTATTTAATATTGAATATGTAAAGGACAATAATATTAAAGAGGATCAAGTATATACAAGAGAAAGTTACACAACCCAAAAAGCAAATTCTGACCTGCAGTCAAAAGCAGGCAGTGCACATGGAGGACCCTATGATAAAATGAGAGGTAGAGAAACACTCTGAGATGTGGCACTGCCTCCAATGAGCTCTAAAACAATATATTTTGAGTGTGTGCTTGCATTGGTGTGCATGCAAAAAAGAAAAATACTCACTTTGTAAAAAAAAAAATTAAAAAAATTACAGTACTCTTCAGCCATAATGAAGTAGCTATTTTTCAACAGTATTCAACTAACAGTGAATATATATGCTTTCAAAAAACTTAGATGTCTGAAAGCTACTGAGAACAACTCCAATATCTCTGAAAGATATGTACATTGATAGAACCATTGTCACAGTCTGTACGACTTTCATAATATATCTGTTCAATGACTTCTAGGAATGAACTTAAGAAACTTTACCTCAGATCCTAATGCTGATGCTGTAAGCTCACTCACAATACTAGCAAGCAACCCACAGGTATTAGAAACCAGATGTGAAGAGAAAAGTTCATTTTCTCGCCTAAGGGTGTTCCGGACTGGTAAAACAACAATGACCAACATCTTTTCCAGCACTTCCCGAAAGCTTGTCATCCCTGAAACATTTTCTTCACTCTGCACGATGAAGACAAAAATATTGTTTATTCTTTTAAAATTTGCTTTTTGTATATTACAAACATTAGGTAATTGAAGATTCAGTGACAGATTCAGTCTTGTGGGTAAAAAAAAAATATCTAAATACTCTCAAGGCTATCACAGCATGTACTCCTTTAAAAAAAAAACAAAAAACAACTAGATATTCTTAATTTCCAGAATGAACTGGCATTCACATTGTTTACTATCTAGGAAAAAATACCTAGGCGTCCTATCAGGAGGTAGTATTTCTTACAGCCCTCCCTGACATATGGAGTTTAAGCATTAAATAGATTACAGCTACCTACTGAGCTCTCCACACCATCATTTCTCCACTGTCTAAAAAGAAACTCAGAAGGTTTTCGGCTTTGTTGTTAGTGAAGAGAATTTCTGTGCAAACAAGAAAGACAAAGCCAAGGACAAGAAACTAATTAAAACTGGTTTTCCATCCTGAACTAGTAATGTAAAATAAATCTAAGCTTAGGTACCTACTATCTCTTCTACCTAACAGTGATATCCACTTTTTTTCAGAACAGTTAACCATGAAAGTCATTCCCAACATGGAAAAATAAAGCTAGCTCTACTGATTGGAAACAAAGGTTTGTCTTTCTCATTATTTTATCTCCCACGAATACTCAACACTGTATGCACAGGGAAGTCAACAATCACATCATGCAAACCTGTATTGATAGCTACACAGAACGCTTGATCTTTAGATGCTAAGAAAGAGCTGTATCTGAGATGAAAATACTATCTTAGCATTTAACAGTTTGGGATAGATATTTTTTTCATTAACTTATGCAGCTGCTGTCTATGTCCATGAAAATACTAAGCACAAAAATGGTCTGCAGAGAGATGTTACATGTGAGAGACATGGTCTCAGAAAAACAGCTCTGTTTTGAACTTACGTTTAGCTAAAGTCTTTATTTACTCCACAGTTTTGTTATTAGCAAACTCAACTTTTATTTACCTTTCATGTATTAGTCACAGTTTTGTAAGACCTTAATCGTTCTTGTCTTCTAAATAGAATATTATTATCAAGCAGTCCCAGATCTTTTTCATCTTTACCCTTTATATTTCTGTATATCTTTTCTGAAATAGAAGATACTACAACTGCAAAAATACAGTGTTCAATATCTTTTTATCAGGATAATGTTGAAAACTATATGAACTGGACTTTTCTTGTCTAAACTGCTCACTGACTCATTTGAAGATTACAGTTTTTGAGACATGACTTTTTCTTATCAAAGATGTGTCCTCTTATTCTTCCTCAAAGCACTGGATCTATCTGCATACTCACTCCTGTGACCGTGTGCAAAAGCTGAGAGACTGTCGCAGGAAAGACTGTCCAATAGAAGACAATTCTGAACTATATTTCCCCTAGATTAACATTCAAAAATAAACAAGAAACATCTTTTTCTGAAACAAGAAAGAACTGTATGAAGTATTTCAGATCAAAAGATAAAAATTCACTAAAATACTGAGAACTCTTGAAAACAATTTTTTTTAAAAAGAAAGCACTTAGGCAAATACAGTTTCATCCTTATTTAGTCAAAATTTGAATGTACATAACTTTTCTTTGTTGCAAAGTAAACACATTTTGAGATTTTTAAAGTATATCCTGACCTGACTCAGTTTTTCCATATGTGAAACTAAAAGGGGGAAACGATGGGCCAGAGCAGAGTCATTCTCAGTGCTGACTTGTTTGACCACTGATCGCAGCAATGCTTCTCCATCATAAGCAATTGGAAAGATAGAGGTCAGTTTTACTGACGTGTGGCATAGAGCAGACATAACAGCAGCAAGAAGCCGACTACTGGAGGTTTTGAAATTTGCTTCCTGGATATCCTAAAAGCATAAAAAGAAGTAATTAGAAAGGTTCTGCTGTATTCAAAGTTAGTGAGGAAAAACAACTTTTGAAAGGAATTTTTCAGTTTTATAATAGTTATAAAATTATTTAAATAAACTATTTTATTTACTTATAGCTATCCTGCGAATTTTATATTAACTTGTCCTAATGAACTTTCATTTAGATCTTTCATATTGGAATAATTAAAATTCATTGTCTACCATGTATTAAAATAATAAACCCATGAAAACTACTTCTGAAATTAAGAGACCCCTCAAAGTCTTCTTATAATTAATCAAAACTTAATTAGACTAATATGTTAAAGAACTGGTTCTTCCCTCTTGAATTTTAATACAATAAATGGATTTTCAAGCCAAGAAACAAACTATTTAGATATCATTGCAATCTATGCAAACAAACAACTAGAATGCTTAGACATGGGATGATTGTTTGTAATTAGCAAGACAGTCAGAAAACCCTGCACATAGGATAATGCTGCTAGTATCTCATCCACTATGCTGGATGAGAGCACAGTTGCAAAATTTAATAATGAGAAATTATTTAAGAAATTATTCAATTATTACTGATAAAATTGTATAAAAATATCATAAATATGCTTTTAATCAATGTGCAGCAACAGAAATCATACAGTAAGTGTGGACTACACACTGAAAAAGCAGCTGCTAATAGCTACAGTAGATTTTCTTCACTGTCCCAGAGAAAAAATCTTTTTGTAAAGGAGACATAAGTTTCTATTTGCTAAATCTGTAATCATCTTCTTTTTTTTCTTTTTTTTTTTTTTTTAACCATAGCAGAATTCAAACTGCAATTCAGGATAAACACAAAAAATGAATAATGAATTTAAATAGTGCTTAGATTATTTGAGTGTAAGAGCAATCTAAGTTGTAATATTCACTTGTGACATTTTAAAATACCTGGTCCAAACAATTCAGCAAGTCACAAAGACATGCCCACTGGAGAGATGGCGTTGGATAAAATGAATGAAAGCAAGCTGTAAAAGTATTATGGCATTCTTGAAGAACAGCTTCTAAAAGACTCAAGGGCTGACTGAGATATCCTTGAGGATCATTGTCCAACTTGACCATGCAATGATCAACTCCTTCAGATAGAATTTTTCTCAGCAAAGTCCTAGTTTTTCCAATGCAATCTGCCAGTTTACTGGTTTCTTCTACAACCGCCTTAGCTGTTGCTAGGTTACAAAAAGAAGAGCATTAATGTACGGCAAATGAACCATTTTCATATAAAATGCATATTGTACAAGCAAGTAATATAGCTAGAAATTAGCAACACTGATCAATCTATATTTAGAGAAGTTAATTTCACAAAGCAAAACAGCAAAGGGTGTTAAGGTATATCAAAGAAATTGGAACATCAGAAACTTCCAATTTTCCAGTTTTTCATAATACATACTGCATTTAAACATATGTACTGCTAAACTATAGGCATGAAAAACATTTAAAATTTAAATTGTATTCATTACCAAAGCAGCTACTATGCAGAGAAATGCAAAAAAATAAGAAACAAAATAGACTAAAAGATCCTATCAATTGTAACCAAAAATGGAAATACACATGAGTTTCAATGCAAACATACGGTGATGGACAATTGTTAAGCAGTTAATTGCAAATACCCCATTTCTGACTGCAAACCTCTTAATTGCTCCAATAAAGATATCTGTACAAGCAATTTCATCCTACAGCACACTCTACAAGAATACTTTGATCAATTTTTCAATGCCCCACGCATTATTGTTTGCTAATAAATAAGAAACAAGTGAACTAAGAAGAATACCTGATATTGGATATATTTCACAGGTATAGACCCTCAGTAACCTCAGACAGCAAGTACCCACAAAACGCAACCTTTCTAGATCCAAAAGAGTAGCAGTATATTGGAATCCTTTCAGTCCACGAAGTTCTTCAACTCCTAGCACCAGCGTTGTCCAGCTCCAGTGAAGAATGCTCAATAAAGACTCAAAGCATTCCTATTTTAAAGGATATGGAAGGAAGACAGGTTTTGTATTAAAAAGAAAAGAAAACAACAAGAAGTGAACTTTCTGCAGCACAATGAACATGAGCCGACAGTATGCTGAACATAAGCCAACAGTGTGCCCAGGTTGCCAAGAGGGCTAATGGCATCCTGGCCTGCATTAGAAATAGTGTGGCCAGCAGGAGCAGGGAGGTAATCATCCCCCTGTACTCAGCACTGGTGAGGCTGCACCTCAACTACTGTGTTCAGTTTTGGATCTGTCACTACAAAAAAGACATTGAGGTCCTGGAACGTGTCCAGAGAAGGGCAACGAAACTGGTGAGGGGTCTGGAGCACAAGTCTTATGAGGAGTGGCTGAGGGAGCTTGGAATGTTTAGTCTGGAGAAGAGGAGGCTCAGAGGAGACCTCACTGCACTCTACAACTTCCTGAAGGGAGGCTGTGATGAGGAGGGATTTGGCCTCTTCTCCCGGAGAACAAACAGGACCCGAGGAAATGGCCGCAAGCTGTACCAGAAGAGGTTAAGATTAGACATAAGAAAAAACTTTTTCTCTCAGAGAGCGTTGGGCATTGGAATGTCCTGCCCAGGCAGGTGTTAGAGTCGCCGTCCCCGGCACTGGCAGTGTTCAAGAGGCAGCTGTTCAATGAGGAGCTATGAGATATGGTTTAGTTTGTGGTAGCAGTGGTAATGAGAAGACAACCGTGATAGTTGTAAGATCAACTAGGTGATCTTACAGGTCCTTTCCAACCTTGTGATTCTATGATTCTATGATAATAAGACGAAAAGCAAAAATTATCTTTATCCAGGTTTGTGACTACAAACATCTACCATACAAGACATAAAATCTACTTGAGAACAAGAAGCCAGAGGAAGCAGAGAATACTTCATAATCATAGCTTCGTAATCATAGAATGGTTTGGGTTGGAAAGGACCTTTGAGATCTTCTAGTTCCAACCCTTCTGCTAGAGATAGGGACACCTCCCTCTAGACCAGGTTGCTCAAAGTTCCATCTAGCCCAGCCTTGAATGCTTCCACAGGGATGGGGCATTCGCAGCCTCACTGAGCAACCTGTTCCAGTGTCTCATCACCCTCACAGTGAAGAATTTCTTTCTAATATCTAGTCTAAATATACCCTCTTCCAGTTTAAAGCCATTTCCTCTTGTTCTGTTGCTCTGAATTAAATTTTACTTGTTTAATCTGCACTGAATCATTGCAGATCAGTCAATGCCTATCTTAGCTTAGGCTTAACTTTAAGTCTGAAATCTTCAGAAAAAGTAAAAGCAAATCAACAATTGAACAAAAATAAAACACTGAAGTTCTTTATATTTCTGTATCCATATCTGTCATGATAAGTAAACAGAAAAAAAAATCACAAATTACTTCCACATGTACACTTTCAGTTTTGTTAAGTATGAGTTGAAACACAGGAAACAGAGGATTTTTGATAATACTCACCACTGAAACAGTTCTGGCAAAAGATCTCTTTAAAATATGAACAGGTTCACTGGTTTGCTGTTTTCCTTTGGATGCACTGCCATCGCTTGTTGGTAGCCTGGAAGAACAATTTGCAAATTGACCTGAATTCTGCACCAAGCTTTGTTCTTTGTATTTATGAAGTAGAATAATAATGGAAGAGAAGTTTAAAAGAATTATCTACAAATGTTCAATTTCAGTGTAATCTCCTCTAGACCTTCACCCTTTTAGAACAAAAAAATCAACTATCGGTTCAACTAGGAAAACTGTGACAACTGAGAATCAAGTTGAAGACCCACGCGAAATGTATGAAATTATATATTGTACTTCTTCAGACAACATTTTTAGAACCAGAAATGCCATTTCTCACAGAATGCTAGGTTTTAGTATGTGTAGGCTGCATATTCATTTTTATGTTGAGACATCTATGCATAACAGGCACTAAGAATTAAACTCAAAACTTTGTCTATGAGTATTTGTGGAGCGAAATATCAGTTCACATCTCCTGAAGGCAGATGGAAGTTTGTGCATATTTTATCCCTCCAACTTAGCTCAAACTGCAATCTAGAAAGACAAAACTTTATGTACCATAGGGAGGGAATGAAATATACTTTTTTCTTCAGGAGGGAAATCAACTTTTTATGTGAGTAGATAGTAATAGCACAATGCAGTATGATTCTAAACTAAAAGAGGGAAGATTTAAATTAGGTGTCAGGGAAATTTTTCACTGAGTGTGGTGAGGCACTGGCACAGGCTGCCCAGAGAAGTTATGGATGCTCCTTCCCTGAAGATATTCAAGGCCACATTGAATGGGGCCCTGGGCAGTCTAATCTAATGCATGATTTAGTGATTGGCAATCCTGCCCACAACATGAATGTTGGAACTAGAGATATCTTTGAGGTTCATTTTAACACAAGCTGCTCTTAGATTCTTCAAAACCAAAGAACAAAGAGGCAGCAAAGAAGTACAAACATCTGAAAAACTCTCATTTTTAATAAGAAAGTTTTTTTCTCTCAGGATATTATAGCATCCCTGAATTGAATTTATTTTTAATTCTGAAGTGTACAGGATCTTGTTTGGAATCACTAAAACAATAATGGCAGCACATGTTAATGCAGCACCAATCCTCTCATGCCACTTGTAACTCTTCAGCCATGGCCTTCCCTCAGAGGGCTAAAAATTTGCCTGTCTTTGGTTATAGCTGTCTCTCATAGAAATTAACCAACTGATTAATAGTTTGTGCAAGGGCTTTATGTGCATTAGTCAAAAAGAAACATTCCTTTGGAAAGAGAGGCACTGACTGATATAGAGCATTCATTTGGAAAAGTGAACTGCTCTGATAGGGAGCCTTGAAAAGGACACAGTGAAAAAAGACACAGCAAGAGAACTGTATATGTTTATGGTCCTATGACTTTAAATGTATAAGGATATATACATTTATATTTGTATCACATCTTATTTGAGGAAATCTGAAAGATAAATTAATACAGTGAAAGAGTTCTTGCATTTTAAATCCAGCTTATATAATATTCATCACCAGAAGAATAAATTTATGGAAACTAAGAGTAAAGCATTGCTAATTTTTGCTTTTCTGTTTCATGGAAGTAGTGCATGTGAAAAACTGTTGTCATGGTTCTATGGTTTTTTTTTGTTTGTTTGTTTGTTTTTATTTTGGGTTTCAGTATTCCACATCAAAACATCATGTAGTGTACAGGGTATTAAAGTGTTAATGCCCCAATCCCAGGTACCTATCCCTGTACATTACAGAAGTCACGGGATCTGTCCCCTCCGGGTCGGGGGGGGGGCGGGCGGGACGCTCTCTCTTGCTGCCTTGCAGTGGGTGCTGGAGGGTGCTTTTCTAGCCGTTCCAAGCTTTTCAGGTTTGACTCGGTCCTGGGAACTCTCTCTCTCTCATCTTGTCTGATTTATTAATCCCAATTTCAATTACATTGTATTACACTTTGTTATCTTGTATTCCAATATTATAGTAAAATAAGTTTTCCTCCATAGATTGTTGCCGCTTTCTTTTCCTCCCTTCCTTCTTTCCCATTTCTGTGGGACTGGGGTGGGGGGGGAGGGCAGAGGCCTGTCGCCCCTGTCACGGACATAGATTGATCTGGTCAACTCCGTGACAGATTTTTGGCGCCCAATGTGGGGCTCGCTACTTTTTAGCTTTTAGAACGAATCTCTTTTTTCTCTCTGCTCTTAGAGAGCTTTGTTAAGGTGCATTATCAGTAGTTCAGGTTTCTGTGCTGGAAAACCTGACCTTGAAAGATTAGGCGTACTGCCAGTGTTCTGGGATATTTGTAAACTTGTGGTATGATTTGAATTTTGACATTTACATCCCAGAAGGAATGGCTAATTTCACAAACAACTGCATCCCAAATGGTGTAGCTAATTTTACAAACAACACGATGTTCAGACCAGTCTCTGGGTTTTCTTCTCGGTTTGCCAAATGTTTTTTGAATCCTGAATTAACAGTCATGTTGGTGTGCGTGTCATCAATTCTTCTGAAAGTATTCCTATGCATTCGTAATAAGGGGAAGGAGTCACCTCCAAAACTAGAGAATGATGACTGGCAGGGAATATGGAGAGGTTTAGGAAAGGTCTTAGAAGCATGGGGACCCGCAGTGTCATGGGATTTTACTCTTGAACACCTGTGGGACCTGAGAAACTAAGCCAGTATTTGAGTCAGGGACAATGCGGCTTACATAGATCTCAGGAGGTACAACTTATTTGGGGTTTGGCTTGTGCTTACCGTGCCCTATATAATACCATTCTAGAGAGAGAGTTTCCGAGCTGAGGTTCAAGCCAAAGGGGAAGATCCCCAAGTCAAATCTAATCAATCACAGGAGACACCAGTAACAATACCAGTTGCTCCTGTGGAGGGCAAGAAATGGAAACGAGTGTCTTCGCGTCTTGAACGAAAAAGAGAAGAAGAGGAGGAGGAGGTGGAGGAAGATCCAGGCGAGGGGCCCTCCTCAGAACCACCACCATCACGAAAGGCAAAAGGGAAAACTAAGAGACGTGCAGAAGAGAGTGATGAAGAGGAAGTCTCTATTAACTACTCGCCGGCCTCTAAAGATGACTGAAATCCAAGGTTCAAGAAAGGAGTTTACATGGCGCCCAAATGAAGCTCTTGTTTCCTGGTTGGTTTGCTGTTGGGACAGTGGGGCCCATAGCTTGTCTCTGGATGGTAATGAAGCTCGCCAACTAGGCACCATTGCCAGAGATCCAGCTATTGATAGAGGAATTAGTCGGTGTTCGGATGAGGCTGCCTCCCTCTGGGAACGAGTGTTAATAGCCATGAAGGAAAAGTATCCCTTCAAAAATGGCTTGAAGATTGCGATGAAAAAACGGGATACAGTGGAAAAGGGTATCCAGTATTTGAGGGAAATAGGCGTGGTGGAAATGTTGTATGACCCTGACTTTGTTCCTAACCAACCACACCAAAACCGTGACCCTGAAAAAGTGAGGACAACGCCTGAGATATGGCAGAAAATCGTAACAACAGCGCCGGACAAATATGCCACTACACTAATGTCAGCGTGTGACAGATACAACGAACAACAGAGAACGCCCTTAGTTTATGAATTAATTGTTACGCTCCAAAACTACGAACAATTGCTGTCCCCAATTCATGCTGCCGTTGCTGCTATTTCAAAAATGATGGAGCAAGTGTCTCAACTGATTAACCGTGACAAACCTGTAGCAGTATCAGAGACGCTTGATGAAGATCAGCATAATCAAATGAGTCTAGCGAAGGAGGTGAAGGAGATGATGAAATTTATGCGAGCCATCTAACTAAAGACAATGAACCTTCCTTCTCACGTGCACCATCAAAAATCTCAGCTGTTAGAGGCAGACACTCTCCGGCTCAAATAAGGGATAATACACCACGAATTGCCTTATGGTATTACCTACATGACCATGGAGAAGACATGAGGAAGTGGCATGGTGAACCTACTCCTGTACTACGAGCCCGGGTGAAAGAATTACAAAGCAGATCAACCACCAGTCCAGTTGCTCCAGTTACCACAGGTAATGAATAGAGGGGCCCTGCCCTCAGTCGGGGGGGGAAAGGGATAATAGAGTATATTGGACTGTGTGGATTCGATGGCCTGGCACATCAGAACCACTGAAATATAAGGCACTGGCGGACACTGGTGCACAGTGCACTCTGATGCCCTCGAGTCATGAAGGGGCAGAATCAATCCATATTTCTGGAGTGACCGGGGGCTCTCAAGAATTGACTGTGTTGGAGGCTGAGATAAGCCTCACTGGTAAGAACTGGCAAAAACATCCTATTGTGACGGGCCCAGGGGCTCCATGCATACTAGGTATTGATTATCTCAGAAGGGGGCATTTCAAGGATCCTAAGGGGTATCGATGGGCCTTTGGAATAGCTGCTGTGGACACAGACAACATTAAGCAGCTGTCTGTTTTGCCTGGCCTGTCAGAAGATCCGTCTGTTGTGGGGCTGCTGTGAGTAAAAGAGCAACAGGTACTGACTGCTACAAAAACAGACATAGATTGATCTGGTCAACTCCGTGACAACTGTTTAACAGTATTCCACTCTAAAATTAATCCTACTAAGTGAAATACTTTCCAATTAGAAAAAAAAAAAGGAATGTTAGATGAAATGAGGCTCTAAAGAACTACGAGATTTCATTAAAGCCATTTGTTTCCTAATCAAATCTCAGAACACAATATATAAAAATTAAAAAAATATATTAAAAAATAGAAATTAATGAAAAGCTATGAACAGATGTTGCTATAGTAATGGACTTACTACTTTCCTTTGAAACTGTTTCCCCTAAATTTTGAGGTACTTATCGTCTTAACTTTACACAATAATAATGTGATGAAACATGCTTAACAAGGCAACTTTTCACAAAACATGTTGATAAATTGTTCTAAATAGAGGTAAAAACATTACCTGTACAGTAACTGTGGGATCTGCCCTGCATTAACATCTGTACCATTATTTGATTTCTTGGAACTTTTAAATTGAAAGACAACACTGAAAGAGGAAAAAACAGAGAAAACAATCATTCAAGTAATATGAGATCTCTCTTCAGAATTAAGAAATACAGAAAAAAAAATACCCATCATCTGTAGTAATAGAGGCCTGTCCATGAGATCCACAGTCACTGCTAGGTCCTGACACTCTTGCCCAGGCTACGTACCACCAGCCAGCTTGTAGTAGTACTGGTTCATCAAACATCATTGCATATTTCTCTCTAAGTAAATTTAAAGAAAAGATGTATCTGAATTAGTTTATAGATTAATCTTTAACAAATTATATTCTATTTATAAGAGAAAAATCAGGAAGTTTTTAATCTTAGGTATCTACTTACATTTGACATTTAACAGTATTTTGTTGAAAAACATAATAAATTTTATTTTTTGTTTGTTTTAAATTCAGAAGGAATTGCAAATTCTTAAGTCTAGCGTAGTCTGCATAGTCTCACATTTTTACACAATCAGTTATTAAATGTACAATTCACTTTGAAAGATAAGGTTAATTTAAAATGTACAATAACCTAATTAAAGTTATTACATAATACTATAAGTAACATATTCATTATAAATTTAAAATTCATTTTCAGAAAATTACATGTAAATTTTTTGTTAAATGGCAAGAATTTAGGCATAGATTCTCAGATACTGCTTGTGAACATTTAAGAAAGTATTAAGACGTCTATTTAGGGGATCTTGGATTAGGGATTATTTACAGATAGTAAATTAGTTACGGATTATTTCAGTGGTAAATTCTTTCATATCTGGGAATGTAAATGCAGGCTAAACAAAAGTCAACCCATTCCATAAGCATAAAAACTTTAAAGCAATAACTTCTTCTTTCCAAATAAGCTGAAGCACCCCAACCCCTCTCACTCGGTTATAATAATTTTATACTGCAGAAAGTTTAATGATAAGTTGTTAAATACAAATACCCATTTGCATCCTTCTAATATGAGTATGTAAAAAAGCTGTTGCAATTTTTTATTTCAGTGAGCTATTTGGCATTTTGCTACTTATAATTAAGCAAAAAAAGTGTGTTGGTTAAAGTTTTAGTTTCCGGGCTATAAGTGCTAATAAAATTGATCATCTCAGCCAACATTTAAATCATTTTTAAAAGTGTTTGAGGGAAAAATGAATAATCAAATAGGTAAAAGTAAGTAAAGAAACATCTTACCTAGCAGCACAGTCATATGCTAAGACATCTGTTTCAGCAAGAAGGTCACCATCAGTCTCATGGTCTCCCCCATCTGGACCCAATTCAAACAACTGGAGTAACAGTAGAGTAACAAGAAAAAAAATATATATATATATATATTTATATATATAAAAATAAATATATGTCTCAGCTGTTAGAAAGCTAATAATATGCCACGTACTTCTTGTCATTCTGTAAACTGCGTACTACTACCTTTTTCCCTTCCCAAAAGCAATTGCTAGTTTCTATCACTGATAAGCAAATTCGCAACTAGAACTCATGATTTTGTAATGACATGAACTATAAAAAAACAGCAATTTACACTGTCTTCCCAGCCTTACGCCTATATATATTCTGATATAAGGTGTAGAAAATCCCTAAGTCTTGCAGACAGGCTGAATACACTGCATCTAAAAAAGGCAAAAAAAAAAAAAAAAGTAAGCTTTTTAGCATGATGTGTACCGGAGATACATACAACTCCTCTAGAAAGGGGTAAATTGACTATTATTAAGTCAATAATCCCATAAACTGCCCATGGGTATGACAAAAAAAAAAAAAAAAAAAAAAAAAAAAAAACCTTTTACAAAAGGACACGGGCTTCTTATTCAGTCAAAAATCACTTCTACAACTTGAATAGTTTTGAGAAATTCTCACAGTACATTCCTGACTTCTCCTTTAAGCCCCTATTTTTAAAATGCAATTAACTGTTTTAGGACTGGATCTTATCTTGGCCATAAGCTAATCCTAGACAACAATTAAAAAATTGAACAAATAATACAAGACTGGTCTGACAGGGTTACTACCTTTAGTATTTAAACATTAGTATAGTGACCAACTTTCTTTGCTTTCCTTAGTCATTTACAATTCTCAGTGATTGTATTAGAGTAAACACAGATTAGAATAAATTACAGTTATTTATTTCAGACCTCCAGTTGTCTTATGCACATTACTGCTAACCACACACCAAACAAACACCTAAAACAAACTGCAGCCCTATCATCTGAAAACAGAAAACTCAATAATCTGCTACATGACAAATAAATGATAACACTAAGATGTTTCTTATATACAGACTTTACATAAATCTCATACAGCTATTATCTCTTGTCTTTAAAACATTTTTCAAGGCATTTCTGAAATTCCTATTAAATGCAGCAGCATTTATCAGAAATAAGATCTCTCAACTTATCACACTATCTTTACATGAATTTCTTTATTCAAAGACAGATTTATTTAGTTATTTAAATCAGTACACATGCTCCAGCCCTAACCATCTTTGTATGTCACAAATAAACACAAACTAAGCATGCTACTTCAACTTCCTCTCAACTGAAAAATCCCAGCTGAGATCAGTCTGAGAAGGAAATGGCAAAGAAATGGAGAGAAGCAACAGTTCAGCTGGTGCCGAAGGAACTCCAGCTACTAAAAAAAGCATTATTTTGTTTCTGAGAGGCAGCATCCTGACACAGGATGAGTTTCTAGTCAGACAACACAAAATTTCTGCAAATTTTGTGCGCATAGATCACAGAACCATTCTACCTACAGCCGTTATCAGCTCCTGGTACCAATAAGATGGCATAGCATTTAGTGAAGGTAAGAACAAGCCAGATCTTGACAATTAAAAATAGTAATTCAGAGTTCTCTACCTCATCCACCCGACTTGCTTAAATTTCATTCCTTCTCATTAAGAAGCCTGGTTCCAGTTGTATAAATAATGCTTTTAATATACAGTAAAGCACTAATTCATTAAGAAATAAAATGAATGATGTTTTCAGGTGGGATTTCTAAACTTATGAGACAAAAAAATTGTTTAAAAAAAACCCCAAACCGTACCTTTATTTTAGCAGTGTATTCACCCCTTCCTCCAAAAAGACCAAGACCACCTAACAAAATATCTGTATCAGCACAGAAACGGATAGCTTCTACTGAGTGGGCTGAATAACCCCAGCCACCTCCATGACCTGAAGAAATAAATAAATAAATAAATAAATAAATAAATAAATAAATAAACATATAGCTAGCCTGTTGTAATCTTTTATTTCACAAGCTTGATTAATTTATGCTATAAAATGTTATTGTGTACATACTTTCAAATCTGTTAACAACGCTATAGTCTTCTTTAGAATAAACTTTCATTACTGCTTGAGTCTCTTCTTCTGTATTTGCTATACCCATTTTTAAGTCCTGCATAGCAGCCAAAGTATCAAGACAACCTACAAGAAAGCAAAACCAAGAAATGCTCAAAACTTATTACTGCTGATTGCAATCAGTGAAATGGAAATTAATACTAGTTAAAAAGATTAAAGCAACCTAACTTCTTTGTCCCTAAACCACACAGAGGTACTACTGCATATTATTTTCACTTCGATTAAGCTAGGAGTCAGTGCTATCAAATCTAAAAATATTGTATAAGATTGACTTCATTCAATTTTTTCTTTTTTTTTTTTTAGAATAATCAAGAAACATGAATATAGTTGTAAGTAAACTGCCAACAACACTCTCATTTTTTAATTACTTGTTTTACTTTTACTTCCCATATTACCCAGGAAGAGTTGATGTAGTAACATAATAATGGGAAGATTTGAGAGCCCTCATAAAAAGCTTATACATGGCTACCTAAGAGACCTTATTCTGACTCAAACACAAATAATGCTGTCCTAACACAATTCACTACAACCACTGAGCAAGAAATGTAAAATCATTTTCAAAGCTATGCTTTGAAGCATTGCATATGTTGCAGGTGGTCGACTTACACATGACCACTGCAGGATTATTTTTCATTTTGGTAGGCTTTTTTAGACTACAAAAAGAATTTACATTACTCTTAGTATCTTGCTGTACAAAGCTGCAAAAAGTAAATTCTAATAACAAATATTCAATTTATTTAATAATATGCATATTTAAGGGCGCATTTTTTCCTATATTTTGAAGACTGCAAATTAACCAAACAATATTGACTTTTTACTGTAACATCCAAGTATTTACATAGGAAGATTTCTAATTTTGTTCTCCTTACTTCTAGTAGTGATTTCCATCAGAACTATAAAATCATCTAACACCATTAAGATGGCAAAAAATAATTCTTTTCATTAAAATTAATAAATGTTAGGCTGATGATAAGTGTTAAGAGCAATGATGAAAGATTAAAAAAAAAAAAAAAAAGAAGAATTGACCCTATCGAAGTAAAAAAGCTGCTGGATTACAATTCATTTACACATTAAGTAATGTGTCCCTTTTATCTAAGCTTTTGACTTATCAACTATAAATGTGTACCTAGAATGTGCAAAGCTGCATGAGATCTGGTGGTTAGAGCTTTGGAACATGTTGGCAGAGCAAGTTCTGGACTCAAAATACTACACCGGGATTGCATGTCTGGAGCTGAGGGAAGTCTGGAATCCGCAACTACGGCATTGTAGCTCCACAGTTCCCTAGCGTTTGGTCGAAACCTGGAGTAAGACAAAACAGTAAAATCTACTTAAAAACTAACTGATAATTGAATTTTGTAACCTATTTAACGTGAAATGTAGATCTACTTGCACAAACTTCCTAAAAGTGAACATCATTACATCAAATACATATAAACTTTACTAGCTTAACACACCAGCAAATGGAGAGACCTAAAATGCTTACTGTACTTTAAGACAAACAATCATATTATGGGTTTACAGATATCAGAATATAGACATTTTTCAATCCTCATAAATATTAAAATAGTATAGTCTATTAAGCAGCATGAATTATTAGCAAAAAAACTTTAGACATAGTGGCAGATGTGCCCAAGAATTATAAAGATAACAACTACAAAGGTACTCTTTTTAAATAAGTTTTAAAAGATCTTGAGAAATACAAAATATTTTGCACTTTTTAAATGGATAACATCACACTCCAAGTTTATACAGGATTATTGAAAATGGCAGCATAAACAAGAGAATACAAAGACTTTTCATACTACAGATTAACATGCAAAAAATGACATCTTTGATATCAGTATGTAAAAGGAAAATGCAGAAGACATGGCTGATGTATGAGAGGAAAATACATTTTCACTTGTTACGTTGCACCTAAAATGCAAAAAGAACTAAGACGGTATAAGCAACCGAGAAGGAAAAAGTCATAAAGATGTCAGAGGATACCATGTGTTCTTGCACCTGGGTCGAGGCAACCCCCACTACCGATGCAAACTGAGGGATGAAAGAATGGAGTGCAGCCCTGCCAAAAAAGACCTGAGGCTACTGGGGGATGGGAAGCAAGGCATGAACCAGCTCTGTGCCCTTGCAGCCCAGAAAGTCATCTGTATCCGGGGCTGTATCAAAAGAAGCGTGGCCAGCAGGTTGAGGGAGGTGATCCTGCTCCTCTACTCTGTGCTGGTGAGGCCTCACCTGGAGTACTGTGTCCAGGTATAGAGTCCTACATACATGAGAGACATAGACCTGTTGGAGCATGTCCAAAGGAAAGCCACAAAAAGGATCCATGGCATGGAACACTTCTCCTACGATGACAGGCTGAAAGAGCTGGGGCTGTTCAGCCTAGAGAAGAGAAGGCTGCAAGGTGACCTGATAGTGGCTTTTCAGTATGTAAAGGGAAACCAGAGGAAAGAAGGGGACAGACTCTTTAGCAGTGTCTGTGGTGACTGAACAAGGGTAAATGGTTTCAAGCTCAAACAGGGTAGATCTAGGGTAGATGTAAGGAAAAAAATCTTTTAAAGTGAGGGTGATGAGGCACTGGAACGGGTTACCTAGTGATGTGGTTGATGCCCTGTCCCTGGAGATTTTAAAGGCAAGGCTGAATCAGGCCCTGAGCAGCCTAATCTAGCTGTGGTGTCCTTCCTCACTGCAGGGGGGTTAAACTAGATGGCCTTCAGAGGTCTCTTCCAACTCTAAGGATTCTATGATTCTATGATTATTCAGGATTTAAATAATTAAGCAATACATAACTTTATAGACATATACAGATGCATATAAAGCCATGAAATGATTTACTCATTTCAATCACAATATTAACTTAAAAAAATACAGAACTGTGAAGAAAATCTTTAAAATTTATGCAGTCAAGAATGCTGTCTCTGTACAGAGAAAGTGTCCCCTTAATTTAAATCAGCATGAAAAAAATGGCTAGTAGTAATGGTAAATATATCAAATATTTTATCACTAATGAATATACTTATTAATGTCTCCTCTTTTGATTGCTTTAGTATTCTCTATTAAACAAGCATGGAATCTAACACAGAAATAAGTCTGCAGACTAACTAGAGACTTCAAGAGTCTATTCTTCACTTCAGTTAAGTCCCTAAGTCTTAGATTTAATTCTGAAGTCCCCAAATTTTTGCAAGATCTCAATCCACAAGGATTGAGAACAACACCTCAATCCACATTTACCCATAATTTCATCTTTAAGTTACTTTCTTATAATGTGAAATGTAAATTTGAGCTTCATCCAATATAATTTTACATAAAGCTGAGTGGTATCACCTGCCTTTTTCTTCCCTGAAACTTCCTGTCTTTCCCATGGCCAGGAATAACTCCAGCATTCACAAACCAATCTTTCATTCCATGACCAAGAGTCGTTACGGAAAATGAGTGCTACTCTTCCTTATTTCAAATCTGAGCATAATTTAAGTAAGAATGGGTGCCTAGATCATGAATCTCAGACGCTCCTGGGAATGTGCACAATACAGGACTACAGTCATTTGGGAAACTTCACAGGTACTGAAGAATTATGCCTAGCAAATATGCATGCTTCAGTGTTAAGTGGCAATTAAATTCTCATGTCTTGATCCTGGATAAAGACATCCAAAGTAGAATGCAGGTAGCCTACACACACAATTTAAAGATCTTTTAAAGACATAAATCTACATGACAATATCTTCTCCAGATAGTGCAGACTAGATTGTTCCCTGCTTTCCTCCAACTTTAAGAGACTATTCTGTCTTGCCCAAGTTTTCCAGTGATACTTGAATGAAAATGATTCAAAAAAGAACAGAAATTGAAAAATTAAAATAATTTCTTTTGGGCTTAGTTGAACATATCATCCAAAAAAAGTTAAATAAGATGCATGAAAGAGTAAAAATTGCTTTTTGTTTACTAGGTAAATGAATATCATCAAATTTCTAACCTTCCAAAACACTTTTTAAAGCACTTTTTAAAGACTTTTAGAGCTATAATCCACACTTGCCTCCAAATAACATCATAGACAGGATCCAGACACACACCAGAACCTTGAAGGTCTTCCTGCTCAGAATCATTGAATGTTTTGCAACTGCCATCTACTTTGTTTATCAGAAGACACTTAAAAGGAGGAGGTTCTGATATTGAAGCTGGTACCAAACCTGGATCAGGGAGCAAAAGGAAAAAAAAAAAAAAAAGACTCTACTAATTGCATGTCATTTTCTGTGCACAAAGCATTAACACACATAGTAGTGACGAAGAAATACTTCTAACAGCAAAAAAGTGAAACCACAGTAAGATTGCAAGAAAATCTATGAAGTACAAAAAAAATCCACAGATTTTTGTGCTCTTTTTTCTAATAAAATTAATTACCTAAAGGAGCTAGCATTACCATTTGCATTATATGTAGAAGGTAAAAATATTTTAATTCCCTTAATTCACTTTTTCAGCTTGTTACTCCTCTATTGTTTACATGACTGAATATGATCTTTCTCCAAAAATTCTGTAATTGTAATAAAATATTCTAGGAGAGTTCTTGCCTATTATATGCCTGCTTGCAAATATCTCTGATGTAGCAAGCACATGAGAATTAATGAGAGCTTCATCAATCCGGAGGAAAGTCTGGTCTCCACTTGCTCCAATCCATGTTGCTTTGCGTCCATATTTAGAACCAATATTAGGCATAGGTGCTGGTTTCGCATTCCAGTAGGGCATATCCAGAATTGGTCTACCAAGCTGACCTTTCTATAGAGAGAATGCAAAAATTAGTACTTAATAGTGAGTCTCAAAGATGAACAAGTTAGACAGCTTCAGCACAAAAACTGTAAGCCATCTGGAAGAGAGAGTTTACTGAAAAAGTACCTTCAGAAAATGATGTCTACTCTAAGAAAACCTCTATACATTTAAACAGAAGTTTTTGACAAATGCTTTCCTCCCTTTTCAGTTAGGTTTTTCAATTATTTAATGAGAACATAATCAATTAAGACCAGAAGTTTTGTCCACTTTTTTAAAATTACGTGTTATTTTTGAAGAGAATGTACTATTTACCTAAGAAACATCAGAAATTTATCAAAGTCAAACAGAGAATGAAAAATAACTTCTGTAATGCAGCTTGTGGTCATAGAATGGCTTGGGTTGGAATGATAAAGATCATCCAGCTTGAATCTTCCTGCTGTAGGCAAGGATGCCACAAACTAGATCAGGCTGCCCAGGGCCCCATTCATTCTGGCCTTGAGCAAGGGATGGGGTACCCACAGCTCCTCTGAGCAACCTGTTCCAGCACCTCAACACTTTCTAATGAATATATATGCTTTGACACATATTACTCATGCTCTTTTTTCTGCTTATTTGCATGTCAAATGAATACAGTCTTAAATAGTAAGCTCATTTTCAGTAAATATTTCTATAATAAAATGAATGTACTGATACTATTGTTGATCCTTCTAAGTAGCTGTACTTGTAAAGCCCAACTTTTTCATCTGTACATGTCTTATTTCTACTGATGCTTACCTTCAGTCATAACTAAAACCAAATTAATAAATAAAACATTGAAACAGAATTATTTTCAAAACCATTTCTTGAAAATCTCAGTATTGAAAAAAATTATATTTTGCTTTCATTTCTCTCAATTTTTGCCTATTTAGAAATTGTTTATCAATTTTTCACTTGAAACAGGCACTGTGTGCTATAAGAGACTACATCAAACTATACATAAGCAAAATTAGTGAAGATATTTACAAGTAATGGGCTTGAGCTTCTCTGACTTTATAAGGCTTTCAGTGAACTTTCAAGCACTGCAGCAGAAAGAGCAGACAGAACAAGTAGTCTAAATATGGCATCAAAGCTTGAGAAAACTTGTCCATCTTATGAAGCAACTCAATTTTAAATACCAACAGTCTATAGAATATTAAAATATCAGTAATAACTTGCACCATGCTCTTCAAATCACATCAACATTAGAAGCCCCATTTTCAAATATGAGACATAAATTAAAAAACATGGAGCATCCATGAGTTGTTCTGTGTTTGCATTATAAGCAAACAATTTTGAAAGGTCTTTGTACAATACATTGATCATAAGCTTATTTCCAAAAGTAAACATCATTATTTCCTTACTGAGAAACTTCCAAATGTGAAAACCTGGCCATCCATTAAGAGAATAGCTGTATGGTTGCTTCCCGCAGTAACTTGTGTACTAGGACCTGGTAATGCTTGCACCAAAGTAGGACATCCCCTATATCAAAATAAATTGATTTTGTTTCAATATATAATTACTCAACATTTAGTATATTAGTATTACTAGGATTTCACTAACTAAAATATATTCACTGTGTTTACATATCATATGGTACCAATATCAAGCAATAAATTACTTAGGATGTACAGGATCTCAAAAAATGTATCAGATATTTGAGTCTATGCCCTCTTGATACAAGGAATCAGATCAGGTACCCTTTTCAATTAAACATAGGAATAAAAATAGTTAATATATATTATTGTAGGATTACATTAATGCTACTGTGGTTACAGTAATATGCGCATACAGACATATAAAATATACAGCAATGAATTGTAGCATTAAGCAAATTCTGTAGTGAGGAGATGATATTGGTTAAGCACTTAACAAAACTGATTTATGAAGCAATCAAAGCCACATGTGGCTGGTACTCTAATACAGTTATCAGAAGCAGTACTAATAAGGCCCTCCTGAGGTAGAGAATTACAAAGCAAAGAGAAAGTCTACCCACCTCCAGCAACTTTTTAATGGAGAGTAAGTCATTAAAAAACTGCTCTTCATCAAATTCATAGACTTGAGAAAGAACAATCCTCTCCAAACTGTTTTGCAGAAGAAAGATCTGGACAAGTCTACTATTTATGCCTCTCAAATATGGACAGGTATAAGAAAATCAATTTCCCATTTCAATAAAATGAAGGGGAAAAAAAAATCAGTAGTACAAGCAAGAAGCAAGAAAGAAAAATAGCAGTGATTACTCAGAATAGAAATAGAAGAAGACAAAAGAATGAATTATGAGATACAACTACAATTTTTATCTAAGCTACAATAAAATGGATTCAAAGGAGCCTGGAAGAACTGTATTAAAATCTGAGACCTATAATGAATGTCTATCTACAGTAGACATCAAAAGTACTTTAGACTTAGAATGAATGTGAATTTAACAAACAAGTGACTCTGGAACAACTCCCTGTTTGGGAATCTTGGCCCTAGAGAGCAGCAGTACTGTAGTAACTTACTTCTAAGCACACATTTTCCAAAGCTAGTTTAGCTAAAATAAGAACAGGTTGTCCTGTTCTGGAATAAAAAATCATCAGCCTAGCAATTGTTTAGCAGCTGTTGTGCAAGAAGATGGGTTATCTGTGTGTTTTTCTTTTGGCTAAGATGCAGGCAAAACCAAAGTAAAGAAAGGAGGAGGAAGGAGAGAAACTGAATTCTAAGAGAAAGGAAAATGTAGACACATGGAAATGCAGAAAGTGTGTGAAGAATGGATAATGACCTGAAAGAGAGAGAATGTACCTAGAAATAATTAATTCCTTTGTGGAAAACATCGCTTGCATTGAATGGAGATGAAGAAAATGAAAAGCAGCATAGAATTTGTTAGAGGATGCACAACACAACATTTATAAACTCAGAAGACTTTGTTGGCCTAAAACCACGAGAGTTTGGATGCCAATAATACAATACACAAATACAGGGAGCTAAGTTTAGCAGCAGTAATGACAAAACATTTTAAAATCTTTGAGAAAGCTCAAAAAGACACCAAACCAGAAAAAAAAAATCTAATTAAAAACAAATATAAAAGCATTCTTGTTAGAAGGAAATTCCCATGGAAGATTTTTTTAAACTTTCAAAAATGTGAATGCATTTTTTCTCCCCTTATCATTGTAAATAACCATAAATGTGAACATAAAAGATTCAAGAGCCAGAAGCTACAAGTTTCCTTCAGCTTTCTTGCAGTACAAACCCCATGATGACTTTAAGACTCTCAGAGGGTTATGGGTAGACTGTATGAGAGACATGAAAAATTTCAAGGAATAAGAGTTGCTTCTCACTCCAAGTGCATGTTTCTGTAAATCCTATTGTAGAGATGGCCAGAAAGGTTTTTGGCCTTCTAATTTCACAATATCATATCTATTCCAATAATTAAATCCAATAATTTGCTTAGTTGCAGCAGAGCAAAAGTGAAGAAGCTATTAACATAGGCACATTTAGCATGTTATTCTTATACAGGCCTTCTATTAAGACAGCTCAGCTTTTGAAATGATGTATCTACAATGGAAATGATCAGGAAAATTCTAAGGCAATTAACTACATCAAAAATACAGTAAAACTGCAGAACATTAATAATTTTCTCTTCATAGAAGGAGGAAATAACTGGTAAAATACAGTAACTAGACTTAAGTCACTTACACAGAGTTTAGAATCTGTGATACAACTGAGTATTTTCCTATCCCATGGAAACTCAACAGAGAACATCTGCATGTAGACAATTAGGAGTGTGGGAGACCTTTGTCAAGAGTTTTGACAAGTAGGCTTTCTACATTTGAGAATTATTCTTCTCAGATGGTGATGAAAAATGTGGTTCTGGATACAATACAGGCAATGACACAGGCAAACTCAACTATATACACTGCAACCTGAGAGAGATCTCTTAGGGTAACATCAGATTGCTGAGTGAAAAAACAGCAGATACCCATACCTCAGGTAACTCAAGATTTCACAGAACACCCAAATACAATTCTAGCTACCCACACAGAAACCCTCCTCTGTCCTGAAGGGTAAGCATTTCTGGCAGCAGATTTGGTTCTGAAAATACAACCCACAGTAGCTGTTTGAACGATTGCTGTCCACGGTACTTGCCCAGCCAGAGCTGGCTGTGAAGTGCAATAGAGTTTCACTTGGGGTTGCTGACCGTGGTGCTGTAAATTCAGGTTCTCCGTGGGCTGTTACTGTGCAGTGTGTCAAAGGAAAACAGAAAAACTCAATTACAGGCAGAGTTGGACAGTGCAGGGGTAAGAAGGTGGAGATTTTTAGATTTTAGACATAACTGAATGTTAGTGGAAATATGTAAATAAGACCTGCACGCCACCACTGAAGCAAATTAATCAGACAAGGCACTTAGAAATAGAGCCTTATGCAACACGTTCTGAAAATATTAATAGGGCATAACCTTTACACTTTGTCTATAAACAGAACATAGACGGCAGTTCATGGAAGGTATGCTCAATTAATTCTGCCTTTTTATTATTGACCCTTTGGAAACAAAGATATACGAGTACTGTCCTACTTCAGTGGTCTTATTACTGGAATTTTACTTCCATGTCATGTGCTTGTTAAAGTAGTGCTGAAATCAACAGCTGGAATAAGAAACGCAGGCAAAGTTTGAACAGTAAGCTTTAAGTCAGTGCTTCTTGAAAGAAGCAGAAACAAGAAACAACCCCTCTGCTTACCCAAATACAAGATGTACTATTGTTTTACCAAGAGTAGATATCGCAAAGTGTTTCTTGCTTCCATTGAGCTTCTATTCACCCACTTAGTAACTACTTCGAAGAGGGAATAAGAAGAGGCTATTAAATTCTTCATGGAGTGAGTATCTCATCAACACCTACTGCTCAGATCTTTACAACAGAAAGTCTACTCAAATTAGTTTAATAACCCTAGTATGCTGATATGGAAAAAATGGTCTCCCAGGAACCAGATCATTTGCATCTGTAAGTGATCCATCTGTGAATGACGCAAGTTTTAGTTGGAGAAAAAAAACTAACACTACCTTGTGCATGCTGCTTACTCCTCCATACTATTTCTAGTAATAGTTCAGTAATTCAGTTGTAGTAATAAGTTTATTGAGAACCATGTCATGCTGCTCATCTGCTTGTTTTGTTGGCTTGTGAACATATAAAATTGTCTGAAATCTTTCTAGGGCATGTAATACGCCTCATTCTTACTGAAGTGGCAGGAAGAATTTGTAGTGTTTACCACAGTCTAAAGCAGGAGTTCAGAATCATCTTAATAAAGAGAAAGATATGTCTGGACACGTGTGCAGAATTCAAAACAGTTAAACATTTACAAGACTCACGACTTAATCTTTATGCTACAAATCAGAAGTTTCTGAAAGGATACGTCATCAGTTGCTGCCCAGAAACTTACATCATTACATTATCTGGTAATGAAGATGGCTGACTCAGATGAAAATGACAACTGCTGCAAGTGTCCTGTCAGTTCTTGTTTCTGGGGGCGCCATATATTAGCTAAGCTATCTATATTGTATGTCCTCATTTTTTTTTTTTCCCTTTTTTTCCCTCTCCTGGAAACACAGTAGATGATCAGTTCTTTGATTCAGAAGACGATGGTCTTCCTGAGGTCAATACAGGCAATGTGACACACTGCATGACTGACATAACACTGACCTGGCTGGAGCTGGCCATCTGAGCACCAGTGCGTCCCAACTGAGGTGGAACTCTGCATAAGGATTCCCTGTTTCCTTTTCTGAATCCCTTACTGTGAGGACAGAGGAGTGATCTCTACTTAAAAGCTGGAAAAAGAAGTACATCAATGAGGAAATCATCATCTGAATGATGGTGCTAGACAGCAATATAGTACTTATAGCCAGTTCTCATGCATAGGACATACGCCCAGTTTCTTCAAGGCTTTTTTCAGACATTGTCTGGGATATCCTGTAGAATGATACAAAGCTCAGTGCCAAGCTGCTTGTACCTTCTCAGCTTCTAGAAAAGGTCAGGTACTATCCTCTGACATAGGATGTTTCACGTTCTCTTCTAGGATTTCATCTAGAAAAACATCCAGTTTCCACCTAGTTTCTATCTAAATAAGCAGCAAATGTGATGTTTACTGCATGGAATTCTAACAAATAGGGCAGATAGTCCTGATATCCTCAAAAAAATCCAAGTGACTTCATCAGTCGGAAATGGGACATAATTATCAGTAGAAATGCCGCTTATTATTATATCTCTTTATCTTTAAAAGAGCATCTAACCTTATTCTAGTAATGACTTGAAGTGCGTACTAAAGTAGCTGTAGCCTCAAGTATGCATGAATTTTCAGGAACTAAAAGGAGTATTTATTTGTGATATGGCTCTATCATAGTCAGAAACATAGACTGCATTCACCAATCCAGTGCAGACCGAGTAAGGGTAACAGTTTAAAGAATACCAATAGGCACAGCAACCAATGCAAAGTAATGTTTCCAGTAAACTTTCATCCTTCCTTCCCTCTCTACCTTTGTTTAGTGAATACAATTAAAATTTTAAGATGAAGATGATTTATCCAGAAACTTGACAAAAGAAATGATTAGGAAGTCTCAAAAGAGATTAGGAGGACAGATGTACAAGCAATTTCATCTCACTACTACAAGAGAAACAAGAGAACTGAAGACAGATCATGGATGCTGCACTCTATATGCCTTTTTCATAAGGATACTAGGCATTACTGAACAGAAACAAATCCTCAGTGATTCCTGCTATTCAAAATCTCATCTACAGAATGCATGCACGCAAAGAACAACACTTCTGAATTTCTTTTTGCAGTAGTAAACTGATTGTCAACTTGTGTGAGCAGATGAGATATTAAGGGTGAGAATTCAGCTTTCCATTATAGCCACCTGTATGTAGTTGTCTGTGCTGTCGCTGTAGTCAATGGAGATCAAGTCAATATATTTTACAGTTACTGAGCATATCTGAAGTAGATAAGCAGCATCTGGTGAGTCAAATAGCGCTCAGACTCTGTTGACTTCTTTTATTTCCACTGACCACAAAAACCCACAAGTCACTTTCATGCTATAAGCATATACAAAATGCAACTGAAACTCATACATACAGACTTACTTTTGAAGATTAATTATAAACAAAAAGGAGTAACAAAAAGAATAATAAGTGAATTACTGCTAGTAAAGTAAGAGAAGCATATTAATCTAAGTTTACAATATTTTCCAGACGTAATGAAACCTTAAAGATATTTCAATGTAATTCTCTCTTGTATGCACAGAGATTCAAACAGAAAGAAGCATTTTAAACCCAATTATCAAAGCTACGCATACAAGCCTTCATGTATTAAACAAATTACCTGCACAGAACAACAGTATGGTTACTACTAACAGTCTATCTACCCAGAAAGTTTATGGAGAATAAATGCAAAATGAGAGTTCATAAACCTAATTTGGACAATATATGAGTTTTCCCACTTCCTAGCTAGAGAGTAACAGAAAAATTTAGCCACTCTTTAAACAGTAGCACAGCAATATGCAATCTGGTCTTGTAATCATCAGCTTACCTGGAATTAACATCACCATGTCCAAGTTGCCCATGCTGTCCATATCCAAATGTGTAAACATCACCATTCTCCATCAAAATCACTGAAAACAAACAAACAAAAACACCAGCATTTTTCAGAGATATCCACGCTAACATGCATCAATGCCAGTTAGTCTTTCTGAGCAGCACAGTTAACAATCCCTACTAAACAGGATCTTCCACAATCCACCACAGCTAGTATCACTACAGAGGTATGCAGATGTGCCATGTAGATGTTATAAAATGGCTTAAAAATTTCTATATTCCTTAAAAGCTTATATAAAATTCTATGTACGATATTCCTAGTCTCTTGTACTGTCAGAGGACAGCGTATTAGGCTAGAAAATAATACTGCAACCTTTTTCAACACCTCCATGTATATCCTCATTGAACATTAAACAGAAAGTAGTGAAAACATGTATCAGAACGTTAAAAACAAAAACAAAAAAAAAAAAAAAAAAAAAAAAAAAAAAAAAAAAAAAAAAAAAAAACCACCACAAAACCCCATAAATTTATTTATTTTTACCTGAATGGTGAAATCCACAACTGACTTGTACAGCTCGCAGCTCACAGTCAAAGCGAACAGCCCCTGGTGGATAGGTTGTAATTTTGCTTGCATCCTTCTCACCTCTTTCTCCACTTCCGTCTATAAACAAAACTTGTAATTATATCCTGTGTCTTCTAAAAACATTATGTTAGAAGAAAGAATGAGAATAGTAAGCAACCACCCCCGCCATTTCTAAGATATGAGAGGAACTCACAGAATATTGAAAGAAACAGCTCAAGACAAAGGATCAAAGTAGATTTGAAAGATTACAGAAACTCTACTCCTAAACAATCTGCTGCATCAAAGTTACACACATAAAAGGAAAATAACACATCCTCTAAAGCAGAAACCTCCAAAGAGCAGACAAGAACAATGAGCAAAACAGGACACTGAAATAACTTCAGAATTTTTGCTTAATAACCATCACTTTTGTTATTCAAGGAAATAATATTATCAATTACATAGAAAGCACTGTAACTGACCATGGTAAGTATAGCCTGGTCTCATTTATTCAGTATTTGTTAACAATTTTACTTAACTCCAACCTGGCCGTATAGCCCTTGTTTTACATAACTAACTCTCTGATACTATGTGATGAGTATGCCTAACAACACTGACATACCCACTACTACTATGTCTGATGCATTTCTAGACATACTGTGGTTTCTTTCATAAAGAATGAAGTGTGCTATTGGTTCCTATAGTCAAACAGTCTTGCATCAGATAAAAGTACAGAAGTGACAAATAATTGGTTTGTTTACGAGCATCTTGAAAGCCACTCTCCTTCAGAAAACAATATAAAAGTCTGCTAACAATTAGACACAGGGTCACAAAGGAAACTGGTTTCATAGTACTAGCAGAAAAAAAACAACATAACAGAAAGCACGTCCATCACCATTAAAACATCAATATCTGCAAAAAAAAGCTGGCAATAAAAACTCTAAAGAAAGTGCATTTTCATATTGAAAAATATCATATGACTACAGTATACATGCACACATTACCCAAATGAGCTAGTAAACACCTGTAACTACTGTTCTTTTGCAAAATCCTTTTAAATTAAAAAAGTTTCTCTAGAAAGAGGAGAAAAATGGATGAATGTGTATAATAGCTACAGCTAAGAGATTCTACTATGATTCTGTGGTAAATTCTGACCAGCTACTGCTTCATTAAAAATTCTGATATAGGGAAACAACTGCTGCTAAAAGCATTCAAGGTGCAGTTAATTTGTAATTCCCAAACTGTTTCCTAAAGAATTATTAGTGGAAATGCGAACAATGAGCACTACACTACTTAAAAACTTGCCATATTTTACTTAAAATATAACCCAGTTTATATATATATTGCCAATGATTCATCCAAAGTAATTTCAGCATATTAAAAAAAAAGTTTTAATGAATCCTACTATTCTTAAAAAGAAAAAAGAAGTCATGACTGTGCACAGAAGTTCCACATATTTTGCATCTGCAAAGAAACTGCACACACAGGTATTAAGTAATACTTTTAAGGAACTAGCTCTCATAGAGTAGTAGTAACTTTTTATGCCTATTTTTGTATTAAACGCTATATGCCTATAAATCCAGGGACGATTCTAAGGGCTAATACTGCCACCAGAAAAATGTGTTCAGTAAGCAACCTACTTACTGCCTCCTTGTTTCACACCACGTTTTCAAACAGGAACAGTGCAAAGTGAAAAGTTCTTGGAGTTTATCTGTGGTACCTTCTCTCTCCTCCTGCTATCACTGATGACAATAATAACTATAAGCTCCTATGCAAATGCAATTGAACAGTCATTTGCCAGGAATGCACACAGCCAATAAGCATGTGATGGGACAGCATGTGCTTCCTTCAATGAAACTAGCTAGACACACTGCATGTTTCCTATAACATGGTAGTATTAAATACTGTTGTGAAAGATGTAGACAAAATAACATATTTTGTATCTCCTTATCAAAGAAATACATTTATTTTAAAGGATAAAGATACACTGAGTAGGCATTTTTGAGTTCCAAAGGAGAATCTTCTCCACTGTGAAACTTACTCAGAAGTTCTCTTGGCTAATATTACTATTACAAAACAAAAAAATGCATAACCTCCCAGTATATTTCGGGAATTAAGAAAAATCATCCCTCTCAGAAGGGTAAAAAAATAATAATCAAGTCCACTGAATTCCTGATTGGTAGCTACAGAGGTTGAGTGAAAACTAGTATGTAGAATCTCAAGTGCATGACATTTCTGAAACTGTGTTAATAAACTTGCAGTCTAATTACAAATTAAATAAAAATTGCATTCTGAATTTTTGCACCACTACTGGCACGAATTTTGTTAGGTGTTTTTCTCCCGTAAGTGTTCAAACTACTACATCCTTATCCCTAAACTGTTAAAAAATAAATTACAGTGAAATTTTCTTCAACAATTTTGTATCAGCGTTTACAAAATCATTTATACATAACTTTTTCCATCCATAGAAGTTCAGCTCCTTCTAGCTCTACCCTTTTGACAGTATTTGTTTTTGTTTTCATATGTCTTTAGAATTATGTATACGTGTATACATTCAAATTTCTAAATATTTTTATTTATTTAAGTATCACTGCTCCCAAATACAGGGAAAAAAAGGAGAATTTGCTACAAACCTCAACTGACTCGAGAAACTCACTTCATCTTCCACTCAACATACAGACTTCTGAAAACTATAATTTATCTTTGTTACTTAAGATTCCCAAAGATGAAGTCTCAAGAGTCTGGAGAGACAGAGTGGGAAGTATTGTGGTTTAACCACAGCACTCAGAGCCACACAACCATTTGCTCACCCTCTCCCTACCGGAAAGGGATAAGGGAAAGAACTGAAAACAAAACAGAACTTGTGGGTTGAGATAAAAACTATTTACTATGACTGAAGAGGAGGAAGGAACTGCCTGCCACCAGATGCTCTGCCAGCAACGCAGCATCTCACCCCCTGTTTACTGACATCCAGTCAATCCTCGAGCAGCAGACAGCTCAGGCGAACAGCCCACATCTTTACAGCCTTTCACATGGTGTCAGTGGTATGGAACAACCCTTGGACTAACTCATCCACCTGTCCTGGCTCCACCCCATCCCCTGCCCTGTGCCATCACGGCAGCAGCCCTTCCCTGCCAACTGGCCCAGCCTGGCTCAGTGCACCCATCATTCAGCAATAACTAAACATCAGTGAGCTATCAGTACTGTTTCAGCTGAAACAAGGACAAGAAGTCACTACCTTGCTGAAAAATGAGAATGAAGGACAAGCAGATTCTTAGTTTCAAAGTATTCCATGATTACCAAAGAATACGGTATCTACTCCTTCCAGCTGAATTAGTGATGGAGATGCAGAAATAGATCAGAAAGTTTATGATGATGCTTAATATACAGTTTTGGTAATAAGAAAAATTTTGATACAAATACTCTAAAAATGTGAAATGAGTAGATGGCAATGGCAAGTTTTCCATAAAATAAGTGAATTCATGATGAATCACAGAAGCATAGAATGTCTTGAGTTGGAAGGGACCTCAAGGATCATCAAGTTCAAACACCCCTGCCACAGGCAGGGCCACCAACCTCCAGATCTAGTACTAGATCAGGTTGTCTAGGGTCCCATCCAACCTTGAACACCTCCAGAGATGGGGCATCCACAGACTCTCATGGCAGCCCTTCCCAGCACCTCACCTCTCTCTCTGAATAACTTCCCCCTGACATCCAATCTAAACCTTCACTCCTTCATCTTAAAATCATTCCTACTGGTCTTATCGCTATCTACCTGAGTAAAAAGTTGATTTCTCTCCTTTTTATAATCTCCTTTTAAATACTGGAAAGCTGGAATGAGGTCTCACAGTCCTTCTCTTCTCAGGGCTGAACAAGCCCAGCTCCATCAGCCTGTCTTTGTGGGGAAGTGCTCCAAATCTCTGATCATCCTCATGGCCCTCCTCTAGACTCTCTCCAACAACTCCACATCTTTTGTGTACTGGGGGCTCCAGACTTGGACACAGTACTCCAGATCGGGCCTCACGAGGGCAGAGTAGAGAGGGACAATCACCTCCCTGCTCCTGCTGGCCATCTCTCTTCTAATGGAGCCCAGGATATCATTTGGCCTTCCAAGCTGCAAGAGCACACTGCTGGTTCATGTTCAGTTTTTCACCCACCAGGGCCCACAGGTACTTCTCCACAGGACAATGAAACTATATGAATTGTTAAGAGAGCATTTCAAAAGAGTTCCCCAAAGAAAAGCCATTTAAATTTGGTAATATACCAATGTACAAGATCCAAATTAGGCCACAATTGTCAGCCCTGAAGCAGCTGTTCACGTTCAATTTTAAATAAATATCATTAAGGAAAAGTTCTACAGCTGCAGACTGGGATGCAGGAATAGGCAATTTTAGTACTGTGCTCTTCAGTACCATCAGTTGAAATGATTTTTCTCAGTCAGAAAATCTTTAAGGTCTGGTTGAAGTGAATTGTAGCAAGACCACTTTAAAAGAAATGTCTGAAATTAAAATGCTGGCTTGGAAAATATTACATTCAAAAGTAAGATGAAAGAACATACTGATTTCAATGTCATAATGTCCTTTTCCTAAAATTAACATCTCTGGCTCAGATTGCTTGAGATTACTGATTTTATCTTGTGTATACTAAGAGAAGCGAATGAGGAATGTCTTTTAAGATGTGGTATGTCTCTTCTGCTTTTAGTGATTCCATTATTTTGATAGCAACTTCACAAATTTTTCATTTTCCCTTGAGAGGTCCTCTAGAAGTCAGGGGAGATTTCTAGTTTATAGTGGAATTTATGGTCTTCTTTAGGGGAGCCATCTTCCGAAAGCTCTCAATGTTTACTTGTGAAGACATTACATGAGACAAATCTCCCTTACCTGTTTAGCATGAAGTAGAAAGAACTAAGTGGTCAATTCTATGGAGCATGCCTGTCAGAAGGTTTCATTACAATACAGGCCTTTGCACTGTGCTAGCTAGCTCCCAAGAAATAATGCCAACCTCAAATTGAAACTAATGCACAAACCTCTAATAAGGATATATGTGAGATATATACCCAGAGCTAAAGGGAGCTCCAACTAATAAAATATACCATAAAAGAACAGACATTGGTAGAACAAATATACTCTGCTATGCACTACCCTGTAGAGTCAAGGTTTTGCAAGCAGTACAACTAGTAGAAGTACCTACTTCAAGAAAAGTGGTTATTACATAACTGTCACTGACAGCAGGTTATGTGTGTTTTGCCTTTCAGCATGAAATTTCTATCAGCGGGATTAAGATTGGTATTTTTAAATTAGGGTAAAGTAATTAATGTTCAGATTTTATATAGTAGACTGAAAAGATATGCAAAAACAAAGGATCAAATTCTGCTTTCATTTCCCTAAAATAGACTTGAGATAATTTCCTGAACTGGTACCTTCGTAATTAGATAGACCACATTCACGTACTAAGTCATATCCAGAAAGGCTTCAAACTGTCATACAAATTATTTGCATATGTGCAAACAACTACTTTCCATTAATTCAACTGAAAAGTCATTCTAACAATTTAGCTATTCTTTAAAAAAAAAAAAAAAAAAAAAAATTGAAACATTCTAGACCCCCACCATTTTAGAACTTCCTGTTTAAGATCGCATCTGCAATCCAGACTTTAAGTATATATTCTTTGTCTATAAATACACATGCATTTATATATAGATACAGATACATGCAGACACTTGAATACAGTCCATGTTCCAAAATTATTTTTAATGAGTTGGCCTTCCAGACAAATGGAAGTGCCATTAATGCCACAAACATCTCCTTACTTAAATTCTGAAAAAAGTGCAATTTCAAATATCTTGTTTCATTAAAAAAAGTCTTGTTAATAGATGGCTTAACAATGAAAAACTTTAGGCTAGAATTAAAAACTCAAGTTGATAGGTTACAGGAATCACCCCAGTTATATCGCACAAGTTCAAAAACAAAAAGAAAAAACACCAACCACAGTGCAAATGTGACAGTTGAGACACAGGAAGGTGTTAAAGTTTCCTACAGTAAACTTTAAGAACTTTAGGAATGAGATAGCTTCAGAAATGAGAGAAGACCCAGAAAAACAACACATTTTTCAGTAAAAAAATAGAAAAAGCAAAAGAAAACAAAGATGATGCAGACTACCAAACATTTACGATTTTTAAAAAAAGTCAACATACAAATGTGTTCTCTTTCTCCTCAGGTAACAAAATACTAACAAGAAGAAAGGCAGAAGCCATATTTTGCATTTCTTTGAGAAGAGAGATTGAGTGCATGGAAGAGGTAAGGTGGGAGTATCAGCTTTTTCCACCCTCGCCAATAAGGAAGACCAAATACCTTTGTGCTTGTCCCGCTTAGGCTTTAGCTGTGCTGGATGGGGTCTGATTCTGGCTAGAGCCTGTTCTCGATGGTTCATAAAAATAGGACCAGGAAATACAAGGGGGCCTGAGGAGAAACATTTTGCACATGCATAGGAAAGCTCACAAAATGAAAACAGTGTGTTAAACAAAACTCAAATTAAAATCAATAGAAAAAAATTATATAATAAATTTGTTTATCTAAATTCAGAAGGAAGTGATTATTTCTTGACAATAAAATCAGGATATTATTGAAAGAAACAATGAATATCCCACAGTGACAGCTTAACCTGAATTTGTAAGTATGCAAATGTACTCCAAGTAATGGAAAGGCAGACTCATTTTGATAATAAATACACACTGCTGTCTTTAATAAGTTAGAAGATTAATTATCATGACTTACATTCTAAAGTATTACTGTTAAAACTGCTATTTTAGAATAATAACACCATATCAATGCTAAATTTAAAATAAACAGCATAACCATATAAATATTCATCATTATCATGCTTACATTTCAGTTATTATCACAAAGGAAACGGCAATCCAAAAATAAGTGTTATATGAACAAAATAATTCAAATCATACGATTTTTTCTAATCTTTTATCTATTTTGTAATCCATTTAATTTATTCTTCAAAAGATTCCCGTCTATATAAAGGTCTCATCTTCAAGAGAAGATTCACATTTGAAGAAAGCAGTGATGTATTTATTTAATATTTCCTCAAAATTAAAAATCTAGATGTAAGTACTGCTGAAGATGATTCTGTGTGCATCACAGAAAAGCAATTTGTTGCTTCAATTTGTACTTTCTGGTATAATAAAAAGGTTAAATTAATCTACCATCAGGAATTTCTTTGGAAATTTGTCTCCTACTTCTCGTAATCTGACAGTCAGTGGAAATGATGAATCATGAGCAACTAATACATCTGCCACTATTCCACAAGACTCCAAACCCAGTCCTTAAAAAGACTTTTAAAAGAAAAACAAAACAAAAAAAACAACAACAACAAAAAAAAACAAATCCCAAATCATGCTTTGTGGCACGTTTTGAATGTCTCATGTGGAACTCCAAAAAATTAATGCACTTTTTTCTTCCCCAAGATCATCAATACTCTATTTTCTGAGCTAATCTTTATTGACAAATTAATTTAGGCTAACTTTCCATTAATGCTCATTATCTCATGTTTCCTGCTGTTCACTTTAATCCATCAGATCTATAAGTGTCTTAAAAATCAACTACTGCCTTTCCTCCTAGCTTTAAGTTTCCTACAAGTGCTAGCTAACATAATGGCCAAAAATCTCAATAGTTGTGTATGTTTTTACATACAGCATAGATTTTTGTTTAAATTCTACCATGCTTACCTGGAGTCTCTTCATTCTAGTTCAACCACAATAACCTCAATTAACAATTAAGAACTAACTTCTGATGACTAAGGATCATAATTTGATTTATCATCATCAAGCAGATTCTTCCTCTAATTGTCTTGCTTTTTTTTACTGTTTTTCACAGTCTCCTCTCAGTCAGAGCTTCTGCTTAACAGATGCATAATACTACCCCATATTATCGGTTAACATTTTTTGTAAAGATTACCATCTGCTAGGTCACTTGCTGTGCTTAGCATCTCACTTCCTAGTGCTTAGGTTCACACAAAAATGTTATTTTTCTTCTTTCCAAGTTGGAGGGGAGATGTAGATGTGGAAAAAAGTCAATGAAGGGGAAAAAGAAATGACAGGTGGGTTATGAAAGCTAGGAAAGTTTGGAAAAACTTAAGGTTTTTTTTTTCTTTTTTTTTTTCCCAACCATGTGTTCTACAGGATTCCAGGCCTTTCAAGATGATCTTTGTCTGGCAGTAAATTAAGTTCATACATATGCATATGTGCTTCTGCATTCTAGTCCATCTTAGCACTTAGGCAGAACTTCCACAGAGTTTTCTGTTTGAATTCTGTCTTAAGCATATTTGATTTATTTTAGTATCTCTCCCTACACAACTGCTCTTTGGCTGGCTGTGGTTAAAAAAGACTGAAATCAATGATTTCAAATGGCCGTATGATGAAGATCAATGCACTGAATGTAGCAGGTTACCTGAAAACACAATACAAAATTATGTGATCATAAGTTACATCAGAAAGTACTGCTTTATACAAGCAGTAAAAATTAAGGCTGTGCAAGCAATCTCTATTCTGCTGTTCCCTAACTCATCAGTGTTTGATTTCACAGTTTACGTTCTTTCAAACACAGCAGCTCTTCTGTGCATAGTTAGTAAATGAGGGTACTTTCCACTGTAAAACTCTGTTTTTGGCTGCTTGAATACTTGTAAGAAAAGAAACCAAACAGATAATTAAAAAATATATGGAGACAAATTCTTAATATAGAAAAAAAACAGCTCAACAGTAGGCAAACTTAAAAGGTGATCGAAAACAAAACAGAGTACATGCTTTATGGTTAAAAAAAAAAAAAAAAAAAAAAAAAAAAAAAAAAAAAAACTAAACAAAAACACAAACATGACATCTTAATATTCCTAACAAGGCAGGGATAACTGATTAAGGTGCACATTTCTTTTACATTTTTTTTCAGATAAGTAGTACCTCCCTGCAAAAATAGTCATGTACAATGACACCATGATGCAGACACTAAGGTTAATTTTGTTTTACTGCCCACTGCTAAGCTTGCTTCTTTTGTTCAAAACACTGAAAGTAACATCAGATTACATTTTTCTTCCTGTGTTCTTAAAGAACTTTTCTACTGATAATTTATAAATAAAACTGATGGGAAAGAAAAATCATTAGAACTTTTTGAAGGGAAAAAGATACGCAGACAAGCCAATATGAGTGTACAGGACAATTTGACAAGTGGTAAAGCTTAAACAGAAGTTGTATTAATAATATTAATTTAGGCACTTTCTCTCTTCTGAACACTTCATCATTTACATATTGTTAAACAAACATGAAAGATGCATTTCTATATATATACACATAAGTTAAACTAAAACACTGGACATGAAACAATGTTCTAATAAAGTCTGAAGCAAATCTGAGTTCTAAAACTGTATTACAAAGTAGAAATATTTATATTTTGTCTTTATTAGTACTCAACATCCCTTTCAGATATTCGTCACAAACTCAAGTATACTAATGTAATTTTCATATGTAAATTTCGTATTTTCTGGTAATTGAGGAGAAACATACACAACTTCCTCTTGAAAGCTTTCTTAAAAACAAAGTCATCAATGAGTTTGATATAACTTTAAGTCAAAAGTTTTTAAGAAACTTAGAAACAAATATAACTTCCAGGTCTTGAAAGCATCAGCATAATTAATTAAAATTATGGAAAGAAGCTGCACTAATTTTAAATGAAAAAGACTGCATATTGAACAGAGCTGTCTTATTCATATTTAAGTGCGTGTTTGGCAATGAACAAACAATGCCATTGCTGATGAATGCATTTTAAATAATAGCATTTAAATACTTGATCTACCAAAATAAAACTAATTACTGAAATAACTGAATTATCTACACTTTGGGATAATCTAAAATAGTTCAAATGCAGGCAGCCTCAGTTAATATTGTATCAATACTCAACAGCTTTAACTAAAATTAATGAATATTAATTTTTTTTATTATTATTATTATTCCAAGAAGAAGAAGATTGAAAGAAAATATTTTTTCCTTTCTGCATTGGCATCAAAAGCTAAAACCTTGGTTAATTACACACAAAATTTGCATCCTAGCAGTGATCATTTACGGTTTTTCATGTTGCAAAACCTTTGCATATCTAAATCAATATGTGATAAACATTTAAATGTTCCCAGTGTCTCTCAAGAAAGAGAAGAATGATGTAAGAGTTCTCAGGAACACCACTACTCTCTCCCCCAACTCATGGAAAACTACAGCATCTAGATGAAGAATTAACAGAACTCCAGATTTTTTCATCTGGCAATACCTGACTGTATAAATCAGGATTTCTCCTAAGTATTTGTGATAAAATGTTCTCAGCTTTAGAGCATAAACCATTCTGAAAAGGAGATTAATCTGCACACTTTCAGCCAGACATACCCAGACCAACTCCAATATCTACAAAGATACAGAATTACAATTCTCTTTCACACAGATAATACAGGTGTATGCAACAGGCTGGCCAGCAATATCACCTTAAGTACAGTCCCTCTACACCCTATCAAACTGACAGTAAAAATACATGGAATATCTGAAACATAGTTAGATCCAGAATATCTTTGTTTAAGAGACAGTTTACAAAGTGGACAAGCTGTACTGGTTCTATTTCCAACCACAGAAATGGAAACACAATGAAATGTTGTTCTCTGTTTTTTTGTTCCAACCTTCCCCCTACAAGTGAAAATTTTATTCCCAGGTCTGTCATCAACATCTTTCTAAGATAATTCAGTATTTTTAGCTGTCCCAAGTATTAATATAGCAGTACACAGACAGAAGAATAAAAGCATCCCTTACTACTCCTCAAAGCTAAAATCAGTTGCAAACATTCAAATAAAATAAATATTCTGCCCTTCTCTATTTCCATAGTTTCTCTCTTCTCCGTTGCTCCTTACTTATGATAAAGCTAGTAATTTCTTGAAGGCAGATGAAATAAAATCAAAAGTTGCCCCACAGAGTTTGGTGGCTTGGACTCTAGAAAACAGGTTCAATCAGAATGCACACTTGATATCTCAGGAATAAAAATAAATAAATAAATAAAACAGTAGCAAATTCTGAAAATGCATTATTTTAAAAAATTTAAATCAGACATTAGTGACATAATCAAAATGGTATTTGCCAAAACAGCAGAAGCTTATACAAAACAAAATTTCAGCACTGCTGCCTCCTCCTCTCAACACACAAGAATGTCACCAACCACATCAGCACACTTCATTAAAATATCAGCTCTATCAGTCTAAAGTCTCTCAACTTTATTTATTTACTAGATTAAGACTCTGAAATATTTAAAACAAGAGCAGTATCAAAGGCTTGTTAGAACACAGTCTGTATAAAATTCCAACAATAATTCCTGATGTAGATAATACACAAAACAAGCAAATTTTGAAATGCTCCGGTGTTTTGCATCTGTTTAAATTTAGTCAACATACTGGATTGCTTTGGGCTACTTAAGTATAAAAAAACTTCATTTTGCAAAACAAGAAATTTTGCTTACTATTATACTGTAGAAATTCATTGATGAATTATAGTAATTTATAATAAATAATTCATACTATAGATAATGAGCAATGTACGATCTTGCAGGCTTTTAAAGTTTCTATATTAAGTCAGTTTAAGCATTTACATTAAAAATAAAAGCTACTATTTAATTGCAAATCAGCAAAAAATTTAAATTGACAATAGTAAAGTAATTTAAAAACACTGGAACAGGTTTCCCAGAGAGGTTGTATAGTCTCCCTCTATGGAAATATTCAAGACCCACCTAAACACCTACCCATGCGACCTATTGTATAGCAGGGGGGGTTGGACTTGGTATCTTGAGGTACCTCCCAACCCCTACAAATCTGTGATTCTACAATTCATAGAAAACACTGCTTTTCTCCAGTTAGACAAACATATGGATTTTCACAATTTTTCAAAATCAGGCTATATAAAAACAAACTAGTTTTTTAGGTTCTGATTTTTATTTTGTTAATGCACTCATCTACTTAAGCAAAGTCAGTTAATTCCCATTCTTAGAACATAGGCTATGTTTCCTTAGACAGTTCAAGCCTCTCATCAAGTCACTTACCCCTTCCTTCTTCTAGTCTGTGTCTCCTATTTACACGCTGCCGCTTTTCTTCTTGCCGTAACTGTAGGTGTTCTTCAATATTAACTCCTGGAACTGGGACAGCTACATTGGTTAAGAAAACAATACACTTTAAAAAGTTTTAAAAATTGTTATGAGAGCAATAAACCTTAACAGAGTTATAGTAAATGGAAACCAAAGCCTACTTACTACTAGTCCTTTATATAGTTCTTGCACAATATTTAGAGAAGGACAGCAAAGATGATTAAATTTTATCTAGAGTTTTAAGCCTTACTGTTGAATTTCCTGATTTCCACAAATCTGCCACAGTTCCAACTTCACTGAATAGCATTTAGTACTTTCTCTCTATAAATACTGCAGATTAGCATGGATCTCAATTTTTCCCCAGAAAGCTTCAGAAAGAATTATTAATAAATCATAAATACAAATATATATATATATAATGTAAACTATATTTTAAAATATAACTAAGTTACATATTTAAAACATTTTAAATACATACTTAAATACTGCACCAGCATATGCTACATGCTTAATAAAAAAACATTCAATTACTTTAATATACGCATACATCTTTACATAAATTCTGGCATTTATCCAACCAGGTGTATCCTGCTCCTGATACCAAATACAAAACTGCACCTTGAAGCACTCTTACTTTTCCCCAAGAAAATATGGCTCAATCAATTCAATGTCCACCCCTCAAACTATGGCAGGCACAACATAGGGCCAAGGGGTGTCTATCCTGCTAAGAAAGGAGTTAGCAAAGCAGAAGAAAGTACAAAAAACTTAACTCCTTGGCTTAGTTTCAGCTGGGATTGAATTGCTTTCCTTAGAGTGTCTGGTATGATGCTACATTTTTAGGTCCAGGAGAAAAACAATGTTGATAACACACTGATATTTAAGGTTGCTGTTATGCAGTGTTGTATAGAGTTAAGGACATTTGCAGCAAACAGCCCAAGGAGCTGCGAAGGAACAGAATTAGGACAGTTGACCTAAACTGGCTAAAGGTATCTTCCATACCATATGACACCATGCAAAAGGAGTTTTGAAGGGAGTGGGAGTTCATCTCTCTGCCTTCTGCTGTTCAGGGGAACTAGCAGGTCATTGGCTGGGGGGGCAGTGAGCAATTGCTCATGCATCACTTGTTACATACATTTGTATATATATATATATACATCTATATATATATATATATACACTTATACACACACACACATTTATATAGATACATAGATAGATATATAGATATATACATAGTCATAACTATTTTCCTTTTCTCTAGCTTAATAAATAGCTATATCTCAACTCACGAGTTCTACATTGCTTTTCTTGATTCTCTCCCCGCACCCCACTGGAAAGGGATTGGAGTGAGCAAACAACTGTGCGGTGCTGAGCCACCAGCTAGGTTAAACCACAACAGTCAATTTGGCGCCCAATATGGGGCTCAAAGGGTTGAGATAACATCAGGTCAAGCCAGAGCATGTTAAATCAGCGTGTTGTGGTAGTTTGATAATTGCTGGTTACAATGTTGATTTTTTTCCTACTTACGGAGCTCTACAAGAGACTTCTCATGGAACTATATTTTGAAGCATCTCACTTCCTGCTTATTTCTCCTGCTGTGTCATTTGTCATCTCTGGGAGTTGGATTAAGGTTTTTATTTTGCTAGGCTGTGTGGTCTTGGCTTATCTCATGATAAAACTGGCAGCAAAGAAACTAACGCTTCAGGTTTTGGGAGCCTTTCCAGCAACCTCCCTTTCAATTTCCTTTTCCTCAACCTCCCTTTCACTTTTCCTTCTTTCTGTAGAGTTCAAGAGCTAATTACAATAGCTCTTGAGAATTTTGAATACCCATAGGATGTTCAAACCAGTGTGCCCCTATTACAATGTTATGAATGTGTTTCAAGTTATGTTTAAGATTAAATAATTATTTAAGAATGTCACCCAGACATGTGCCCTAAGACAGGATGGGATGGGATGGCCAGGTGCCTAGAGCAGTGGGCACCCCCAGTAATTTGCAACTGCACCTCTGAACAATTAAAGAATACTGAAAAACGAGTAGAATATTTGGCAATCCTAAAGAGACAAATCACTGCAGCATGCCAGGGCCTGGCATGTGCCTATCAAGCTCCATTCAAAACTATTCAGCATCCTCAAGGGAAGAAGAATACTTATGGATCTGATGACAATGCAATAGACTCTCCAACTCCTGAGAAACTTTGCAGCAGCCCCAATTTCTGCAACAGGCTCTGCAGCTGTTCTGACAATTGCGACAGACCCTGACATCACTCCTACCCTTGCAATGTGCCCTGTGCTTGCTCCTACTATGGGTCCCATGGCTGTTCCACATATTGCATGGAACACTCCTAGGCCATGCATGAGAATAGAGCTAGTAAGCAGCGCTGCTGCTATCACATTCACTGTCAGTGCAGTGCAGCATAAACCTACTTCTGTAACCTCAGGGGGTCCTTAGAATTAGAAAAACTCATCACAAGAATCACTTCCAGTTCCTATTTAGCTTTTACACGGAAAAAAAATCCCACGTTCAAAGTGTAGTGTAGGATTTTCTATGCCTAGTTTTCAGAGAAAAAAAAAAAAAAATAATAGTTGAGATGAACAAATATTTTAACTCAACCATGTGATTGCTTGCTTTATGGTCCTTTTCTATATCAGATACTACTTTCATGAAGCATTATGATCTGCACATAAATTTAACTATAAAAAAAAAAAAAGGAAGGGCCTTTGTTGGACCTAATAAAGTCTCTCCAATCTTCTAACTATCCAGCTCTAAGTACAGAGAATGCTATTATCTGATTTCAGAGAATTTCAGAAAAAGGTAAGACTCAAGCTGGAGTTCAACAGGTTGCCCAGAGATACAGTGGAAGCCCCATCCCTGGAGACATTCAAGGCCAGTCTTGACTAGGCTCACCTAGTCAAGCCACCCAATGTAGCTGTAGAGATGCCTATTCATGGCAAGAGAGTTGAACCAGATGACCTTTATGGGTCCCTTCCAACTCTAAGGATTCTATGATTCATGTGTCTTTGTGTGCAGGTCTGAAGTGAACTCCATAATCCTGGCAATATATTTTACCCAAACATTTCTGGTAGAAGAAAAAAAATTCTCAAGAAACAGTGTCTGCAAAAACACTGAAATAATTTTTCTGTGTCTGCAAAAACATTGAAATACTGTCAGGCTATCAAAAACAGGCAAGTGAAACAGCATCCTAACCACACAGGTCAAAATGGCACACTCATGCCTTCAGTAATACAAAGTTTAAAATGTTTCTTACTTACCAAAACAATCCCACTTTTCCACATTACCAATAAATAAATAAATCTGCTTGATCAGCTATATTTATATATTTTAACGCTAACATATTAGAACTATCATGTAAGTCCAGAAGTTCCATAATTTGCTTCCCAGGATGGAACTGCATTAGTTGAGATACAAAGTTTCATCACAGAACGCAGAAAAATGAAACTGCAAAACAAGTCTTAACTGAAAGAACAGACTTATTTTTACATTCGCCTGTTACTCCAACGCAAGTTTCAGAAGACTGTAGCTAGACTGCTTTTATTTAAAGATTTCAAACAGAAGTATCAAAAGAAAAAAAGCACAAAAGTAATAATAAAAAAAAATAAAAATACCTCAACTGGAAATAAAAGTGTAATAAGTGAGAAAATTAAAAGTCATCTTAATAATTTTGTATCACTTACCTAATAAGAGATCTAAAGGTATCATCTCTTTTACAGCATCAAGGATTCCTCTTTGCCTTGCCTCCTGGCCATCCAGTTCTCTAGCACATGCCTTGCAGCAGCCACATACAGCGCAGCCCGACTCACCTGAGCCACAGCCACAGATTCTGCATCAAACAGAGTTGCTCTGTCAATACCTTTTATTTTCATGCATCACTAATGCCTTGGTAATTAAAACATACATGCCCACAGACAGAACAAACCTATAACATAATTCTTCCCATGATTAACAGATAGTATAGCTACTTTAAATTCTAGATGCTGTTGCATTGTGCCTGGAAGCATACATTGACAATACACATCCAAACTGACTTCTCAGCATTAACTTTTTTTCAATTAATTAAATGCACACTATGGAAGAATACATACAAGAAAATGGCAAACACATGCAATGCAAAGCAGTGGCTCTTGATGCAGCTCAACTCTTTAGTAACAGATAAAAGCAAACAGAAAAGATAAAAACTTCTACTGTAGCACAAAAAGGTCATCCCAAAGCCCTGTCAACAGAATAGAGTGCGTTGAGTTGGAAGGGACCTATAACGATCATCAAGTCCAATGCCTGATCACTCCAGGGCTAACCAGAAAAGCTTATTAAGAGTGTTGCCTAAATGCCTCTTGAACACTAACAGGTGTGAAGCATCAACCACCTTGCTAGGAAGCCTGTTTCACTGTTTGACCACTCACACAGTAAAGAACTTTCTCTAATGTTCAGCCTGAATCCCCTCTGGTGCAGCTTTGTTCTCTCACATTCTATCATCGGTTACCACGGAGAAGAGCTTGGCTCTCTGCTCGGGGAGTTGTAGAGAGTAGTGAGATCGCCTCTTGGCCTCATCTTCTCCAAAATGGACAATCCAAGTATTCTCAGCCTCTCCCTACATGACACGCTGTCCAGACCTTTTATGAGTTTGTTGCTCTCCTCTTGACACACTCAAATATCTTAACATCCTTTTTATACTATGTCCAAATCTGTACACAATATTCAAACTTTGGCCACAATAATGCTAAGTACAACAGGAGAAGTATCTCTTCTGACCACCTGGATACGAGGTTTGCCTTCTTGGATGCCCAGGCACACAGCTGGCTCATACTGGGCCTGCAGTCAGTACCCCAAGGACTTTCTGCAAGACTACTCTCTAACCACTCTTCTCCCAGTCTGCATCTGTGTCTGGCATTATCCTGTCCCAGGTGCAGTTATCCAGAAATTACCTTTGTTGAATTTCATATCATTGTTGATTTTCCAATGCTCCACTCTATGTAGGTCTTTCTAACTCCTCCAGAGTTACAGAGTTAATCAACAGAACTTTCCAGTTTTGTATCAGCAAACATGCTAGGGATGCAACCAAACTCCTGCATCCAAAATCACTGATAGAAATGTTGAACAGAACTGGCCAAAGAACTGAGCCCTGTGAAACACTGCTGGTGACTGGCTGTCAACCAGATGCAGCTTCATTCACTAAAAACCTCTGAGCTCTGGAATTCAGCCTGTTCACCACTAAGTGTAACATGAACCTATTAAACTCCAGCTATCCAAAAAGATGCTACAAGGGACTGTTATCAAAATCTAGGAAGGTTCAATTGAAGGTACCCTTCAATCACTAAGCCGCTGACATTATCATAGAAGATCAAATTACTAAGACAGGACTTTCCCTTCATGAATTCACACTGACTGTGCCTGATAATAGCTCTGTTCTATAAATGCCGTTGAAGAGACATGTCTGTCACAAGTCAGACAATGTTATTGCCCATATTCAACACCTTTTAGTACAACAAAATATATCCTGCAGAATGCAAAAAATGCATTTAGAATTAAATAACATGTAATCACTACAAGCTATTTACAAATTAAGTTTTGTAAATTTGTATTTGTGCTTTCTGATTTTGAACGCACATACCCATCTTCAGATACAACATTATCTTAGATTTAAATTTAAGAATACAGCAGATTAGTTTGAATTCAATACGTTTTGCCTGTTCAACCATCTATAGCAAGTATATTTCCATATATTTGCTTACCCTCCAGGAACTCTGTCAGGACGACCACTACTAACACAGCTAGCTCCATAGCCTGTGCAGTCTCCACAAACAGTGCACACCATGCACTGCTCCAGCTTCCATTTATGCATGCCTGGTGGGCACATCATGGATTTCTCATCTTTTTCATCCAGTTCCTCTTCTAGATCTTCATCCATTGCTGTTGCCATGTTCTCAACTCCAAAGCCTAACGAAGACAGTGAAACAAGAAAGAACTGTTTTCTGAGCTTAGTAGTGGCTAATGAAGAAAATTTGAAGAAAACACACAAATCAGATTTTAAAAGGAATGATTAGCAATGCCTGATTCAAATTCTTATTTGGCACAACTAAGTTTCTGAAATCTATCCAAACTTGAGCTGGAGCTGATATCTAGGCTTCACAACTAAAAGGGAAATGAAATATTTTTATTCTGTGTACAAGTAACAGATTGTTTACTTGTAATTTATAAAATATTCCAATTCTGCAAAGGTGAAGGACAAATTTTTCATATCTGCATTTTGGAGTAAGAGATATATTCAGATGTATGCAGAAAGATGTAGACTTGAATCTATGCACTGTTTATGCAAACAAAGCAGACACTAGATGAAATGAGAATGATGGTTGAACTTTTTTTGGTTACTAGGACAAACGCACATAGTAAGACAAAGAGTCGTAAGGTCTTGTTTTATTAATTTGTTTTAAAGAAAAGCTTTTTCACCAGTAGAACTGAAGTAATTATTTTACACAGCTAAGTTTACTAATACATGCAAAATGCCAAATGCCCAAGAGATGAAGTAAAAACATTCATGCATGCTTTTTTGTTGTTGTTGTTGGATTTTTTTGTGTGTTTTTGGTTTTTTTTGAAAGCATACTGTATTAAACTAAAGATTCAGAACTATATTAGATAAAATACGTTACGTTTTTGCTTGTAATATTTTTCAGCACATAAAACAAAAGGAAAATCCTAGGTTCCTTACCTTTTCCTCCCTGGCTCATGGAGCCTGTGTCTCGTCCACACTGTCCCTTATTATTTACACCAAATGTCCAAACTTCTCCATTCTTCATTAGCACACAGGTGTGAGCTTTCCCCATGGCTACTTGAGTCACAAAATGGCCTTTCAAATCTGTTACTAAACCTATATGACATAGATCAGTTGAGTAGTAGATTGCACTTTCTACCTGAGATGAAAACTTCCATAATATAACATAATTGCTAACACTGACAATTTTTAAATTAATGGTAAGGTAGAAGAATAACTGACAGAGAAAACAAGTGCTAGGGTAAGAAGTGAAAAGAGAATTAACCCTAGATCGCATGTCCTGCAAAAAGAAAAAAAGTCAAAAACAACTCATGAAAACAATTCCAAAAGAGTTGTAACAATCACACTGGACTTTATTTCTTTAGAAAATTATTTAAATTTATATGTGCTGGATCACAAGGAAATTTCTCTGCAGAGTTGTGAGTAAAGAAACTTGTAAGGCCTGGTTTCCTGCATGCTTTGCTCATAGTATGTCTCATTTCTGACATTCCTATGTGGCTGTCTAACATGCAACTAATATACATATACAACTGATACTTTAAGTATACAACTAATGTATTTTTTTTCGCTTTGTGCAAGCATTCTCCAGTGCTCCATATTTTTATGTAACTTAAGAAAACTGTCTTGTCTTTCTATCCTTCTGTCATATCTGGTTGAAATTCAGAAAAGTATTAGGAGAGTAAGAAATACAAACATAATTTCCACAGGCTGAAGCCTTTCAGACTAATTTAAATTACTCTATTTCAGAAATCACTTAAAACAAATATTAGCTTACTTGTACTATCAGAGTAAATGGCATCTTTTCCAAACATGTAGAGTTCTCCATCTTTTGAAATTACAGAACTGCTTCCATTATTGCAAGCTGTAGATATCACAATCTTTCCTTCCATTTTGATGATTTTTTTAGGCTTATACGGTTTTGACTGTCGTCTGCTTTTTGCTTTAAATAAATAAATCACGTTATTCCACGTTATTCTACATTCCACATTAAAAAAAAGTCTGAGGACACAGTAGCATTTGCTTTATAACTAAAAAAAAAAAAAAAAGGCGTTGATTGCTTGCACTCTATCTTTAAAACACAGCTAAAGAACATAATAAACAACTAACAGCTATTACTGACCATCAATCTGCATTCAAATCAGACAACTGTAACCTTTAAATGCTGAGTTACCAACTATCTACAGAAAATAGGCACATAGACTGCAGACAGAAACACAATCACCTTGCCCAGCTTTAAAAGAAATTAGAAAAAATTATAGTTTGTGCACTTCATTTTAATCCAACTTAGAGGGTGAAAGAGAATCAGATTAGTACAAACAGAGTTGAACTTTTAAAAGAATTGAGAGAGACCTTGATCAAGATCCTGATCTTATGCTCTAGTATGAAGATCTAATGCTAAGACCCATTTCAACTTCCTTAACGTAAAGAAAAACAGCATCAGCAATTTACTCCAAAGTACTTAACTACTGTTTCATCTGAAATGGAATATTAATTTAATATATAAGAAAAAGATATAATTAAATTATATTACAGATAAATTCCAAATAACTGCTCGAAGAAATCTTGAAATTTCTGCTTGTACATTTTTTTTTTCTAAAATCTTATTGCCTAAGATGATTAGATCTCTTAAATTTACTCTTACTTTATTGAAGTAGTATGATTTTGTCCCGCACTTTTTTCAGCAGGTCTGCATTTAAGACTCTTCAAGTTTACCGCGGATTATAGTAAGTTTGACATCCATAGACTTTCTTACAAGAGCAATACAATTAACATCCTGTACTCCGAGCACATTAATGGGATAAATTTCAAACTCAACAACGTTTAAGGTAATTGGAAAGCATTATTGAAACACAATATCCAATTTTTGCTTGAAAGTGTAAAAGAACTCCTCAGTGCAGGAGAGATATAAGCCTCTTAGAGCACACAAAAATGATCCAAGGGATTGAACACCTCTCCTACGAGGACAGGCTGAGAGAGCTGGGGTTGTTCAACCTGGAGAAGGGAAGGCCCAAAGTGACCTGATAGCAGCCTTTCAGTATATAAAAGGGAGCTACAGGAAACAATGGTCTGTTGTCACAGAATGAGAGGAAATTGTTTAAAGCTTAAAGATGATAGATTTACGTTAGATATAAGCAAAAAGGTTTCTTTGCAATAATGGTGGTAAGGTATTGGAACAGGTTGCCCAGAGATATGGTGGAAGCTCCATCCTAGAAGACATTCAAGGTCAGGCTGGATGGGACTTTGAGCAACCTGATCTAGTGCTGGATGCCCCTGTTCACTGCAGAAGAATCACAGAATCACAGAATCACCAAGGTTGGTAAAGACCTTCCAAGATCATCCAGTCCAACCATACACCTATCACCAATACACCAATAGTACTAACTAAATCATGTTCCTCAACACAACATCCAAACGTTCCTTGAACACCTGCAGGGTGACTCCACCCCCTCCTCAGGCAGCCCATTCCAGTGCCTGACCACCCTTTCAGAGAACTAGTACTTCCGAACGTCCAGCTTAAATCTACCCTGGCACAGCTTAAAGCCATTTCCCTCTAGTTCTATCACCAGTTACACTAGAAAAGAGGCCGATCCCCAGCTCACTACAACCTCCCTTCAGGTAGTTATAGAGAGCAGTAAGGTCTCCCTAAGCCTCTCTTCTCCAGACTGAACAATCCCAGCTCCTTCAGCCGCTCCTCATAAGCCCTGTGTTCCAGACCCCTCACCAGCTTTGCCGCCCTTCTTTGAACCCGCTCCAGGGCCTCAATGCATTTCTTGCAGTGATGGGCCCAAAACTGGACACAGTACTCAAGGTGCGGCCTCACCAGTGCTGAGTACAGGGGGAAAAATCACTTCCCTGTTCCTGTTGGCAACATCGTTCCTGATTCAAGCCAAGATGCCGTTGGCCTTCTTGGCCACCTGGGCACACTGCTGGCTCATGTTCAGCTGAGAATCAATCAATACCCCCAGGTCCATTTCCTCTATGCAGTCCTCCAGCCACTCCGCCCCAAGCCTATAGCATTGTGTGGGGTTTGTTGTGGCCAAAGTGCAGGACCTGGCATTTGGCCTTGTTGAAACTCATCCCATTGGCTTCAGCCCAGCTATCCAGCCTGTCCAGATCCCTCTGTAGGGCCTCACTACCCCCAGGCAGATCGACACTTCCAGCCAACTTGGTGTCATCCACAAATTTACTGAGGGTGCCCTCATCCAGGTCACCAATAAAGATATTAAAGAGGACAGGCCTCAGCACCGACCCCTGGGGAACACCACTCGTGACAGGTCACCAGCTGGATTTAGCTCCATTCACTACCACTCTCTGGGCCCAGCCTTCCAGCCAGTTCCTTATCCAATCAAGAGTCTATCTGTCCAGGCCATGGGCTGCCAGCTTCTGCAGGAGAATATTGTAGGAGAAAGTGTCAAAAGCCTTGCTGAAGTCTAGGTAGACTACACCAACAGCCTTTCCCTCATCTACCAGATGGGTCACTAGATCATAGAAGGAGATCAGGTTGGTCAAGCAGGACCTGCCCTTCATGAACCCATGCTGGCTAGGCCTGATCCCCTGGTTGTTCCACACATGCTGTGTGATCTCCCTCAAGACAATCCACTCCATAACCTTCCCTGGCACCGAGGTCAGGCTAACAGGCCTGTAGTTCCCTGGATCCTCCTTACAACCCTTCTTGTAGATGGGAGTCACAGTGGCAAGCCTCTAGTCTTCTCTGGGACCTCACCAGTCAACAGGGAGCGCTGATAGATAATGTTAAGTGACTTGGCTATCACCTCTGCTAGTTCCCTCAGCACTCTTGAGTGAATCCCATCTGGTCCCATGGACTTATGTCAGTCCAGCTAGAGTAGTAGGTCTCTGACTGCGTCTTCCCAAATTGCAGAGGGTTCTGTCTGCACCCCAATCAAAACTACAAGGTCAGAGAGTGGAGTACCCCGAGGATAACTGGTCTGACCTTTAAAGACAGACGTAAGTAAAGAAGGCATTCAGAACCTCTGCGTTTTCCTTATCTTCAGTGGTCACATTTCCAGCCTCATCCAGTAAAGAATGGAGATTCTCTTTAGTCCTCCTCTTAGCGTTGATGTATTTGCGTAAGAGTTTCTTGTTCCTTTTTACCCCAGAGGCCAGGTTGAGTTCAAGCTGGGCTTTTGCCTTTCTGATTTTCTCTCTATACATCTTAACAACTTTTTTGTACTCACTCTGAGTCGCCCATCCCTTCTTCCACAGGAAGTAGATTCTCTTTTTCTCCCAGAGCCTCAAGGATAGCTCCCTATTCATCCACGATGGTCTTCTTCCCCGCCAACTCATTTTGTAGCTCAGGGGGACAGTCAGCTCCTGCGGCTTTAAGACTTCCTTCTTGAAGAATGACCAGCCATCTTGGACCTCTTTAAGGTCCATTTTGGACCTCTTTAAGCCATTCTTGGACACACTCTCTAAGAGTGAAACCCAGGGGATTCCCCCTACTAGCCTTCTGAATAATTCAAAGTCTACCCTCCAGAAGTCCAAGGTAGCAGTTTTGCTGTTCCCTTTCCTGGCTCCACCAAGAATTGAGAACTCTATCATTTCATGGTCACTCTGTCCAAGACAGCCTCCGACCTCCACATCTCCCACCAGACCTTCTCTGTTTGCGAGCAGCAGGTATAGCAGGGCAGCTCCTCTCGTTGGCTCTCACCAGCTGCATCAGAAAGTTATCCTCCATACACTTCAGAGACCTCCTAGACTGCTTCTTCTGTGCTGTGTTGTACTAGTTGACTAGTTGGACTAGATTAAGGGACTCTTCCAACTCAAATGGTTCTATGATTCACAAAATCAGCTTTTGTGCTCACACCTTTGATCTTTTTAATATGTCATAATTATGCTGATAGGGACAATTTTTTGAACGGTATATTAACCATTTATCTATTACATAAGATAACTCCCACCAACAGCATGCTTCCATGTTCTTGGAAAGTATCAACAACATCCCTATAAAATGAAAAAGTGGTTAGTAGGCTTTTATCATCTACTAATCAAGAAAACATTGCACATACTTGATTCGCCATCCTCTCCTTTACTAGCAGAACCTGTGAAGAATATACTTCCATCATCCGCAACAAGTAAGGCATGTGAACCATCGTGTCCAACAGAGAACTGAGTAATCTTTGGAGATTTTGTGATGGGTAGTTCAACCCATTTTCCTGCTGAAGGACCACCTTGTTTGATTCCAAGGCTCTGATATTTACCAGTATAATAAATCTAGGAAAAAATGGTATATCATTTTCAGTTATGCCACAATACTTCACTGTACATCATTTTTAGAGCTGCACTGTTTTAAAAGACTGACATTTCAAAATGTACAGAACTTATCCTGATATTCTAGACCTATGAAATTTTATTTAATGGAGGAAGCATTCTGATCAGATTTTACTTCCTTTGAAGTGTGCTATCTACTGTACTGTAGTTATTTTTCATATTTGTTTGATTTGATCATTTAGGTACAGAAAAAGAAAATGCTTAATATGTCTTTTTAAAACTTATTTTCAACAAAGTGAGTACATGAGCAGTAATATAACACACTATTTCACTTGAACAAATATAAAACCAGTGATATGAACAAAAAAAAAAGCTTCCCCTAGAATTATGCCACAACTGGAATGAGTGTGTTAGCCTATCAGAACACTTACAGGCATCTGTTATTAGGTCTTATTGTTAGGTCATGCTTAAACAGCCAACTTAAATAGATGAAAACCAGGAAATACATTTTCAGTACCTTTCCACTAGCAGTTTTCATAAGTGCAAACTCTCTTCCAGCACCAAGGACAGCTGATTCCTCATCAAACCCTGTACCTGTGCAAGGAAGGAACTATTAGTTTTACCAGGCAGTTTCACAGACTAGTCTATGAACCTAAATCCAACAGGAAGCATTTGTCAAAACAAAGGTTCTAAACAAAGTCACAAAGAGAAACAAACTTTTGCCGCCACAACAAGGCTTACTGGCCTAGATGTAATAAACTGTCCAAAGAGGAAAAACCACTAACATAAGAGCAACTGCATGTGGTCAGACAAAAGGTCCATATGGCCAAATATTCTTTTGACAGCTGAATTAGCAAAAGAGGTAAGCAAATGTCAAGTAATTTCTCTGAACTACCTTCTTAGACACCAGGAGCTCTGCATCTCAAAAATTCTGATAGTGATTTGGTTTCCAGATATGTTAGTATCTTTGCATTTGTTCCAATGAATCCAGACTGCAGTCCTTATAACTTCTGTAAACTTTGACCCAGAGCAAGGAGTTCTGTAGCTTAACTACATGTTATATGAGCCCTATGATTGAGACTAAGATTAAAATAGTGTTATACTTATTATAAACTAAAGGGAAATAATGGAGAATTTCAGATAGCACTGCAGACAAAAAGACTGTGGTTCAAAATGAGTGTTTAAGCTGCTTCAAAAATTTATGCTTTTCCTCATAATGGAGTTATATTTATAACTGAGTTATATTTTCCTTCACATAATGAAGACAAACAAAGGGAACAGGTAGGGTTTCAGTCTTCTTATTTTATTATTAGCTCATAATTAACGTTCAAAGAAAAGAACTTACTGATAATGTGCAAGTCTTTCTCAAGATCAAACAGTGAGATGCCACAGGCATGTAAGCATTTTCTTGCAAGCTTAAGCTGCAGTTCTTGTTGCAGCACTGGCTCAGTACTTGTTGCAAATATTCGCACTACAAAGCCATCCTGCAATAAATAAAATATCCACTTTACATTGAATAATAAATACGGTGATTTACTTTTCAGAGCCTAACACCATCAGTATAAAACTATATCAGATTTAATTATCAGAAGATATACAGATAAAGTAATATCAAGTATAGAGGGAAAAAAGAAGGAAAGGCAAACAGCATGAGCTGAAGAGAAGTATCTGACACGATAAAATATTTGAATTTATTATGAAAATAGTGATTTGTTACAGAAATAATTAGCTCTGAACCTTATCACAGAAATTGTGCTTTTACAACTATGCATGTATATATTCACACATTTTTTAAGCCCTCAGCTTCTCCTGATTTACAACTCAAATTTGTAATTGCAGTTTTAAGGGAGACTACTTACTTTTTCAAATAGTATCTAAAATAAGTTTTAGATAAAGTGAGTTTTTTGTAAAACAACAACAACAGAAAACAAGTACAAAAGAAATAGTTAAACTGGTCATGTTAAAAACAAGCTGTTTTAACAGGAAAACTGGCTAGAATGCCCCAATAGAATAGGTTTGTGTTTTTTTTTCCAAAAACAGCAATTAAGTTGTTCTTAAAACCTATTTTCCATCTCAAATCAAAACTGTGCAAATATAAAAGACATAAATGGCAGCTTCTCATGACTTCTAGCTACATAGATTTATTCCTTAGTTGAGTTAGCCAAGAAAAAGTCAAATATTAAACAAAAAGGAAATTGTGTACATTTTATAAAATAAAGGAATAATGTGAGAAGTAAAAATCATTTGCCCATTGTATGTAACACTTACATCTCTAGATGCTGCTATTTGATTAACATATTCTCCATCAGTGAAGAGAATATTCTGCCCTTCAGTATGACAATCTGTGAAAGATGAAGTACATTGCATTAGTTAGTATTAACTTACAGACGCTGTTCTCTCCTTCTAATTCACTCTCACTATAACTTGACTACAAGAATTTTAGTTTGTACAGAGAGAAATCATACTACTCAGACAAGGTTTTATTTTATACAAAATCTCCACTCTCTAACACGTATATTAAATATGTTACTCTTTCGTCTCTTCACAAGTTACTTAAGTTCTTTCCATTGTGTGAAATGTGAGGGTGTCCCTAATATTTAACTTCAGAAGATCTTAATTTTACATTTAAGGAATAATCTAAATTTTTATAACAGAGCTACAATTCCATCTTGCTGAGCGTTAGTCTTTCATTAGTCATTCCCATGCCCCAAAGACTTTTCTTTAAAGTATGGATCATTATCTTTAAGAAAAGTTTACTCAGACCAACATATGGAACTTACTGAAAGAAATGAAACAGAGAGAATCAAGCTTCTCACCATTAATCTCATTTCTCTATTGTTTGTAGCTTTTGCCAAACTCTTAGCAGAAGATCTAGTGCTTTTTGAAAAACTGTAACATGTATACTTTCATATATTTATTGAAAACAGTTCAGCCACTTTCAAGGAAAAAAAAAGGTAAGGAAAGAATTCTGTCCATACTAAAAGGTAAAAAAACAAAAAGTTCACTTTCCCTACAGGTTTAAAAGTATATCCTCATACCATCTCTTCTTCTCATCCTGTTCTGCTGATGGAGCTACTAACAAGGATAGTGTGACTGCAGGACTTGTAAGGTGTTTCCTACACTGATTACACACAGGAAAGAGGCCTCTTCCAAAAACACCTTTTAACAGCTATTTTATACCACCATTGAGGGATATTGGCTCTTTAGAAGGGATAGTAGAGGTAGGAAGGCTGGGGGAGTTGCCCTCTATGTCAAAGAGTGGATAGACTGTGAGGAGTTCCCTCTGAGAAACAGTTATAAACAGGTTGAGAGCCTGTGGGTTAAAATTAGGGATGAGTCTAACAAAGGCCAGCTGGTGATAGGAGTATACTACAGGCCACCTGATCAAGGGGAGACTGTTGATGAGGATTTCTTGCTTCAGATGGGGGAAGCATTGTGCTCACAGGCTCTCATCCTGATGGAAGACTTCAACCATCCAGATATCTGTTGGAAAGACCACACGGCAAGCTGCAAGAGGTCCAGGAGGCTCCTGGAATCCATTGATGATAACTTTCTGGTCCAGGTATTGAACAGACCAACAAGTGAAGCATTGCTGGACCTGCTGCTCACCAATGTGAAGAAGATCATTAAAGTCACTAAGGTTGGAGACAGCCTGGGCTGCAGTGGCAATGCCCTGGTCGAATTCATGATCTCGAGGGATGTGGGCCTGGCAAAGAGTGGTGTCAGGACCCTGAACTTTGGAAGAGCAAACATAAAGCTGTTCAATGGACTGTTGGCCAAGATCCCCTGGGATGCTGTCTTTAAAAACAAAGAAGAGTGCGTAAGAGCCATGGGAACAAGAGCGTGTCACCTAGGAAGAATACAGGGAAGCTGTCCAGACTTGCAGATGTGGAATCAGGAAAGCCAAGGCGCAGGCAGAACTGAACTTGGCGGGGAATGTGAAAAATAATAGAAAGACATTCTACAGGTACATTGGCCAGAAGAGACAGGTCAAAGCAAGCGTACCTCCTTTGGTAAATGTAAAAGGAGAACTGGCTTCAACGGACGAAGAGAAGGCTGAGGCACTGAATGAATTCTTTGCCTCGGTCTTCACTGATGGCCAGGATTCCAGTACTTCTCACGTCTCTGAGCCCTGCATCCCTAAAATCTCTAGTTGAGGACTGGGGCAGTTAAATCCTCCCCCACTGTGAGGGCAGAGCAGGTCCGAGACCGCCTCATGAGGCTGAATGTGTATGAGTCTATAGGGCCAGATGGCATACATCCCAGGGTTCTGAAGGAGCTGGCTGAGGTGGTTGCCGAACCGCTCTCCATCATATTTGAAAAGTCATGGCTGTCACATCCCAGATGATTGAACAAAGGGTCACGTCACTCTCATTTACAAGAAGTATGTAGTAAGTGTTGCTGATGAAACAGTCAAGATGAAATCCTCCTCTGTAAATTCAAGTCTTATTACCTAGCAAATCTCAGAATTTGGGGATTCTTGTATAGTATTTCTATTGGTAAGACAGATTACTAGCTGAGGGAAAGCATACAAAACTTGGCAAAAGTATTTATCAGATGTAAGAATGCTGACACACAGTCTAGTAGTTCCAGATATATTGCTAGATTTGCTACGTCATCTGTTAGAATGGAAACACTACCCTTTAAAAGAGCCCATAGTTTTAAGAAACTTGTGGATCCTACCATCTGAGAAAATAGAAGATCATGTTTCATAGTTAACAGAATCTTTTAAGGCCACATGACTTCTAGCTACAATCGACTCCTAATCGCATTTCCTAATCTCCTACACATTTCTTTACAAATAATTGCGAATACCTTATTTAAATGTATTATGTCTGGTCAAGGTATTTGAAAGAGATTAACTCCAGATGGAACTACATCTGAATAATGTACCAACTTGGAGGAAATACTTGGATTCCTATCAGCATTCAGCTGTTAGCAGGGTAAATGCCCTCTAGTTCTATCTGGTGTGATTTTTCAAAGCTATAAAACATGCTACAAGTGATTAATATGGTTTGAGTGAGATAGTAATAAATATTTATAGTTATGTATATACTCAGGTTTCCTCAGAACAGATTACATACTTCACACACCTCTGTTACTTTCCTACTGGGTGCAAACAGAAATAACCAGAAGTGGAGCCCTTTACATTTGCTCTAGTGAGAAGGCGGCCATATCTGTTCATAAGTGTGAGGTAACTGTGCATAAGTGCAGAAGCAGGAAAATAAAGTTCAATTCCTGAAGTACAAAGGCTAGCAGTTACAAAATCTAGCATTCACTTCAACACTAACACAAACCACACAAAATACAATTGTGTAACAATTTTTGAGGTATTTTTGAATGGGTGTTCCCACAGTTTTAAGATTTATTTTGCACTGAAAGATTAATATATTTTGTTTCATTTATGTCTTTCTGAAGCATAAACACGCTTTCTTATTGAATGACGCTAGTTTACACCATGATTTGCAAAAGGAAGCTGACAGCTTTGAGGTGTAGACTTTACAGGTGTTGAAGAGTTCAACCTTGCACATAACAGAGGGGTTGAACCTAGATGATCATCATGGTCCTTTTCAACCCAGCCTATTCTTTGAAACTAACTACACATTATTTAAAGATACAATATTCTTCCTGCAGCATTTGGAGTAGATGCAAGATTGTTAAATGAAATACTAAAACTGGTCTAATGCAGAAAATCAAAGGCATAAAAAAGCAGTTTCTCTCCATTCTCAAAATCTATCTTGATTTCTCTTCTGCTTACCTGAAAATACAATACATGAAAACAGTAAAGTATAACCATCTTCTCATATCTAGAGGTTCTTACCTGGTAAAGCAACTGCACCGTCCTGCTCCAAAGTTTCAGGATTTATTCTTATGGCTGTCATACTGTGATTGTTCACATCTCTATATAATAAATAGCCCTAGTAAAAGTAAGAATACATATTGCTATGAAAATATGCTCAAATACATCAAAAAGTATTGTAAAAAAAAAAGTTTTGTTTTGATATTCAACTTTTTTTCACTAGAAAAATTGTAGGATAAAAACTAGAAATTTGGCACTCTCCACACTTTCTGCAAACTTCAATCAGCATGCTGATAACTCATACACAGCTTCTGTAAGTGTATTAAAAGACTAGAGAAATTTTCAAAAACATTAATTAAGTACCTTGACTCCCACTAGAGAGAGCTTTTCAAACTCTTCATGAAAGAAATTCTTTAAAGTACATGATGATTTTGGTGACAGCAGCCACAATAGAGAATTCTACAGTGAGTTATTATATTGTTTACCTCCCAGCTCCCAACCAAACCTAGTGGAAGGGATGTATTCAGGACTAATGATCTCCTATTCTATTTTTTCCACAGGTAGAATATCTTCATCTCTTCAAAATTATCTGTCTAGTCAGCAGTCCACATCAATGTTTGTTATATCAAATTATCTTCTCTATGTTCATATGTGGATTTTTTAGTTTTCTTTCTTGTTTGCTTTTGTCTTTAAGTTTCTCATGTCACCAGCTCATCTGGCTTCTTCTAAAAGAAGATTTAACTATCTGAAGCTTACATTTCTGTTTTTTAACTTATAACTTTGAATGAGCATATTAATACAGTCAAATACATTGTGGATGTAGTCTACTTAGACATTAATAAAGCCTTTGATGCTGTTTCCCAAATCATTCTCCTGGAAAAAATTGTCAGCTTATCATGGTGTAGACAGGTATATGCTTCACAGGTAAAAAAACTAGCTGGATGGCCAGGCCCAGAGACTATGGGTGAATGGAGTTAAATCCCGCTGGTGACCAGCTCCAGGGGTTCAGACTGTCCTGTTTAATATCTTGTTTAATATCTTGTTGAACTGAACTCTAGAAGACTGCATGCACCCTCAGTAAGTTTGCAGATGACAACAAGTGGGAGGAAGTGTTAAGGTTTCAAGTATTCACCCACCTGAGCATAGCCTAACCAAGACTTTTTTTCCTTTCTGTTTTTGATGCGAGATGTAGAATTGTATATATGGCCCTGGAAAGCAGAAAATTCAAATTGTTAAGCAAATCTCAGAATAACAATTATATAAATAATCATTTATAAACTAAGCAACATATTGAGAAAAGTAAACTATAACAAAATACTGTAAAACTCACAGAAATCATCAGGAAAAAAAAACAGACGTAGAACTGTAAACTACAAAAGATCCTCAGTGGAATTGGGTCATCTTAAAAACCTGTATTTTAGCTATCATACACCATACAAGAAATAACATTACCCTCACTGTCCCGCTATATCCAGAGCCAATCTTGTAAAGTCCATCTTTACATAAGAGATAGAGAAAGAAACCATCACTCTGAAGTAGGCACTGGTCATCTTCATCCACAGATATTTCTTTCAATGGCCATTTGTGCATCAAGGCTGCCTTCTTTATCCCATTACTGAACCAGTCCTGGATTTGTATTTTGCCAACCAAAACTGCCTGTACACTCCGCTGAAGAGAATTTAAAATTGTTGGCACCTAAAAACAGTAAAAGAAATAGTGAAAAACCATGCCTATTTTTAAACATACTATTTTCAGTTCTATCTCTAACTCAAGAAGCAGAAAGAAATATCTACTTTTTACCTAAAATAAAATAAAATAAAATAAAAAACTGAATTTGCACATTAGATATCAGAATTCATATACATAAAATTTCCAGATATGAAGAAGTTGTATTACACAACCTGAATAGTTTGACATGCGTGGCTGCCATTATTGGTGAGGATAGCAGAGATCGCTTGCAATGTTCTTCCTGTCTCTCCCCATGCAGCTACCAAACTGAAGAGGCAAGCGCAGGAAAGTGCTGTTAAGGACTGTCCTGTACTGTCACTCATTCCTGTACAACGGACAGTTATCTCCAGAAGAAGCTGAAACAGGGATTCTGCAAAAGAAGAACAGCAATTCAACAGACACATCACAAAACCATAATAAGCAATTTGCCAATCAACAGGAAATTAATTTGAACCTAGAAAATACATGGTATCTTTCCTCAGTCATTAGGTTTATCCTTACTTTCAGAGAGAAAAGAAAGCACCCTGTTTAGTTAAGCTTAAACTAACCATCCTTAACTTGACTTTCTTTTTCATCCAGAAAAAGTAAGCCTATAAATCACAAGGAAGAACAAAAAAAATCTCAAGTTTTTCTGATATAACTGAACACAACAACAAGTGATGAAGGAGTTACTTTACCTGCCTTCCAGTCTACCTCATCACTGAGGTGATATGGGTTTCCACATGTCTTGCCTAATCTGTATGATCATTACACCCATATTAGAACACACCCCATTCTTCAGAAATAAGCACTTCAAGTTACAGCTTGAAAATTATTTTGGATTACATGCCATTTTTCAAGTACTGTTCACAATGCCTGAAAGGCTGAATATCTGTAAGAATCAAGGCATGAACAGAAATCTACTTCAATTCTTGTGTGCACTGAAATTATGTGGCAAAGTTTTCATAGTGAAGGGTTGCAGGGGTGGCCTCTGATCAGAGACAGTTTCAACTGCTCTAAAAGGGACACAACTGGGCACATCTGGACAGAGCAGAGTCCTGAGTGATGCTGCCTATGCCTCTGGGAAAACAGATTTAAGGGAAAAGCACAGCAACAGCATCCGAGGGACAAAAGTGAGAAATGTGAGACAAACAGCCTTGCAGACATCAAAGTCAATTCAGAAGGAGGGCAGCCAGCACTGCAGGTGCCAGAGAAGTTCCCTGCAGCCCATAGAGAAGCTTATGGTGGAGCAGTCCATATGCCTGCAGCACATGAAAAACCGTATGGTTTGTGGACGTGGACAGACGGAAGCTGCAGCCTGTGAAGAACCCATACAGGAGCAGATTTTTGGTAAGAACCACAGCCCATGTAGAGGAGCACACACTGGACCAGGTTTTTTGGCAGCAACTACAACCCTGTGCGAGACCCATGCTCATATAGTCTATTCCAGAAGGATTACACTATGCCACAGGAACAGATTAATGCAGAAGCAGTTCTTAAGCAGTTCCTCTTGTTCCCCCCAATGAAAACTAATGGGGAGCTGGCTTCCTCAGACATAGAAAAAGCTACACAAAAAGCTCAATTAGTGCTTTGCCTCAGTCTTCACAGGTGGTCAGGCTTCCCATGTCTGCCAGGACTATGGGCCCCTAGGTGAGGGTGTGGGGAGTGGTTTCTGACCCATTGTAACAGTGGAAAAGATCTGAGACCTCAAGAAATTGAACATATATAAGTCCATGCGGCCAAATGATATCCATCCTAGGGTTCTAAAATAGAGGCTGATGTAGTTGCTGAGCCGCTTTCCATCATATTTGAAAAATCATGGTTGTCTGGTGAAGCCACCGGTGACTGGAAAAAGGGAAACATTACTCCCATTTTAAGAAAGGGAGAAAGGAAGATCCTGGGAACTAGAGGCCAGTAAGCCTCACCTCTGTGCCTGGGAAGATCATGGAGCAGATCCTTCTAGAAGCTAAGTTACGGCACATATGAGATAAAGAGGTGATATGAGACAGCCAGCATGACTTCACCAAAGGCAGATCTTGCCTGATCAATCTGGTGGCCTTCTATGACGGAGTGACAGCTTTGGTGGATGGGGGAAGGGTGGTGGATGTAATCTACCCGGTCTTCTACGAGGCCTCTGACAAGGTCCCTCACCACATCCTTCTCTCTAAATTGGAGAGGTGTGAATTTGAAGGATGGACTGTACAATGGATTAGCAATTGGGTAGCTGGACGCAGCTAAAGGGTTGTGATCAGTGGTTCTGTGTCAGGGTGGAAGCCAGTCACAAGCGGCGTCCCTCAGGGGTTGGTCTTGGGACTGGTGCCCTTACATCTTTGTAGTGATTTTGTGATTTTTTGTTGTCAGTATTCTTCATCAGAACATCATGTGGACCAGCAGGAGTTAACGAGTTAATGCTCTGGTTCCGTTTACTGCCTTTTATGGGCAGTTTGAGTATCTTGATGGGAGGGGAGGGGGCGGCATCCTCGGAGGACCTGGCAGGAAGAGGAAGTGGGTTGAAGCTCCGGACAGGGCCCAAGCGTCTGCCTCTCTCCCTGTGGTCGCGGTTCAGCCGTCTCAGCTCGCCGCGGAGAAAAGCACGTGCTTTCTTTCCCTCGCACTATCGTGGTTTGACTCTTGTCTCTCTCGTTTTATTTCATTTAGTTAAATTCAGGAAATTACCGTTCCTCCTCAGATCATTGCCATTGTGTTTTCGTTAAAATTATCGGCTAATTCTCTGCCCTTCCCCCTCTCCCGGAGCGCACGCGGCCCGGGGCCGGCCGGGTCGCGGCAAACCGTTAGTACCCTTTTTTTTTCTTTTTTTTTTTTTTTTTCCTTTCTCCCAAGGCCTGTGCCCCCGTCACGGGCTTACAGACAATAACAGACAATATGATGTTTGGACTGGTTTCTAGGTGCTGTTCCCAGTTCCTTATGCATGTTCAGGGTGCCAGCTTGGGTACTATGCTGTCAGTCTCTCTGCATGTATTCTCTGCAATGGTATTTTACATTTATGTGGAGGAAGCTTTTGCTGGAACCAGAGAATGCGGAGTGGCAGAGAATATGGAGAGGTTTAGCAAAGAGATGAGAAGCGTGGGGACCCTTGGTGTCATGGGATTTTAATGTTGAACACCTGTGGCATCCTGAGGAACTGTGCAAGCATTTGGGTAAGGGATGGTGCAGCTCAGAAAGATATAAGGAGGAATGGCTTATTTGGGACTTGGTTTGTGCTTACTGAGCTGTATATAAGAGTGTCGTGGAGAGAGAGAGTTTCCAAACTGAGATCTGAACCAAAAGGGGAAACCTCCAAGTCAATCTTGATCAATTGCAGGAGGCACCAGTATCAATGTCAGTTGCCCCTGTGGAAGGCCAGAAATGGAAATGGGTGTTCTCATGTCTAGAATGGAAAGAAGCAGAGGAAATAGTGGAAGATCCAGGCAAGGGGCCCTCTGCAAAACCACCACCGTCTAGAAAGGTAACCGAGAAAAGTAAGACACATGGAGAGGAGAATTATGAGGAGGGAGTCACTGTTACTACTATTCGTTGATCCCTGAAAAGGACTGAAATCCAAGGCATAAAAAAGGAGTTTACATGACATCTGAGTGAAACTGTTGTTGCCTGTTTGCTTTGGTGTTGGGACAATTGTCATTTTTTTTTGTTTTTTTGTTTTCAATATTCCATATCATAACATCATGTAGTGCACAGGGAGTTAAAGTGTTAATGCTCCAAATCTGGGTACCGGTTCCCCTATACATTTACAGAAGTCATGGGATCTGGCCCTTCCAGGTGGTGCGATCTCTTACTGCCTTGCAGTAGGTGCTGGAGGGTGCTTTCCTAGCCGTTCCAAGCTTTTCAGGTTTGACTTGTTCTCAGGAACTCTCTCTCTCTCTCCTATCTTATTTCATTTATTAGTCTCAATTTCAATTAGATTGTATTATATCGTGTTATCTTGCATTCTGATATCACAGTTAGTAAAATAACTGTGTACCCTAGTAATCAATCATGATGAACTCATGGCAGTATCAGAAGCACCCGATGAAGACCAGGATGATCAAAAGGACCTGCTGAAGGAGCTGGTCAAACCGATTAAAGTCTCAGCTATCAAAGACAAATGGCCCCGTACTTGAGCAAAGGAATGCAGTAAATTTATGTCTTGTGCTGCCCTGTGGAGCTATTTACATGAGCATGGAGAGGATATGAAGAAGTGGCATGATGAACCCATTCCTGCACTACGAGCACAGATGAGAGAATTACAAAGCAGATCGACCACCACTGAAGTTGCTCCCATTACTGCAGGTAGCCAAGAGAGGGGCCCTGCCTTCAGCCAGGGGGAGAAAAGGGATAATAGAGTGTACTGGACTGTGTGGATTCCATGGCCTGGCATATCAGAACCACAGGAATATAAAGCACTGCTGGACACCGGTGCCCAGTGCGTTCTGATGCCCTCGAGTTGTAAAGGGACAGAATGGAACTGGTTTATATTTCAGGAGTGACTGGGTGCTCTCAGGAATTCTCTTTGTTGGAGGTGGAAATAAGCCTCACTGGAAGAAACTGTCAGAAGAATCCTATAGTAACTGGACAGGCGGCTTTATGCATACTCGGTATAGATTATCTTAGAAGGGGGTATTTCAAGGATCCCAAGGGATACTGATGGGCTTTTGAAATAGCTGCTGTAGATACAGACAGCATTAAGCAGCTGTCTGTCTTGTCTGGCCTGTCAGAAGACCCATCTGTTGTAGGGTTACTACAGGTAAAAGAGCAGCAGGTACCCATTGCTACAAAAATAGTGCACAGATGACAGTACCACACCAACAGGGATTCCTTGCTCCCCATTCGTAAGCTGATTCGTCAGGTAGAGAGTCAGGAAGTGATCAGCAAAACTCACTTGCCTTTTAACAGCTCCATATGGCCAGTGTGTAACACCAGTGGAGAATGGAGGCTGGAGGTAGACTGCCGCAGCCTGAATGAGGTCACACCTCCACTGAGAGCTGCTGTGCCAGATATGTTAGAACTCCAGTCTGAACTGGAGTCAAAAGCAGCCAAATGGTATGCGACCACTGACATTGCCAATTCATTCTTCTCCATTCCACTGGCCACAGAATGTAGGCCACAGTTTGCTATTATTTGGAGGGGCGTTCAGTATACTTGAAACCGTTTGCCTCAGGGGTGGAAACACAGACCAACTATTTGCAATGGGCTGATCCAAACCACATTGGAACAGGGCGGTGCTCCCAAGCACCTGTAGTACGTCAATGACATTGTTGTGTGAGGCGATACAGCAGAGGGTGTCTTTAAGGAGAACAAATAATTCAAATTCTTCTGCATGCTGGTTTTGCTATTAAGCGGAATGAAGTGAAGGGACCTGCCCAGGAGATTTAGTTCCTAGGAGTAAAATG